TTTCAAAGACAACAACTCATCTAAAATACCACGAACACGGATCTTCATTCATTGACCTTTAAAATCATGCTGCGCTTCTTCCACACATCCCCCCCGTCCATCTTAAGCACGATATTGATTCTTACTGCGTCGTTCACAACATCGACGGGGGGTTGAAAGTCACTAAAATTGCTTTGTCCACATTGTTTTTTGTGCAACATCCTACGTATGGATGGTTTGAACGGTCGGAGATTGTGGCTTCGTATACTTGATGTTATTTTTCAATGTAGTACTGAAAGAGATAAGGATAAATGATATTTCATTCAACCAGCTAATTTTCTCCTTTATCTCCTGATGATTTACGCACCAATAGCAGAACACGCTACTTCAATTGCGTGCACAATTGGACAAATTTCTGAAAGCTGGTCACTTATCTTGCCTTTGATAGATCCAGAAGACAGGTGAATCGAGACCGCCTCATTAGGTAATGTCGAAGCATAGACATTATGTCCAATGGTATTATTACCGCGTTTGTCATGCACTTATGGTGTGCCTTTTAGTCATTACAGGGCGACCTGAACGATTGATCTTGTGTTTTTTTCTGATCTTCGGTAGTGCGTCAAACATATAATCCAATCAGTTCCATCTCTGACTTTGCAATATAATTTCACATTAGAACTTTTACGATTTTAAAAGCGTGTAGAACTACCACACAACTATGACAAAAGCAACTTGCTTCAACTGAATGATAGCGACGGAACTTGCATGTTCTCCGGCGCATCGATTTGACTTCATCTGTTAGCTTCGCTGAAGTGAATTTCACGGGTGAAGACTAATCGCACCTTGAAATACGGCGTTGTATATTCGTGGAAAAGTGTGCAGTGCTTGCTTTCTCTCATGCGACCTTAATCAACTCATTTCATCACCTTGTTATGTATTTATTCATTATAATAATAGCCGCCATGGTCGTACCTTTTGCATTCTGCTTTGCATCTGTTGTTTTCTTTCAAGAAAAGCGTAAGGGTGGTTTAGAATAGGTACAGACATATCTTGCTTCTGCATGTAACTTGGAATTAAGGCCGACTTGCGAGGTACGTGATTTCGGGAAAATTTCGTATTGTATGTGATTTTCTTTTTGGCTGAATCTGTGTCAGTAATTTCCCCAAGCTTAGAAATTTCTTTCTGCAGCACAAATTATCATCAAACCCAGAACCCACACAGGCAGAAATGTGACTAGAAAGAATCCGTGAACAGCAAGAGAAATCTTTCTACAAATTTAATCGGGGCAATATTTCATCAGCAATATATAGAACAAAATCAACGAGTCTGCCTAATAGCCTTGTGGGACGTCTATTTTCATATGATGAAATCTTCTTTTCGCGAGGCACTTAAATTTCGGGGGACCGACAATTTATCCGACGACGCCGCTTCATAAATGCTATTATGTCGTTGATGGGACATTTTAACGTCGTGAAAGACCTACGTGGATGTTTGTATAAAGTGCTTTGGGAAATGGGTTTCACATGATAAGTTCTGAAAAGTATATTGTAATATTCCCGAAAAACATTATGGTTTGTGAAACTTTATTGAAGAAGGTTTTCAGCCACGTTATAGACGCTCGTGAGTGAATTTTAGGATCCCAAAATGCCAAATCTTTAATCTAGTAAGTAGATTAAAGATGGTGATGGTAGAGATAAAAAAGGATAGTGGGATACATGCCATTATATGGCTTAGTGGCATGGATTGAGTAGGATATGAGGGGACATGTGCGTAGGGTATGAGGGTACATTCTGGTCCTAATGTGGACCGGATGGAGTACAGGATGAAACTATTGTAATAGAGAAGCAAGATTGGGATGGTATATTTGAGACCAAAGGAGAGACATCAATATTGTGGAATGGATAGAGAATAGTTCAACTGACATTCAAGCTCTTTGCTCTTCCATGTTACTTGGGCTAAGTCATTGTGTGGTCAGCAGTTTGTGACGAAGTCTGCGTGTAGAAAACCTCGACTCCATGGGGGCACATAGGAAACACCACGCTGTCAGATCTTATCGATCGTTAGAGCGAGAAAGGCCAGACTCTAGCGAGATTGAAGGAAACAGTTCTACATGGATTGACGAGTCCCTTTGCAAAACGTTTTCTTATAAGCTGATTTAAGTCCTCCATTTCCTTTCCAATATAAGTGCTGTTTTTAGATTGGTCTAAAACCTTAAAACGAAATCTTTCCTTGTTGACATAATAATTTGGGAATAAAGAAATTTTGCATGCGTACGTATTTTAATTGATGGACATCCTTCCGCGAATTTCCCAGTTGCTGTAATTTACCTGAGCAAATCACTTGAAAACGTCATTTCTACTAGATAATTCCGTTTCATTTTTATGGTCCTAATAGACGCTATGGGATACATTTGCACTCGTTAAAGTCGTTATGCTAGTGTATGGCTTCCTCAATTATAAAAACGTGCAAATAAGGCGATATTCGGACTCCGTTGGAGACAAAACGATAAGAGTATTTTTAGAAAACGATGCGATTATGACGCTATACAAAAATCATAGACATAGCACTTGTACTCAAAGGAAATTAGGATCCTATATCAAGTATAAATCAGTTTATAAAAAACTTTTTGCAACTGCATAAGGCCGGGATAATAAGCCTAAATGCTTCCCTACTGACAGCAGAATTTTTCAGTAACGTCAATAGCAACACGAGACTAATTCCGTTTCACTTTTTATGATCTTAATATAGTCGCTATGGCATATATTTGCACTCGTTCATAGTAATTCATGGTTTCCGCAAATTAGATCGTGAAAACCGAAAAAGGTATTTTTGTAACAATCATATTTGAACACCTGTTTTTCGGGAAACAATGCAATCGGTTCGCTCTTTTCTTTGAGAACCCGAAATAGAAACAAAGAGAGAGAGAGAATTGTGACACCCCCTGAAACTGAACTAGTTTTCAGCAAATGAACGATTTTTAACCCATGCAGGATCTTTCGTTACTGTTTAGTTTTTTCACATTGTAACCAGTTTAACCAACATTTATTATTGAATCCCCAACATTTATTATTGTTTTATCAATATACAAGTAAAGCCCTACTTTCCACGGGCCAAATTTTCAAGCGAAATGCGATATATTTCGCCTGCGTCTTTTGAATTATGAGCAATGAGGCAGAAATAATTCATTCAAGTGTTCGAAATTCAAAAGAAACAGGTGAAATATTTCGCCGAGAAAAAAGCGCCCGTGGAATTAGGCCCTAAAGTAGAGATGTCGAATTTCAACAATTTAATTACGTGTAATAATGTCGTAAATTTAAAAAACCACACCCATTGATCACGCCCATTACTCACCACCACCCCCCCCCCCCCCCCCACCCCGCCGCCCTAGTTAAACCGCTTAGTGACGGCCCTGTCTAAATGACAATAAATACATCAGCTTAGTTTGTCCTTGGCCTTTTTAATGAGGAATATATAAAAGTTTGTATACCCACCCATGACACCCATGACACCCATGACAGCACCGCGAAACGATTTATAGAAAGTATGGAAAAGGGGTGGGGTGCGGGGCGCTAACAAAGAGGGGGCTTATCATGAAGGTCAATAATACTTACACATGTAAACGCTGTGTCAATGAAATAGTATTTATTCAGTTTAAACATATTGTCGTTAATTGGTAACTCTAAGGAGTACACCACAGTTAGTACTAAAAAGGGGCATCTTTGCTGAACTGAAAATAGGGCACATCTCGAACTTTTTACAAACATTTGGGGAATCTTGCCTTCTCCCCATTTAGCGCTCTTGCACGCATGGGATTGTTGTGAGTGCCTATCCATGTGGACGTCTAGATCTTGGCTTGAAATAGACAGCGGAGTCAAAACAGACATCAACAATTCATCATCCATGCATTCTTATGACGTCTTTGTCGACGATCATGAGTTAAAAATATAGAAGCATCAGCTGGAGTCTGCACATTTTAAACAGAAAGTCCAAGTTCATTTTCCAAAAATTAACAATAACCGTAATCAATGGGTTCGTCTTTCTCGGAAACCTCACCTCAAACTAGGCCCACTATAACTAGACGATTTATTCCCCCGAATGTGAACCCTAAACTGAAATAAACACGTTATTCAATTGCCGAAACGAGCCACTATAACGTCAACGATGCCTTGTTTTGTAAGGCGTTACGCATGCAGTCGTGCAGGACGGAAACAGGATATGACCGGAATTGCCTGTTGGTTTTTACGAGCGTTTGCAAATCGTTTATAAAGGGATGTTTACATTGCTCCCTTTTGATTTTTGTCGTTGTACAAAGAAAAAACATTTGATGTCTCGACGCGTTTGAGACATGACTTGCGCAAATTTTTTCCTCGTAAACAAATGCCTGAAGGGGAAGAAGAGACGCGAAGGAGAGAATCACCACCATGTAATCAAAATATATTCATCTATTTATAAACCTAATGAAGTAGATTTCGAGTTCAAATTGTCCGGCTTATCACAAATTCTGTCTGATTTGAGGAGGAAGGTCTCCCCGCTATATACGGCTATTTTGTGCTCACGTGGCTTCACACGTGATTTTAACGTGCCCAGTGCACACGGGTTTAACTTACCACCCTGTCACATCAATTTCACCAGAAAAGTAGGAATGTTTGTGAATTCACGTGTTGGGTCATCTAAAATGTCTTTATCTGATAACGTTACTCGACATGCCCTCGACTTGTGACCATGTAATGTTCAAAATGATTGTGTACATGACTCGGGTGAATTAATATTGTGATGGTGCTACTCTGAGGTACCAACCATTGGCTTGAACGAAGAACTAGAATGTAAAATTTATTTTCACCGTGGTCAAGCTTATTTCTCAGCCTGCCCTGAAGGTAACGAAGAATATTGCCATCACAAAACGCAATATTATATTCTCTATATTACGCATCTCGATTGTCAAAAGTGGGAAATAACAAACGTGTTCAACACTTGCATTCGTTGGCTGTAAAATGATCAGACTCACACTCGTTTGTTTGTGAATATTGTGATTATTACGTTCTAAAAATTACAATTCTTGTCTATATTTACAGCAAAGCCCAAAGTACTTTATCATTTTATTTCTCTTTTTATCTAAAAGGTGCTTAGAGCACTGTAACACATAAACACTAACATGAAGTACTTATACATACGTTGTTTGCAATTACCGCCATCTTGGTTGCGTATTTAAAAGCCGAAGTAAACTCTGTATAGTTGACCACGATGGCACCTACCAGCAGTTTATCACGCAAAATGAAAACAAGCAATAATTTGCAACGTTTCAAACAAATAAACAGTACTGATTTTCGACTAAATTTAGTCGCCTTTGTCATCGACGTCCATGAAGACGTCCTCGTCCTCCTTATCCTCATTTCTATCGTTTTTCTCCGAAAATTTTTGTCCTATGCAAAACCTCTCTGGTGATATCTTTCCAGACGACGCTTCGGTGTCGTGTGTTGTTGAATCTTCGGAAGTTATCGGTGATGCCGGAGAACATCTGGCGCTCAACGATTCTTCGCCGATCTCGTCATCGCCGTTCGTCGGCGTGACCTCGAGTTTTTTGTATTTGGTACGCCTGTTTTGAAACCAAATTTTAACCTGGCAATCTGTGACATTCAGCAGCTCTGCGAGCTCATTCCTCTCCGAGGATGTCAGGTACTTCTTCTCTTTAAAAGTATTCTCGAGTTCCCAGATTTGTCGGCCAGTGAAGGTCGTCCGCGCCTTCTTCTTTTTCTTTCCCTCGACCTGATTCTCCTGTTTTGCTGTCAGTGTTTGCTTAGCCATTTTGGATGGGGTTTTTTCCTTCTTTGTAGTCCTGGTCGTCGACGCTGCCTTGATTTTTGTGCGTGGAATATCTGCAGAGATGTCAAACAAAGGACGAGATTAGATGTGTTAATCAATTGTTCGTTTGTAATCAAAATCACGGGGAAGAGAGGGTGGTGTAGATTCGCGTTAATCTTTCGTGCAACACCACACGTCTAGAGGACACTGTGCTACTCAGGGAAGTAGCTATCGCAGTATCCTTGACTAAGGGGTTGTTTACATGTGCCCAGTTATCCGAGATTTAACGAAGCGTGAGAAGATTTTGAGATATTGAAATGAGCAGATAACATGAACCTGGTAGTTGTATAATCACCACAACATAGCATGTGCTTGTTTGGTGTCATAAAGACTTATTTCAATTCAATACCTCAAAGTCCTCTCACGCTTCGTTGAATCTCGGGTAACCAGGCTCATGTAAACAGCCCCTACCTCAAGTAGACCGAGTTTGCTTTGTTGTCTCCAGGAATCGAAGGGCTATTTCACTTTTCACCAATCGAAATAAGTTTCGAAATAAGACGCTTATTGTAACAGTACCACCAAACTTAGGGCGATAAAATTTCAAATACATAAGTCAATCACCTGGCAAAATACATGTGGATCGTTACATTAAAACCCTTCGAATCTTTTTAACCTCCCATATGAGATATTTTTGAAAGAGATCTGATCAAGTCTATAAGGTCACACATCTATTTACTCTTAAATTAGCCTGACAGCGGTCAATATAGCCCAAAGGCCTCGGAGAATGTACAATATCGATAAGGTTAGTCACGAGTGCGCCAAATTTTTTAAACCCTCTTTAAATGCGTCGTTTTTAGCAATGATAAAAAATTTACGGTTTTCCCCCCTAAGCATTGTACACAACCACTCAGGAACCTATCTCTACCGGACTCCAGTTTACTTGAATTTCTGTTTAGATCTTTCATTCCTGACTCCTCGAAACCTCTTGAAAGTTATCAAAACTTTAAAACAAACTACTAATTGCTATGATCTCAATTCGCTTGGTCAAAAATAACTGTAATCTGATTCTCAGGAGTTAGGATAATCACTTTTTTTAAATGCGACCTTTTCGATCAAATTTGCTTGTTCCAAATCCTCCTTGAATCTACTTTATCAATTTCCACCAACAAAGGAAGACGTGTCAAGGAAACACGCGAGCCGACGGCGTATAATATTCATTCCAATACAGCTCGTAGCTTATATTTTCAAATTTATTTCTTACGCTTTCGATTAAAATTTAACACATAAAGAAGTTTCTAATAGACACACGCCCCTTGGATTCAGGAAACTTATTGTGTATTGCATGTGAGAAATATAGCTTGTGTAAGCATGTTGAATTCAATTCAAATAAAAGTTGAAGTGAACAGAACGTGACTGAAAAGGGAGGTGTGGATTGTATGTATATTCAGCCCAGGTTACTTACATGGAGATATTTAACCAGGGATATTCAGCGCTCGCCACTTATTCTATAATTGATGCAAACCCGTCATAAATTTAGACTTAGAGTGACAATAAAGTAATTAAAATGCCTGCATGTACATGGTTGAGATTTATAGGCAATTCATGCGTTCACATCTAAGAATGCCTTCAAAGAATGCATATCGTTAAAGACGTGCTTCACTCGAGTCTCAATATAGCGTATTCAAATATCCTTTCAGCATTTCAATGCTCGCTTGTATGCGGAAACAATGCACACTATACAAGCGCAATATATCCTAGCCACAAGGCGAAACATGCATCATCTACTCTCAACCTAAATACTTGCATATGTTCAGCATACCCTCGTCATTGACATACCAAGACCTTGCCTATAGACGCGCGTGTACTCGCCCGAAAACTTGCAATATACAAGATGCGAAAAATTGAAAGATTCTGCGGTTAAATATCGAGCGAATCGTATTTTCGATAATTCGATTACGTATATTTTTTTATGTTTTGATATTTTGCTGGGTTTGTTTAGCACTTTGTCACTAATTGTTGAAAATCAAATAACCAACTGTGATATTTCGCACATTACGCGTTAGATCCATACCAGAAACAGCGGTCGCAGGGTGTCAACACAACAGAGAATTTCTGAATGTTTTCATTAAGACAAACGATATTATACCTGCAAATATAAGCCTGCTCTTTTGTTAACTAAACGAAAGAACTCTTTGAGAGGGAAAATATAACTTTTCTTTCAAAGCGCAGCAACCTAAAAATTTTGCCGTTGTCAAGTTGAGAGTTTTGCCTATTCTTAATTTTCAAACATTGGCTTATATAATCCCCGAAGCGATTTATTGTTAATGGTTTTACCACGCTAAAAAACAACAGAGAATTGTAATCGGTTTATAAAGAAATTGCTGGCTTCTCATACCCACAATCGAAAACATGCCTGAGTTAGTGCATTATGCTCATTCCGTTCTAATCTTTTCTTTGGCTGGGAACGTTCAAGGCGGGGTCTCAGTTGACAAACAAGCTAAGCGATCTCTTAATAGTCTTTTCCTTCTTAATAGCCGCACGCACTTGAATTATATCTCGTTCGAGGCCAAGTTTATAGCTGTAAAATACTTGGATTATCGTATTTCCGCCTTTTGTAATACGAAGCACACAAACATAGCAATATTCGCTCAAGTTGAAAACCGCTTCCGTGCATAAACCCAATTAATACCCCGAGCCATGACTAAAAAGACTCATCGTACCGCAGGCATTTTAAATAGCGCAAAACTAAATGTAACGCAAAGTCAAACTACGCCGGTTTCTCGCATGTTTCCCTACGCCATAACACTGTTATACAAAACAGAAAATTCTAACAATAGAGCATTAGAATGACCACAGGTAGTTGTTACAAGAAGCATGTTAAATGCACCAATTAAGCAATTTCTTAATAGCCTTATCCAAATGGCAACATGGCAATTAGATCCATGTTAAGATAGAGTTGAATATGCTAGCGCGCAAAATACATTTCAATTGCGCAAATTTCACGACCTTTCTCAGAGCAAAAAGCGCAAATCTAGTTTACAGTTCACATGACTTCTTTGGTGACCCAGATCGACGCTTCGTATTCTCGAGTGACTGGCTAAAGAGAACCGATCAGCGATGGAAGTTATGCGGCGTAAAATTGCTAGTTGCCGCAGCACAGTCGACTTTGGATTTCATTGTGATAAATGCGGCAGTCTATATGCGAGTAAGCTTGTCTAAACCGATAAATTAGATAACATGCAAGCTGTGTAATATCCACAATGAGCTGTAACTCCATCGCACACAAAGACTTTTTTATTCCTAATTTCAATGACAGTCATCTAATAAAGGCCCGAGTACTGAGTATTAAATACGAAAGCCATTCTCCTTATGCTCGTAACAAAGAACATAATTGAGCTGCACCTCAAGTGCACATCGTTTCATTTGACCGAACATTTTGTAAGCATTTCGGTGGCTAAGCATTTGGACTCGTGTTATCCCCTGATCAAATCACCCACTGTTAAAATAATTAGAACTGTGCTGCTTTGTATATAAACCGTTCCTTACCTCTATTCTTTTCCATAATAGCTCCTTTTATACCGCGTGATTTGCATTTTTCTTTTTGCTTTGATTGTCGATACGTATCATCATGATCTTCCATAGCATTTTCCTCGTCGTATTTCTTCAGTCCTTTGCCCCTGCTTGTCATAGACGACTTCAAACCCAAGATATCTTCGATGAAATGCGGAGTTGGGTTCGCCGGTGGTGTGGAGTAGAAATGAGCATGCCATGTGTTGCGGTGGCTGCCTTTACCTCGACGTATTGGATACCCTTGCAGCATCTTCTCGTAGTCTTCTGTACGATTAAACACACACGGATTAGTTCCGTGAGTGTGGTCCGGTGACCTCTCAGTATTTGCTGGCCTCTTAACCGCTGCGGAGTGTCTTCACAACAGCCCGCTGTGGTCCTACTTATTTGCCAGAGACTTGCTTATGACTTGATTTCTATTGAGTAAATCAATAGTCTGATAAAAGTGATTGTTCTTACGATAAGGATAATTAGGAAGCCAAATGGTCGCAGTCAAACGCCAAGTGAATTGCTCTTCAATTCACTCATTGGCTGCTCCGGTGCGATCTTCAATCTGATTGGTCGTCAATTTCGCTTTATTTTTACCAGCCTTTGGACAAAACGAGCTCGCTTATGCGATATTACCCTGGTTATGGCTGAGTGCATCTTTCATGTCGAACGCTTCACAAACAGTCAACAAGAGCAACCACGGATACGCGACACAATTGCACGCTTTCTACACGGCACACTTGTGATCGTGCCAAAACCAAGCTCAGACAAACGGCACGAAATTGCCCCTAAGTCGTTAACAGGTCGTTAAAACCAGCGGTGTGACTATTCGCAGTTAAATGGGGAAGGGTTTAATATAAGATAAATTGCCGGTCGTGAAAACCCGCCGAAAAATAAACAGATTTAAAATAGGCTGGCAAAAAAATAAACGCAATCTTCGTTGCGTAACGTTGGGGAAGAAATCGAGAGTCGTACGTACCCAATTCTCCCGAATTGTTTATGTATATGTAGTTTGGTTACATAACAATTGTTTTTACCACAACAAAAACTCTCTGTTTAGGGTTGATACTGATATCTTTCCAACGAAAAATATCAATGGCAGTATATCGCGGCGCTTCGGGTTTTATTCAACTTCGAACGTCAGGAGACCGACGACTGAAATTATTTAAAAATTATTAATTTTGACAACGTCAAGCAATTCATTAAAAAAGAAAGCGATGTCGGGGCTGCATCGTTGGCAGGCAGTCGCGAGGTTTAATGGTCGCGACTCGAAATGAAAACGAAGCAACGTGCTCCGCTTTTAAACCGCACGAGAACAATCGAGAGACGGACACGAAACAGAAACCAGGAAACAAAAAATCATCCGCTAAAATGGCCAAATAAAAATAGCCATAACCTATTAGTTTAAGGACGTCGTTCGTCCGATTACCATTAAATGTTTGATTGCAATAAAGCCCTAATGGGGTAATTCATGTCAGGTGATTGCACCCGTCAAGCGAAGAAAAACGGTACGCACAACAACACGTGCGCACATCCTTTTGTAGTTAAACAAATTTAATTTCCTCCAGCGCCTAAATAGCTCAATATCTCAGTGATTCGGGAACGCATCAAGATAATGACTTTTCCATAACTGATTTGCGCGAAGAATGATCTTGTTTTCCGAGCAATTCATCCGTCTTTAGCGCACTAAATGTGCAATCCAACGCTTGCGTTCCGAGTTTAAGACGAGAAATAATGGGCTAATGGGAACATTATGTAGCAATGTACCTGACAATTGTTTATAATTCTTTGATAATTTCCCCTGTATATAGCAGGGCTATTAAGGTAATATCGCTGAACAATTTGATAAGTCATCTTGCGGGCGTTTCACATGTAACGGGTGGTTTTTGAGTCGTGCGCCGACGTCAAACGAGATTTGAAAAGATTGCAACAAATCGCTCGGCCTTCACGTTCGCCTTCGACACAAGGCGTTCGTCTGCGCGAAACCGCGCAGTTTAGCGCAAAATTGATGGGCTTTTTAACCGTTTAAAGCATCGCAACGGGACGTTAAATCATAATGAGAAAATACCTGCGTTATTTGATACACTAAAGCGGAGCTGTGCAAAAGAGTCTCGGGTCAGGAGGTGAACTTTGCTAGATTGTGGTGATTACTGATCACAAGTGATTATTGCAGATAAAGAAATATGTTTTGGCCAACAACAAGTGGTCAAAAGCAAAATTTCGAATTCCTTGTTTTCCTGTTTTCTTTTTTAAAAGCCTCGCGAAAACGCTTGGCTTTGTGTTTACAAATCGATTTAAAATCATTTTAGACACTTCGCCTGCGGTCGAATGGGCGAGCACAGGTGAAATTCGCGTTGCTCTTTTATTATCTAATTATACCTGTTGCTGACCCATGTGGGGCATTAAAAAGAATTACACTCGCTCAATGTTGACAGCTACACGTTAATATCGATTTAAAAACACCGTCCTTGTGTATAGCGCGTCGGAGAGGTGTGATATTTGCGCACAGTATTGCACGCCTGACGCCTGCAAATATGCGCTGTCTCTAAACGATTTTCGCTCGCGTCATAATGAAGAAATACACTGATTGGAAACAACACTATACAAGGTTAATGAAAACATGCTGTGTCAACAGAAAGCAAGAAAGAGGTTTAACATTAAGATCGCAAAGATAAGACGCACAGCTATAAGTGATATTCGCGCATACTAGTCCACTTCAGCGTTTATCAGAAAAACGAAGTAAATTCGAGATGCAGTTCCCTCACGACGGTACAACTGACAACGTGGTGATGCTACAATTTAGCTCACTCTGGCCGAATATCAATGCACATCGCCCACAGCTGATATTTTGACCCAGGTGCTTAAGATGTAGCATTTCTTGATAGCATACAAGGCCTGTTATATGCTGTGACCAGCCGACAAGCATATTAGTTACCTTCGCTGTTGATAGCCATATATTTAAATAGAGGTTACAGCCGTCTATATGTAACCTCAATGAGCTGAAATCGTCCTAAGAATATTAATTATAGCGTTTTATCTATAAAACCGAAAGTACAGATCCCAAATGTTTATCATAATACACGAACACAGAAGGACACCAAAAATAACCTCAGCGTATTTATATTTCTGGTCGCAAGGCCATTCGCGGACGAGTAGACTCCTGCAGTAGGACCTGCAAAAGCAATTCCCATCCTGAAATTTTGATCTATACGTATTTTGATCTGGTATTTGTCGTAAGGATATCTATCGTATAGATTTAATTCACTAAGAACAATCAATGATTTGCATACAACAGAAACGCACGCGTTTCCTCGTGTCTTAAAAACTCATGCAAGTGGAATTCAACCAATGATACCGGCCATATTAAACACATGATTAAACACATACGCACAACATCATAATTGCTAATTAGCAAGACAATTAAACGCAAATAGGCTGGTAGTTTTCATCACGAGGGGAGCTTGCAGCACGAAGGATAATCCAGGGGTTTTTTTTCGTCATTTTCAGATATCAATTTGTAAATAAATAGCCAGAACGAAGGCTTTTAAAGTCAAGGGCACATTATTTATTTGAAATATACAATATTTAAACAATAATTGAACTTAAATGCGTCAAAATGTTTATCTTTTAAAACCCGGTTTAGACGCCGCGGTTCTAAGCGTTTTCTCAACCGAACTTTTTAATACATTAATTCTGTCTGTGTAAAAAATATTTTAATGGCGTTTTCCTTCCCAATTTATAAGTTATCGCCGGAAAAATTCAAGAAATTCCCCAAGTTTTGGATGAAACAATAGTCGTGAAATCGATAGGAATCGTTGTTGCATTGTATAGAAGATCTTTTGTTTGCAACGGTGCTTTTCAGAGTAGGCATCGTCATCAGTTAAGTGTTGTCACTTTTGCAATATGGCCTCTGTCATTACGAACCTGCCTATCATTTTGCAACGGACTTACCATGTAAGCTTATATCGTGAGAAAGGTTAATACGCTATTGTAAAGTTCTTGGAAAATTTAAACCGTCTATTTTAAACGTACTTTCGTGGCGCTAATGTCTTTAAACATAAAACCTATACGAATCGAAACACGGAAGCGTTATATAATTTATTGCAACATATGCATATGAAACATGCATACGTTGTTCGTCTTCTTGGGCATCGACAAAGCTAAAAATAAACGTGGCCAAAAAATACAAACAGCCAGCTGTGCCGGCATCTTTGTAGCTACCACATTTGTGCGTGTGATAGATAGCCTTTTAGCCCTTTTTTTTCACGCAAATGAATGCATTTCAACGGTAATAAACAAAACCGGGATCGCAGATTGACAACGTTACTTGTACTAGGCCGGAATTACGCATAAGGCGACAGCACAACACCGCAGAATTTGGTGTTTATGAAGTTGCAACCCGAAAATCTAATTATAGTTTCACTGCATTTCCGTATCGCTATCAAAGAGAATACCATTGAATGAGTTAAAAAAGTTCGTTTTTTATTCAGAATACGCATGCATTCTGCAATCTTTTAAACAGCTCATCATATACATCTGACAGCTGTGAAATGGCCTTTTTCAGAGGTTTAAATTGTAGGGAAGGTTGTTAATCAGTCAGATGATTCGTTTTTACCATGTGCAAGCTTCAAATCTTCTGTGCAAGTCATATTTTGTAGAGCATGTTTATAAATCTTTTTGCTCAACAAATTTGAAGTCCAAGTATTAAGTTTTACCAATCTCCGCGGTGTAGAACAACACTATCTCGCTTTTAAGGCTAAAATTAGTTTATTCATATAATGCATAAAATCCTATGATGAAATTAACTCTCTATTCTTCTCACAATGCAGCCTTTCTCAAAATGTCATGCGACATGTAAATAATATAACTATCAAATAAACTAATCAATCTTCTCAGAAATGTAAAGACCTCCCAACACTGTACATTTAAATCGAACTATAGATAGTATTTCATCCCAATTACTGTCAACCGTTCTGCTAAAAGCACCAGGTTTTGAAGAAATATGAAATGTATACATGCGTCGGGAAATCAATGTATCTCACCCGATTTGCGTGTGAGTTGAAAGGTCTGTTAAATTTCACAAAATAATAGTATATCATTCAGTGGCCGGTTTGAAAACTGAATAGCGCTATCCACCGGATATTGTTTTTTAATCGTTCTGAAATTGCCCATCGTTCGGTATAACCTTGGTGTTTTCAAATCGGGGATCTGTCTCGTAAAAAAAATAAAGCATTTTTACAGCGGTTGAAAAGATCACTATCTGATAGATAACGCCCTTTCAGCTCTCGCTCCAGTAAAACAAGATTGCTAAAGGCGGTGTTAAACTATGCAACTTTCCTTGCAACTTGCAATGCAAAACTACTCCTGATGCATCTAAAGTTTTCAAATACGAACATTTCTTAAAATCCGCTGACGTTTTCTTAGTATTTCGAACACTCCTTACAAATTAACATCCCTCAAAATTATAATTCTACTGGTTCCAAGGAAAATTGCATAGCGTAACACCGTCTTAAAGGTCCGACGCAGCTCATTTGGATGGGTCCGGTATACTACTCTTGAGGGACACCGTGGCGCTTTTTCAGCGTCGCACACACTCGCATCTCCCGCCTGTAGTAAAAGATCCACAGAGGATTGCACAGAAGAAGGAACTTGGCGACAGTGTAGACACAGATGTACAGCTTACAGTTGTAGATGACCTCGTATAAATGATAATATTTCATGACTTCGCCGCCAGTGCGAAATATCGCAAGCACGTGGAAGCCAGTCCAGATGATCATTGTTGTAGCGAATGTGGTCACGGAGATGAAATTCACGAAGCTTTGCTGAAGCTGGTGTTCGACGTCATCTGGCAAAGTGGCGTATTCCGGTGGATCTTCGTAAAAAGTTTCAACCCCGCCTAACGTGTTCCATGGTTCCAGGTTACGCGCAGCTTCCGAGAGGTCTCGTTCAGGCGTCTAAATGAAAATATTCACACCAAAAGTTGAATGATGGAGCCCAAAGACTGAAAGCCGAGTTACAGTCTGCTTATTTGAATCCTAAGATTGGAAACTGCGCCTACTTTTGAATCATTCGAGTTTTAAGGCTGCTTTCCACGTAAAAGTCTAAATCCTTATAGATGTCATCTTTGAAAAAACTAAGTAAACAAATCGAAAGAACTTAGTTTTCCGCATATTTTAGTATGCATTAGTTGACCTAGATGTTAAATAATAAAAATTTAGAAGCATTTAAAAATTTCCGTGCGTGTAAGTGCCGGTATAAAAAACGCGTAACTGGAAAGCAGCCCTTAGTATTCAATGTCTTAGAGTGATCAATGAATCCTGCGATCGGATTAAAAAACCTATGCGATTAGATCGATTAATCTTGAGATTGGATCTATGATTTTTAAGCGGGTTATCGCAAACCTCAGGCTCTGGTGGTTTTTTCTTTTCATAACCATGGTGTATGACTTTGAGCAGGAAACTGAAGATAATCACATTCCAGGTGACGACCAGCACTAGCGGTCCGAACCAGCAAAACGCCATGGAGATTAGAATGACGATAAGACGTAATTTGGAAACTGAAGCTAACTGACTATCAGGATAGTTTAATGGATCGTACGTAAAGAAAACCTCCAACAATGTCAGGGCGATGGAGGACGTCCAGACCACTAGTTCAATTTGTATCAATTTGGAACGCGATGCAAACCTTGGAAAACCAATTGAAGGATTTTAATTCAGGAGCAAACCTTAACAAATAGCTCGCTTCACCACAGGGAATTACTAACAAGGCGGTCAGTGAATTCCACATGATAATCTGGACTAGCATTTTGAGCACAAGCTATATGTCCTGAAGTTCTTCGACTATAGCAAGTCTTCTCAAAGTTAGGATAAAGGTAGACTGGATAGGTAAAATGGCGACTGATGAACTAGACTTTCCTACTCTTACCTTGTGCAGAGTGGGACTAGTGGCAGAGATCACCCTCTCTCTCCGCATCTAGTAACTCACCTGTTATGAGCGTTAAACCGTGTCACGGAGTGGTGTTGATTCCACGATAGAAGGTGCATGTGGAACACACAGTGATAACTGAGGAACCAGATGAGTACATAGGGTATATATCTTTCCCCTCGAACCTCTTGCTCGCTGTTCAAAAAGCGTGAATCAAAAAAGGCGCAGTACAGACTGACCAAGAATGCGGCCCATGTGTGGCTACTGATCACAGCGCCTTGCATGGAGTACATACGCGACACGCGCAACGGGAGAAACGCTACGACGAGGTTATAGAATGTCGCGATGGAAGAGATCGCCAGGTCCACTGTGGCCGCTGTGCGCCAATCACAACTGGAGTTGAAACCCCATTGGGGAATAGACACATTTTCGTATTGAGGACGTGTTTCACTTCCGTTCGTGAAGTTATCTAGAAGAATTGAGAAAAAACACCTGGTCTGGTAAACCTATACAATGTCAAACACCATTTTTCCAGCGGAAAATTATTAAATAAAATACAAGAAAAAACCTATTCGAAGAACAATATATGGTTATAAGACAACTGTAGCTTTGCATCAGCTTTAAAACAAGCCAGTAAGTTTATACGGAGATATTTTTACTCTATTTCAAAATCATTGGTAAACCAATATGAAGTATTCTGACCCAAGCTCTATCATCGTATTCGCTTATGTACAAATTAGGGAAGAGATAAAGACCACGAGCTTTGAACACTTAAGAAAACGTCAGTTATGGATTAGAGCGCTTACGATCCACGACCCGTCAGCTCAGGAGCTCGTTCACGTAACAATGGAATAGTGTAAGGCATAAATATACGGAAGGCATAAATATCTTCTGATCCCAGGTGTTTTTGGGACTCTGTCAGAAAATTGTCACAACATCTTCAATTGGGAGATTTTCGGTAACCTAACGGTATAAACGCTAGCTCACCGCGAAGCCAGAGTTGTTCTCACCTCGACATACCTCAACGTCGCTTATTTTAATCGTAAATGCGATGTTTTCAAGGGGATCCATAGATCCATAATAGATCGAAATGCTTCACGTCCTGTTAACTGAACACATTGTTCGGGTAAAAAATGTCACGAAAACTTAGGTCTTTAAAATACGCTTTAGGGCGATTTAATAGCCCAAGCTAAAGCTTTTTCACACCGAACATATAGCCAATAAATGAATTTTGAAGCCAGGAATAGAATGGAAATTGTATTCTTATATTCATGATAATTGTGCATTTTAAGCTTTATGTAATTATAGAGATCTATAGCCCAAGCTAAAGCTTTTTTACAATGTCAATTGTTTTTCCAACCAAATGTCATACTATTTATGAATTTTCAAATTATTTTCACATATATTCTCCCGTTTATATTGCCCACGCTCTGGACATAAACTCAGACCAAGCGGTATATATAGGTCTATCGTTATAAAATTATACAAGCCCTTTCTCGATCACCTGTGTGGGTGGGTGGAACCATTGATACAGCTCATTTTTAAAACTGACGGTTCCTGGTTGCCTATTGTGCTTGTATTTATCAGACTATATGACTTTTATGCACACAAAAAGTAATCGATATCAAACTAAATTATCTTCATCACTTGTTTAAATGCATACTGCTTCACAAGCAAGTAATATTCAATAAACTGCGCCAACTAATCTCAACATCTTTGGCAGAAATTACTATATTAAATTATCCTGGTTAATCGTATATAGGCACTGAACGTTCGGGGATCCTTTTTAATAAGATCCTTGATTGTCAGTCGTTCTCAAAAACAGCCGTGATAGTGAGAAAGCCTTGTGCAAACAAAGACGCAATAATGGCTGAACTTAATCGTAGTTTTTAATTTTTGTTTATTCTTCAGCCATTGCGCGGAGCTAGCTACCTTATATTAGCTAAACACTGCCCTATATATGGTCTTGAAATAGACGATTTTTAATGCTGCCTCGCCGGTACAAATTGAACTGTGAAAATTAAAGTTTATATTCGATAGCGAACATTGAAGTATATATAAAATAGACAGACATAAATTAATAAAACCTTTTTCGACAACTTACTCATTTTCTTCCTGACCCTGTATCGTAAAATTTTACCGTTGTTTCAATGGTATAGCACAACTCTTCGCTTCTCTCCGATTCTGGGAAATTATAATAAAATCTTTCGTATATTCGACTTCAAAATCTTCTTCCCACACGACTGACGCGAACTACCGCATACGTTATAGCAAGGTTCAAGTGTTTGTTTGTTAATCTCACGCCACTGAGAATTGGGCTTTTCAATTGGTCGGTTACAAAGCAGGTGGAAAGTGGCCCCAGCATGAATTGCCTGAAAACTACTTCAGAACAGCCATAAGAATAGTAGAATATATACATCTGTTGTCAAGTTTTATACTTTTTGCCTGCCTACACCTTGCATTGTTTCTCGATAAAAACAATCCCTAGGAAATCGAAGCAATCCTTGAAAACAATTTTCACAGCATGATTTTTTGTGGATGCCTTTTATTTATCAACTTGGTTCTCAGGGTGTAAAGAGGGTATAAATTTCTGCGTAGATAGAAATTCAAAGACAAATATTATTACTCAGTGACGTTAGCATATTTCGTTTACGACGCACATTTAGATTCAGTACGTGCATGGTCGGTACCATCTTTGACGCTCAGTGACTCAGCACCATCATTTATATTAGAAATAAACATGTAACTAACCAAATGGTGTTCAGGTTGAATTGATAAAATTTGAGTAGTTCAGAATCTCACAAATAAGCTATATTCCTGTAGTGCTGAATAAAGATATTATAAGGTACAGTATTTTAAGTAATGTTATTGTCCTTCAACGCGGGGTATCATAGACTGATCGAGGCGCCGATGAATGCTAACGAATCTAAATGCGCGTATAGACGACTCTGGACGGCATAGGAAGGAAGAACGTTGCTCGCGGATTTATCTGCTTTCTTGTGATTCTACGCAAATCAAACTTAATTCCTACAACCAATACAACTTTAACCCTGTGTCAACAATATATATATATAGTTAATTCAATAAAGGCAGTCCTTTGAAAACTGCGCAAGCCTCTGCAACAGTGAATTCAAGTCAGACTGAAACCGCATTTATAGAGAGAGTCATATTTTCTGCTTATTCTTACAAGTTAACGAGCAAAACTAAAACTCCAATGTTTCTCGCATACGAGATGGAGCTCGTCAATCATCGCTCTTCAGGGTATCCTAGTGCTAGCATAACAACTCTTCTTGTATTCCCAAGTTCAACAAGAGTTCACGTCCAAGTTCATGCATGAGTCGCCACGCGCAGGTGCAATACGACCTCCTCTCAAGTCAAATACTCTCGGAGCTTCCTCTTGAATCGGTTTGCACTGACTTAAATAACCGTTGCCATAGCTTCAATCCTTCCCGCCTTAGTCTCGCGTTCGCCCAGAAAAACACTAAGCAGTTTAGCGTAGAATTCATGGAGATGAAAGTGTTCGCCCACATATAAACTTGTGCCAACAGCGTGCGCCTAGCCTCGTTTTCCCGCCAAGGGTACTTCGTCGCAAACACCACTATGCCAATGGGAAGATAGCATATGAACGACAATACGACCACGAGGAAATACATTTTTGCAATCTTTAAATCGTGGATTAAGTTCTGTCGGCCTTTGTTTGAGTCACGTTCGATATCCCCGCTCGCCTCCAGCTTGGAGCGTCGCGTTCTCGCCACTTGAAACATGGAAACGTAAATGAAAAGTGTTATTAAGCAAGCCATGCTCACGCCAGCCGTCGTGAATGGCTTGGAATACGCTGGCTTGTAGAGCCGACACGCTACGTTGGCTGCAATCACGAGCCAGAAAAGCACGCAAGCCAGCATGAATTTTTGCTTCTTGCCCGAAATCCGTAAATGCCACAACGGCCAGACGATAGCAATGTATCTTTCGACATTCATTATTAGCAATGTGGTGGCAGACATTCCTGGAAATATGTACAACGCTGAGAAATACGCGATTTTATACACGCAATCAGGAGACCCCTGCACCTCAGCAATTGCTTGGATCAGAAATAATGGATGCACCACCGACACAGTGGCTAAGTCGACGGAACATAAAACCAATATTGGGAGAAATGTCAACTTGGATCGAAGCTGTTTCGACGTAGCAAATATCACGACGACCAACGAGTTCATTGCAAAACCAATGATGAGCAATATGGCGTTTATGACACAAGCCGAGATGGTACTGTCGATATAAACCTCGGTCGGTGACTCTACGATGTAAGACACTAGACATGCGTTTAAAGTCAATTCATTTCGGGTGAAATTTGAACCGAAAGACATCATTAGATGGTGGAAATCGTCTTCAACGATCAAGACCGCCAATTCCACACAATTATAGCAACTCGCTCGAATTGTCCTGAAATTTCGGTTTTATTGTTTAAGATATTAACATCACGTTGTTAATCATATATGCAAACGGAAGGGCAATTTGGATTTTAGATTCCCACCATATCGGTATAATTTATTCTTATAAGGAAATCCTTGACTTATATACGAATCACCGTTTCGGAAACCAAAGCAAATATATATACGTTACTGGGAAACCTGACTCATGAAAGACTGTGTTCATAGGGAAGTATTTTGAAACTCTAACCTAATACTGCATTACACTTAAGACCAAGGACAAGTCGTGGTTCATAGAAACGGCTTAGGGCTTATCATCTCAGTTGAGACGACTTTTTAATCTTTTAAATATTTTTCAGTGGATTTAAAGAATTTCATTTTCATCATCGTTCATTGCGTAAAAGAAAGAGGGAACTTTATTATAATATTGACTTTGTACTGTTTATTCTGAATGTTTATTGAATGACAGCAATCTCAGACTCTTGTTTGCCTATATTATTGAATATCATTCAATGTTTGGATGTGAAAATGCTGAAATTCGAATGACAATCAGGTAGCTAATATAATAAACAGTATATTCTAATTATATTCTGATATTGACAGAGCCTTTGAATTGAAAGTTATATTTTATAACTTCTATCAAATTTATAACCTCCAAAAAATTCTAACAATGAAAATTTAAACGGTCCAATATACCTAATCAAATATATATATATTCAAAGGACTGGGAATTGAAATTTATTGAAACTTTTTATCGTCTTTCCTCATACAAGAATGACACAGAGATTTGCACCGATATCATTTTGTACATACAGGTACTGCATGATAGATTGCAGTAACTAAATTTTCTTGCAAGGTTCGATTCACGTTGACGCATTTGCTTTATTTCCCAACTCTGGAATAACACTTTACAGTTGACTTGTTTACATTAACGTGGAATTATTTCCTTGTCAAACAATATCCGTATATCAGAGGAGAAATTTCATAAGCAAGGTTACACTTGCGATTTTTGCTGCGATTAATGTGCATGCGATTTTCTCCTTTCGATGGATGGGAACGAGTAATTAGTTACGAATGTTCTGATGTACAAGAGCTCTTATTTGAACTTCAGTAACACATTCACTCGTTCACATCTATCAAAAGAGAAAATGGTCTTTGAATATTAGAGCTCTGTATAAAAACTCAGTGAAATAAACAAAGTGAACTATATAGCTCATGGAGTTTATTAATCTTATATCTCAATTATGTTACATATATATTCAAATCTTTTCGATATTATCACTACTAGTCTAGACCGCACGTATACATAAAGTTCAACTCGAACTTAGTCCACGGCTAGTCATGCCATAATCGCTCTACCCTTGCAGTAGCAGTCATCACTGGGCCCTCCAAAGGTCGCGGCTTGCGCGTCGATTTGGTCCCAGGGCTTCGTCAGCTTACATCCCAGCTCATACCGGTAGCCTTTGAATGGCCCGAACGAGTGCTCGCAAGACTCCTGGGCATCACAAACGAGGGCCTGACAGCTGCACTTCATGGCTGGTTGGAGGACAATTCCACATTTCTTAACGTCGCCGTTTAGAGTAACTTCATTGGGCAGGCTGCGTTCTCGATTCTCAGTCGACTCCATGTCGCGAAACCAATCGCCTGGAAATGACAGAAATGACAGAAATTACACTTTGTCTCGTCAGTCGCTTCAGTCGCTTAACTTAGCTATCAATAAAAGATTACTATACTCGGCTCGAAGAGCCAAGAGCCATAGAAGGAAAGGCGTACAAATACTCGAAAGATAAATTTGTCCTATATTCTGGCAAACCTTTCATCACTTCAAATGGAATCCGGATGTGCTTTCAAGAAAGTGTAACAAAAATGACCGAATAGAATACGCATATGTGATATATATTACAAAATTCGGTTTTAAAAATTTTAGCTATGTAACTCTTTTTCAGTTTGCTCGAGTTTTCGGCTGAACCTTGCCCGATATTCTTGATTCTAGAATTTCTTGATTCTCTGCCCCCTGTCCCGTACGCCTAGGACAATTTCATTCGTTATCTTAAAATCTGCAAGGAATGTTACCTTGTACTTGAAGCAAACAAGTTCCAAATATGAACAGAACAAATACGGTTGAATGCATGTCTTAATCCGTCGACTTTTAAACTCTGAAAAAAAGATAAATTATATATTAGCGACAGTATCTCTCTAAATACACAGCTTATAAAATCGTTTGACAAAGTACAAAGGATGAGCAATTTTTGGTTGTTTTATTAATACAAATATACGGTTAATCGGTTCACTTTTAAACTGCAGATGAAAAGCATAAAGTTTGACTGTTCTATTAGCGCACACCTTTCAGTAAAGCTATCAGAAAAATACGATGCACGTTTAGTTTTTTGATAGGATATTTCATGTAAAGACCTGTAAGTGAAAAATGAGTATGGTTTACAACTTTACCTTGAAATTTTCTTCAGTGATATTGTAGAAACGTGAGATGAGTGGTACTGTCAGCTTCAACGCGCCAAAGGATACTTTAGACGACTGTCACAATTTAATCTATTTGTGAGGTTCCACCCCTTATATATAGAATTTTTAACCCTAATTGATAATATCACTTCATTTTGATGGGAACAGGTGAAAAATATAAATACAAAAACAATCATTTTATGAAATAAATAGAACAACGGCTCACATCAACGCTATTTCCGCTGTTCTACGATTCTTTGTTGTCGTTTTTCTTACTGAATATAAAGTAAACTGGATTTGCTTGATAAAGTTTTGTCAAGTTTGCACTGAAAAGGCAGTTATCATTTATACTGAATGGATTTTGTTAAAATGTGGTTGGTTGCCGGCATTGCGTCTCTCAAAGATATGATATTGAATTTGTCATCAAATTTGGACACTGTCACACAGCACGATATATATATTACCGCCTAATTCACTTGATGGAATTCGTAATGATTGCCGCCCAATCAATATCCTATTGTTTTCCCAACTACCGCCCAGGCTTTTCTTGAACGATTGAGGTTTATAGAACAGCGAGTCTGAATGCAAATATTAATACAATTAAAAAGATGCAATACTAAAACTCATTTTGAAAATGAATGCATTTATGAGCTTATTAAGATGCGTGCAATTTATTTAGGAAACGCTATTCCAATTTCCGTTTGCAAGAATGGTTAATTTTTTTCCCCATCAAATGTGTGATTTGCGTTGAGTTCCAGTCCTTGAATCTAATCTAGTTGTATTCGTATTTCGTGAAGTAGTATACTGATGGTTATTAAACCACAGAACAGAGCTCCACGAAGTATAGAAACCATTTCTTAGCCGGAAAGGATTTTTTAACGGTTGTAAGATAACAAATTGATACACGATAAAAACATTGCATTTTATATATGTATATATGAAGCTAAGAGTATATGAAGCTAAGAATATATGCATTTATTTACTAAGGTCCAAGCCAACACTTGTCATTAACATGTATCATTTTCGTGCGTGGGCAATTTGGACAGAGACAGAGTGGACAAGTGAACTATCAAGTATCGTTCTCAAGTCTTCAACATTTTGTGGCAGGAGTTTGCTGTTTGGAAATTAGAAAGTTATATTACAATTTTTCTGTTTTCATGCATGAACCCTTCGGCATGAAGCGATACCTATCGATTGATATTTCCTGAACGAATTTTCCAAATCACGGTTTTTACCGAAATATATCCATCTATAGCATTTAATCTTCTACACCTACGTTCCGCTGAGGCAATATCAAAAATTAACACGTAAATGGATTTATAAAAGTCGCTGTTACAATATAAACGGCATATGCGTGTAAGTACTTAGGAATCCAATTAAAATAATTTATATTCTCAAAGATATATGTTTCTTGTTTTGGCGTTTACCGCATTTACGTTTTACCGTAAATTTGCTTGCAATTTTTTTCCTGTTATTCCCTGATAAAACATGATACTCATTTCGCTTCTCTGCAGTGCTGCATGTCTGCTATAAACGAGTCTACTAGAAGCTTCAACCTGCATCGTTTTGAAAATATCAAAATTGCACCTCCGGCTCCACATTTGTTGAATCAAACGTGTGACTAAATATTCACACGTCGGACAAACCAACGAGTTTTTCAAACGCACCGCAATAAAGCTCCGAAGAGTAGGCTGATAGACTAAACGTTTTAATCATTAACAAAACCAATTTTTCGGCTTTGCTTTAAACCTAATGAAAGGCAGTTTTTTTCGGCTATTTGAAGGCGGAGCAAAGTGACTTGATCCCGCTGATTGTTTGTGCTTCTGAAATGTATTTGACTCGATCGATTTCGCAAAAACTACAGGTGGTCGATTTGATCTAATGCAGGCGAAACGGATCCACGGCTCGCTAAATTACTGATGTAACTTTTCCAGCTCCGAGGCAAGGTTAAGGCAGGACCGTGAAGGCCTAACCTAATTGTTGCATGCGTTTCTAGAAAAACCTTTAACTTGTAAGTCTGGTCAATGTAGGTGAATTTAAATTGATTTTAAAAACCCACAAACGTTTGCTTCACGTCGAGAATTCTAACTTTCTTCGGAGTATTTGATAGGATGAATACTTCAATTAAGGCACGAACATTGCGTAAAATTGACGATGTTTTGAAAAATATAAAGAAAAGCCTGTGTGAAACCGCCGTCTTTTCTTCCGTCAAATAGATTGGAAATTATGGATAATGAGATGTGATGTTTCATTATGCCAAGAGAGGAATGCGATTGGACAGGAATGAAAGATGCACAGATGTAGAAATTTAACTACTTACGTTGAGAAAATTAACTTTAAAAAGCTGGAAAGCGGTGTTGTTTAGGAGTGATGAAGATGGTCTAATCAGGGGTCCTGAAGATAGAGGCTTGCTTAGATTGGGGACCTTTTCCACGGCTTCCGTTGTTTTCCTGCACATAAAACTCATTGTTTTTTTCACTCATTCCATTTTTACAAAAATATCGCTTTACAAATACAAATATTACACCCGCCCACTCATGCACACCGGCTAGTCTTCCTCATCGTCTATGACAATTTTTTTGTCTAGAAGTTGGTAAAGTAATTGAAATTTTGAGTCCAGGTCCACTCGCAGCTGTCTGAACTGATCGTCAACTTTTTCCAGTATTCGCTTTTCTGCCGCAAAAATATTCGCTGATATTGAGTTGAACACCGAGATACATCCGGGACATCCGCACGTTTCGCACCTGCCAATGGAGGGAAATGTGCACATTATATACGCAGTCTTCGTATTAGCAGAGTTTCGTCTTGGAAACTGCGGTGATTTTTAAGGCATTGGAGGCATTTAGGGCCTGTAGAGTAGAGTAGAAATGTTGAAGGAACCTTAAACTCACCTTGGGCTGTGCCCTCCCTCTTCTAACCATTTTTGGCGGAGTTCTCAGGATTAAAACTCCGATCCCGTCCTTTCTCGCCAACACAGCTATCGGAACTGTGACGTTGTCTGATTCCAGTCTCTCGCGTGTCCTCCCTTACTCCCTCGTGTCCGTCAAACGACATCGACCTCGGTACCTCGGCTGATGACTTCGGTGACATGCTCTGACTTGCGCGCACGCGTGACTGAAGATACGCTGCCCAACGTGCTTGCGGTCTCGAGGATGCGTCCTGAGTCATTGAAGTTTTTTGCTCGCTGTTAAGTTTGTCCTTGAGGCCCATCTCCGAAAGCATGTTCATAAAAGGTTCGTCTTGCTCTGGCTGGGAAGTCTCAAGCCTTGCTTTTACTTCGTCTGAAACCTCTACACAAAGCAAATAAAACATGAAACGGCAAATCCATTGAAACACCCGTTGTTAGACTTGCCTAATACCTTTTTCATCTTGTTCAGGTAATGTCGCAGTGTCCCTAGCGAGCTCAGTTCCCGGCCTTGCCTGTGAGATATTCTGTAATAGTGCTGCCTGTGATGAAAGCATTTGCTGCGCTTTGAAAGCTGGACTCTAAAGAGATGCAAAATACGTTTCAATACCAAGGGGAAGCGCGTCTAACAACGCTATCGATCAATAGCTAGACTCCATTCATACTCCAAGTTTCTTAGAAAGCAATCACAATATTACCCCTGTTACAGGGTACCAGACTTTCAATATCATCTTACCTTTTGGTAATTTTCTATCGACTGCAGCATCTTTTGTGCGTCATCGCTAAGTGGTCTGCCCACTGAACCAAGATAGCGTTTAACACTGGACAGATTAACTGCTCCGCCTAACTGAGGTTTAAATTAAATTAAGCTGAGCTTTCGACAATCGAGAACCGGGAAATTGGACTGGAGAAAAGTTATAATGATCAGCATTTCGCGATTTTAGCGCCCACCTGATCGTCCTGAATAGATGCGATTGGTTTGCACTTCTCAACCTTAATCACAACGGCTTTAAGTTTCATGTGGTCTTTACACGAATGAGACAAAAACTATGAAAATACGAAGAATAACGTCAGCGATCATGTTGCGTTTTTTTCATAATGTAATTAGCATAATTAGCGTACTGTACATTTTATTCGAATGGTTTTGTCACCTGAGACGTACTTTTATTGTTGCATTTGATTTACTGTCGATATAAGCAGAAAGATCAAACTGGGCTTCAAAGACTGACAGTTTCCTACAAAACATTTGACAGTATCAACCTTGGAAATTACAGAACTTTTGTATACTTTTAGCCATATTCAAGTATATAGTTGTAGTATGTTGATAAGAGCAACAGAGATGAGCTGGGACTATTTGAGCACAATGCATCTAAGACATGCATTAAATGGCAAATAGTACAACCTACAGAATGTGTCTATGATTGTACAGATGCTTCATTACTGTGAATGGCATTGCACGAGAGAGACCTTAAATAAGAAGAGCCTTTCTTCACTTTCTTGCTCTAATAATAGGAATCAAATGAATGGTGGAAGGATTTAAACTCTAATTCCTGACTTCTTGCAACACAGTCAAAGCCTTCAACAGACCTCTCTTTGTTTAATGTTAGCATGATTCCTCTAGTACTTTTCTCATAGCCGCCATTAACATATAGCTCAAGATTTCTTGCCTCGGATAAAAGGACAATCTTTGTGATGCAGAAAGACTCGTGAGGTGGATGAACAATGAACTTCATTTCATACGGGATATCAGGATTATCCTTGGGCTGACACAGTGTCAAGCCAGGGTTTGCCTGATGCACACAGCCAATCAAAAGCTGCTCAAGAGATCTGCATATGAAAAAAGTTGACCTGGATTATTCTTGGCAGAACATAATAAAAGACACTGAGTGGACCACAAAACCCCCCACAACCAAGGGTTACATAATTACATAAATAGATAATCAACCCTCAGTCACATAGGTCAGCTTATACGTACATAGTAACATAGCTTACTAAATAAAATGTTAAATCAAATTTATAGTATGCCACCAGCTCAAGGGAATTTAGGGTATTGGAAGTACCACTCAGCTTCACTACATTTAGTACAAGTGTCTCAATGATACATACATGTATCCATTTACATAGTTTTATTAAATGTCTGTTAAAGTTATCATTCAAGACAAATGGTACTCTTCAAAGCTCTAAACAACACTACCTTTCATCGTCTTCGTCTAAAACACGAAACACGTCGGGTAACAACGATCGTAGTTCACCATCGCCACCATAATTCCACGTGAAGGTGAAATTAAATTTCAATAACATATGATCTATTTTATCCCAAGACATCTGAAGACCCAAGTGAAAAACGTAGTTCGAAAGGAATTTTAATCTCAGTCCAGATCGAGTAATATCATTTAATATCTTAACAGGAATACCATGTATAAATTATTTATCGAAAGAGCGTGTCGACTTTGGCGCCAAATTTTAATCCAAAACAAACTACAGCCTTGGAGGATGGTTATAGATTGGTGAAGATCCAAGTTAGTGCACTTGCTACTTGTCAATGAAGGCCATCATCCATTTCTATTCCGATGTTTACTTGAAAATTCATCAAACAGAACAAAAATATTGAAAACATTGCAAGAAAAGCAATGCTAGTGACAAAAAGGCATAATTTCTTGGGCGAGCTATGGTTTAAAGCCCACCGGAAATTTACAATTATGAAATGTTGCAAAAATTGTTACAGGAGTTCCCCTCGCATTCGATAGCGCAACTGAAAATGTCGAAACCTTTGTTCATATTTCTGGCTCTGGCCGTGTTTTCTTGTGCTATTTTCGGAGCTAACTGCCAGACAGAGGTACCAAAGTATCGCATAGATTTGGACCAACCAGCTGAAACCCACTGGCTAAAAATTGGGCATGATTTTGCAACCTACACTCCATACCTCGAAAATATGCTGAAGGAAAAAATTCCGTCCACAATTTTTCCACTGGCCGAAAAAGTTGCTTTGTATCTGGATACTATTTTCGAAGAGCCTTATCCAGGAGAGTTAAGAGGTGTATCAAAAGCTGTGAATATGACTCTGCCCGATGTGATCTTGCTAAATCTGTACTATGACCTTACGGCGTATTGCACTAGTATTGTGGCTCAAGATGATCAAGGCGATATATACCATGCACGGAACTTGGATTACCACGATGCTGCTCTTTTGAGAAATATAAGTGTTCACATTGATTTTATCCAAAATGGTAGGCAATTAAATCAAATCGTTAACTGCCAAGTATTTATCAAACTGCTTTTGACGTCAATTGGTAATCATTAACCCCTTTTTTTTAAAGGAAAGGTTGCCTACAGTGGTGCCACATTCGTAGGGTATATTGGCATCTTAACAGGCCAGAAACCACTCGCCTTTACAGTGACTTTAGATGAAAGAGATAAAGGTTTTGTTTGGGAGAATGTTTTTATGCTTCTTTTGGCAAAAACAACACCGGTTGGTTTCTTTCTAAGATCATTACTTGCAAACAAGGACAGCAATTTTGATTATGCAGTTCAGCAAATTTCCGAAGTTGAAATGATTGCACCTGCATATATCATTGTGGGTGGAGTGAGGAAGGAAGAAGGAGCTGTTGTTACAAGAAATAGAATTAAAGCACTTGATGTTTGGAAACTAAATATCTCCGAGGGCAGGTATGCAAAACAATCTCTCAGTTCATGAAACATATAAAATAACCCATAACATTTTCTACTTTTTATGAAAGATGGTTTTTGGTTGAGACAAACTATGACCATTGGCTGCCTCCGCCGTCAGGAGATGACAGACGGGATCCTGCAATCAAGGCAATGAATGAAATGGGGCAGCAGAATGTAGGAGTTAAAGGTTTATTCAATGTCATGTCAACAAAACCAGTCTTGGGTTCATCTACTGTATACACTGCAATAATGTCTGCAAAATTTCCATCAGTGTTCACTACTTGGCGAAGAGATTGCTGCACTTAGCCTAGTACTTTGCCTTCACAGCAAAAGGTTGGAATTAACACATACATGCACTACATACAATAATTATTTTTCTAATAATAGTTTTAAATTTTTAAGAATGAATATTTTACATAGTTTAATAAGAGAAAAAAACATAAAACTCTTTATTTCATGCCCATCCTCTTACTTCGCTTGAATTACTAATTTAACTCATTGGAAAAAATGGTTCTTGATTCAGGGTGAGTGTTGAAAATATAAGCATCAAACTTTTTACATACAATTTTAAGTTGTAACGTTAAAGTGTTGAACAAAGCAACTGGTATATATTTTAGCTTTTGTGTTTGCTTAACAACTGTTTGTTGAGTCCTTCACGATTTCTTGCAATTTCAATGGCCCAGAATTGGATCCTCGGTACTGAAAATTGGAAGAAACAACACAAATTTATTACTTTCTAATTTCGTATCAGGTGTTCTGCTTCCTATGCTGTAAACAACTGGATAAGGTTGTACAGACCCAATGTTGTGTTATCATCAGAAATTCCTTTTGAAGAATCAATTCTAAAGGTTAAATAATTAAAAAGGTTCAGTACCGTTAGAAATCGTTTTATTTCAGGAGTAGAAATTCAAAAACTATTACAATATTAACAAATTAAAGAAACCTTAGTAATGTCCCAAAGTTATAATCTTCCACCAAACCTTTGAAACATTCACAAAAGGGTCTCCATTTCTAAATAGAAAAAATTGAGTTGATAAAAATTGATTTTAACATAATTCAAAAAATGGCAATGAATGTGAAACATCAAATTCAATTCTATATTTCAATTTATAGTTACTTTATGTGCAAATTATTATTAACTACTCACATCTTTTGATTCCGCTGTCTTAAGATCATCAAGGTTTAAATTATCAATCTGCAATTAAGGACTTAATTAAAAAGGAGATGGACCAAACGACCAAGAAATTGTGTACATTTTCCACTGAAGCAGGCTGCTGCATGGTAGAACTAATTCAAATTTCACCTTGAGGTCTTTCATTTCTCTTTTAAATTTATCATAAATCTCATTGTCACAGCTATGAACGTAAGAATAAAAAAATCAGGTACAGTTCAATATTACCCACAGGAACTGATGAAAAGAACAACTATCAACCATATAAAAACATAAATGCATGCAGGAGTTAGCTAGAGAGTAACCTACCTTGTAAAATTGAGATCTGAGCAATTGATTGAAGATATGAGCTGAAATTCAAGGAAGAGAAGTCTAGGTTCATATATACTGTACAGGCTGATGGTAATTTACCTATTCATAATGGTAAGTATTAAATACTAGTTAGTAGCAGATCTAATTAAACCAGACAGTTTGAAGATAGTTTACACTTTACCATACTCAAGTGATGTTTTGAGATGGCCATTAGGGTTAGGGAATTGGATAACGGTTAGTTTAAGTTTAGTTTCTGTTTGTGTCATTTAAATGATGTCATTTAGATGATTGTGCATATAAGAGAATGGCACATCATGGTAAAATTTCTGAACATGTGAAGTAAAGTTTCTATCTACATGGGCAACTAAACATTTTGAGATATTCTATGTTAAAACTTACATTAAAATATATCTCAGCATGTTCATATGCTTTCATCGCCCATGCTACCTCAACCGTATGCTACAAAATGTGTAAAACAGCATGATTTGGGAGTTTAGTACTAAGTTGATAACCGCACAGGCATTCTTTGTTGAACTCAGGGCTAATTTTAGGTCAATTTTAACTGGTTTGTGTTAAGATCAGGGGAGGGCAGCAGACTAATATGTCTATGCAGTTCATATTAATGCTCCAGTTAAAATCTTGAGGTCAGATCAAATCAACACAAGTCTTTTGAAAGTTGAAAGAGGCAAAGACACTTTGAAAAAATATAATTAAAACAAGCTAAACATAGTATCACTCACATCGTTTACGTATTTGCTTGCGTCTGTAGTGAAACTCATCAGAGAAAGCTTTCTTTTGGGAGTAGAAAATTTGCGTGCTTTCGAAAACCTCGCGTGTTTGATTCTGCGCTAAATGATAATCAACCACGCGACTCCTCTGGTATATAGTACTGCGGGCTTGCACGGTTGGCATAGAAATGAGGCTATATTTCTGCTCATGCGCAAAATGCACGCAAACAACAAGATTTAGTTTTTATCGCTTCCCGAAGTGAAACTGGTTTTCGTTTTACTCAAAAAAACCCTTGAATTGCTCGCTTTTCAGCCTAATATCGAGGGTATGGACGGTTTGGAGAAAAACACCGAGGATGACTTGGTAAATATACGCTTTTATTTTACTTAAACGAGTCAAATTTTGAATGATATTCTTTCTTGTGTATGTGTCTACGGCGTTTTATTATCCATAAAATATACATCCCATACAAAAACAAAGCCCCGTTACAACTCATTTGTTCACGTTATATAGGCGATGCAAACAGATATTATAGCTATGGCGACGATAAAAAAGAAGGGGAAAACAAACTATCAACAAGAGAATGCTGGCTGCCTGAAAATGTTTGAGAAATGGACGGAATCGGAACAAGTTAAATTCGTCGAAAATCTTTTGTCGCGAATGTGCCATTACCAACACGGACACATTAACTCATTCCTAAAACCCATGTTACAGCGCGATTTTATCACATCTTTGCCAGGTTTGATGAATGATCTCGTGTGTATTACAAATGTAGAAAGTGTTAGCCTAGAACTATAGCAGATTTCGTCAAAAATGCCAAGTATTTCGGAAGGTTTTTTAAGAGCAATCTTGCTGTGTCCTGTATCAGCGTATGATAAAGTCGAAAATTCGCAACGTGTTATTCGGTGGTAGTCTATTTATTGAATACTTAAAATACGTGTCATATTTTATATAGTTTTTGAGATTTTCGTATGATATATTTTGTTGTCCTGGCTACTTGTCCAAAACAGATTTTTAATCTAAACAATTTGTTTATGTTTACCTGCAATTTTCAGTACAATTTGCGAATAAAAAAATACATTGTTTGTATTTAATGACCGGAAGTCTTGCTTGCCTTGGATATTTACGTGTCTCAGGGTGACTATTCAAATTTTGAGGGCTTCTTAATCATGCCAATATTATCCTGATCTTATACATTCCCCTCCTTTTTAAAAAATTAGGTTTTCTTGCCTTGCACATGCCTAAACCAGCTTAGTCCACTTTTTTAAAGAGGATATAATATCTTTATTAAGTGCTGAAAGGTGCAGGAAGGGTTAAAGATTGAAAATATCTAAGAATAGATGAATATGAGTATTAAATGATTGTCCTTACAAGAGGATAAAGACAATTAGGGAATGATTAATGAATATTTAATAACAGGAGTGTCCTAAAAAAGATATTGTTTATAAAGGCTTATTTACCTGCTCTGTTTTATGATGAATGCTCATAACTAATGCCTGCTGTCTACAATAGCTGAATTTGTACTGAGATGGATCATCTGTTATTATGAAAAGATTGCCTCATCTGATGATAAGGTCAAACAAGCATTTCAGATACTTTGTCATTGCAGATGGAGCGTCTACAGTCTGCACTAAATGGTCATTAAACAGACATAATTTTCTTTCTCTGTTTCACTAGGAGGATGATCTGTCTCTAGTACAAATTAACTGACTTGTTGACCAAGTATTATAATTTTAAACTGATTAGCTGTTCTAGAAATTGATGCAATATAGAGAAAGTTGTGCAGCAATGATCATGACAACTAATACATACTATAAATCCCAATCTTCCTGTTGCTGGCTTGAAAACAGATTTTAAGGTTTGGTTTTTAAATCTTAGGCAAAGGTTTGGATCATGTCGCTGAAAACATTTTGTCATACTTGGATGCAAAGTCCATGTGTGCGGCAGAGTTAGTCTGTAAGGAATGGTACAGAGTTATCAATGATGGTATGCTTTGGAGGAAGCTGATTGATAGAAAAGTTCGCACAGATTCTATGTGGAAAGGATTATCTGAAAGAAAGGGATGGTAAGTTTATATTTCTGATGATTGGAAAACATTGGCTTTGTTTTTATCTCCATCAAAATTTTCTATTTCACCAACATATTGTTTCCTTGAAATTATAGGGGTCAGTACTTGGCAAAGGGAAAATCAGAAGATCCACAGAACAATTCATTCTTTCGCAAACTTTATCCACAGATTATATCTGATCTTGAGGTAACTATTCTCTCATTTCAAGTTTAAAAGAAAAGGTACCATACCAGTTTCAGTAAAACCAAGGAATAGTGTGGTAGCATCTTCAAACTGTGATGCATCAAATGTGGTATAACTTGATTTTCCTGTTACCTGTCTAGACAATTGAGACAAATTGGAGAACTGGTCGTCATCAACTTCACCGTATAGTCTGTCGTAGTGAGAACAGCAAGGGTGTGTATTGCTTGCAATACGATGATGAGAAAATTGTCAGTGGGTTGAGGGACAACACAATCAAGGTTTGTCAGAAAAAAAGATCTTCATGAATCTGTCATCTTTGCTGGCTCGCTAGCATTTAATTATAACTTAGGATGAATTTTTTTGGTTCTTAGATTTGGGACAGGAGATCATTAGAAAGTTCACTTGTTTTGACTGGACACACTGGTTCTGTCCTGTGTTTGCAGTATGATGAAAATATCATTGTTACTGGATCAAGTGATTCCACTGTTAGGTGAGAATGGTAGAACTAGTTTTAGATGGTACTCTAGATGGTACTGTTAAATTACATTTGATGAGCGTACCCCTATCTACAAAATCTACAAATATATTAATTATTATATTGAATTCCCTCTGGTTAACCTAACAGGGTGTGGAACATTCACAATGCAGAGATGGTGAACAATCTTGTTCATCATTGCGAGGCTGTCCTCCATTTGCGCTTCCAAGATGGCATGATGGTAACCTGTTCAAAAGATCGTTCCATTGCAGTATGGGACATGCATTCTCCAACTGACATAATCCTGCGGCGAGTTCTGGTTGGTCACAGAGCTGCTGTTAATGTTGTTGATTTTGATGATAAATACATTGTATCTGCATCCGGAGATCGAACTATCAAGGTTGGTTTAACTCTTGATCTAATTCTAGTAGATGCTTCTGGTGGATGCTTTGTAGTTTGAAGGCTTGTAATGTTATATATATGGCAAATATAAGGAATAGCAATTCTCTTTTCCTCAAGAAAAAAACAGTGATAGATCTCAGAATTGCTGACTGATGTATCTCAGAATTGCTGACTGATGTACGTATGTTATTGGTTTGGTTGTATTTTTTCAGGTTTGGAGTACGTCAACTTGCGAATTTGTGCGCACTCTCAACGGCCATCGACGTGGCATCGCTTGTTTGCAATATCGCGACAGAATTGTGGTCAGCGGCTCATCGGATAACTCGATAAGGTACGAATGAATCCAGTGTTTTCTCTGTCCAACATTTCTGTATAAAGAACTTTCTCTGTGAGAATGATTGTGAACCCAGGCTCATTGTAAATACATCTCTATAAACATCATCATCCTTTCATAGAATTTGGGATATCGAGTGTGGAGCGTGTCTGAGAATTTTGGAAGGTCACGAGGAATTAGTTAGGTATGGAATTAAATAGTTCCAATGTAAATTTCTTCCATAGGAAACTGTCTAATCGCCGTTGGTGTTACGGAGCTCAACTCGTGAAAATATCTTTATTTTAGGTGTATTCGATTTGATAACAAGAGGATAGTTAGTGGGGCGTATGACGGGTAAGATTTGCATTCTTCTAATTGAAAAAGATGTATCTTTTTATTGTAGTTGCCATAGAGAAGTTCTTCTGTTTATTGCAGGAAAATCAAAGTATGGGATCTGAAGGCAGCACTCGATCCTAGGACCCCTCAGTCGGCGTTGTGCATACGGACACTCGTGGTAAGAGCAGCACGTTGTCTAAATAAGATTTTGGTTTGTTCTGTGGGTGAAGCTGTGTTGATTTGTTCTGTGGGTTCAAGCTTAAAAGTAAGCTTGTCCACGGTGGGTTCAGCTTACCTGCGGTTGGCTACAGTATTAGTTCATCAGAGTCACATGCACACAATCGTTATTCAAAGTTAACTGTGCGTGTGTATTTTCAGGAACATACCGGACGCGTTTTTCGCCTTCAATTTGACGATTTCCAGATCGTGAGCAGTTCTCATGACGATACGATCCTTGTGTGGGACTTTCTGAACGGTACGGACCAAAGTCAGCCCACGACGAGAACATTGCGTACCGCGCCAAATACGGTCTCATCACCAACTAGGTAGCACACTACTCTCCCTTGTGTGGGTGGCCGGGGGGAGCGCCCATTTTGTAGCAAACGATTTTCCATTGCCCCACGCAATTTTCACGTGCATTCGTTCCACCGTAATTTACAAACGTTTTGTTTAGAACAAAGTTAGCATGAAATGAACTTAAAAATATCATAATATACCTTCGTACGGGTTGGGTGAAAGGTACCTCAAAAATGAGCTTCTATAACTGAGGTACCTCAAAGACCAGCGAGTTTACCCCGCTGGAGAAAATATACTGCAATGTGTGAAAAAAGTTCCTTTTTGCAGTAAAAAGTCTAGTACTGTAAAACTGATTACTCTTCAATCTTACACGTAAGGAATTATTTATTAGAGAGGTCAACCTAATCTGATTTATTATGGTTCGTTTTGAGGTCTTCCTGCGGGGCACATGCAGCTAGTACACTTTGAAAATTCCACTATGACATAGTGGCGAATGCATATTATGCATATTTAGCATTTGTAAATAGAAAATTTAAGCCTGTTGATAAAATCAGTGAAAAAATAGATATTTTACAGTAGAAAATGTGAGACGTTTAAGGGTGTTTCTTTTAGTTGTTTTTCTTCATGAATTTCAAATGAATAAACCAATCGTAAGGAGTTTGATCCTATAATTACAAGTGCATTAGTTAGTGATTTTATTTATTCTTTTAAATTGCATAACTAAATGTGTGTATATTTATAGACAAAATACCTTTCATGTTCACGGCTTTCTGTCCTGATTTATTTTTTTGCAACTTATTGTTGGACCTTTATTTGTCATGACAAATTATCATGACGTCATATACCCGCGAGGAATGACGTCATATGCTCAGTCTGCGTTTTGTGCATTTTTAACCGTCAGGCTACAAATAAAACCATGCTAAAAAAGGGTGCTCTAATCCTTGTACAAATGTTTGGATTATCAGGCGATTTGCCATATTTGTTACAACCAATCATCACTCGTTAAAATACAAAGAACAATATAAATGTATTTAGTACACTTTCTCGCAATACTTGGTATTATCTTGCACCACTTTAAAGGATCGACATCGGATTTCGAGACCGTTTTTTAACAAACATGGAAGATGCTCTCTGGTCCTCAGCACAATGTGCCATAACCCATTCAACCGTTGAACGCATTTGATTTCGTTTAAATGCATTATTGAGGTCAGTGAGTTGACGATTTCGAGAATCCCGAACTTTGATAACCGACGCGAACCATGATTATATTCTGAATCAAAGAATAAACAAACACAATCCTCTCTTTCAACATGAAAGCTTATTTGTTTTGCAAGGTTTTGTGTACCCGAAGGCAGGGAATATTCCTTACTGTTTTCTGTGATGCAAGGTAGTTTTTCTTGATGTGGTATATGTGCTTCAGTTTCTACAGACGTTTTGCTTTGCGTATCTTCTTGCTCGCATTCTGTAATAAACAACTTCCTGAATTTCCAATCTTGCACGTTTTCATTTTCAATGCCATCCACGTTTTCTGTATCCGAGTCGTCGTTTTGTGAGTTCGTAGAACAGCGTCTTTGTTTCGTAGGTTTTATTTTCCTGTTTCTTTGCTTTCCCGTTTCCATGACGCTTTCGCTGTTAACACTGCGAAATTCGTTCGTCCAGCTCTCTGCGAACAGCAGACCGGTTTTGCTGTCGTATACCTCAAGCTCGCAGGCGATTTCTGGAAAGTCTTGCGGGAAGCAGCCGATGCAACCAAAACCTGTGCAGAGAATGCGTCCACTCTTAGTTTTGTGCGTAGCAACTCCGGTTATCCATCTATTTGCTGTTATGTATTCTGCCATTGCCTTGCCGAACAATGTCAGAGCATTAAATATATTGTATCTGCGATATTTAATGCTATGCTATTTAGCATAATTTGCATAGTCGGTGTTGGTCGGATATTATCGACGATAAATCGGAGACAGATAAACAGAAGTACAGAACAGAAGAAGGCGCGAAGCTCAAAAATTAAAATGTGAAGTTCGACACAACAGGTTTCTTGTTTAAAACAACCGATTTATTACCAAAATAAACGGATCAACTGGAAAATATTTAGCACAGAATGGCTTCTACATCGACGCTAACTCCAAAGTTGAGGCATGGTTCTAATTTGGCAGTATCATCACCTTCAACGCCAACTGATTTTCTTTCACCAGCGAGTCAAATAAGAAGAGTTCGACCAGTTGTTTTAGCTTCACAAGCTGGTACGTTAGCGGAAAACGACGATGCTACGGAAAAACAACAACGACAAAAGTCGAGGCTTACCTCTTTGCAAAGCCCTGCTTCGATGACTCCGAAATCGGCCAATAGATTGAATTCAGTTCCGGAAAGGTTTGTATGAAGTGATTGAAATCTCACTACAAAGTACAAAAGTGTATTCATTCTGTATCATTCAAAATGTCTTCACAATTGCCTTGGCCTAAGACCTTAAGGCCTAAGGCCTATTAAATACTTTTATGGGAACTGTAAAGTTATAGATTACATATATATATTTAGAGAATTGGTGATCAACTATTTTTTGATTGAATGATTTTGCATATGTACTACAATTACTACTTTTATTATTACTATTATTATTACTCTTTAAAAGTATAGTTGTTTCTTGCAAAATTAAAAGAGGGCCATTTACTTTTGCAGCTCAGGAATTCCAGTGAATGGGAGGGCAAAATTGACAAACATTCAACTGAAAGATTTGTATTCCAACTGTTTAAAACTGTCCACAGAAAATGTAAGTCCAAAGTTTTAGTGTATTCAAAAAAGTTGACTGAGCATGTTACTAAAATAAATGATTAGTTAGCATTCTTTAAAAATCTATTTAGAAAATTAATTCAAAGAATGCTTTTGGTCTGCAATTAATCGATTACATGCAAGAATTTCTGACCAATGTTGATAAAGATGAGGAGGTTACAAACTTTCAGGTATTAATACGATTCTTCATGAATTGTGATCACTATTTGTGGATGAAATTAGTGTCTTTTATTAATTTTTAGATTGCCAGTTGCACTTTAGATGCTGGTGCCAAGATTTATGCAGGAAGGGTTGATTCTATCCATGCTCAAGCATACAAGATGTTGGGGGGTTTAGGACGAGCTGAAAATTCTAATGAAGATGGCAATGAAGGTGGTGAGAGTGGTGATCCTCAGGATCAAAATGTGCAAATTACCAAGAAGAAAAAAGTAATCAGCATTTAGCAATACTTTATGTATCTAGTATGACTGTATGAGTATTTTATGATTTACTACTTAATTTTACAAATTTCTTTATGTTTTTTTGTAGTCACGCAAGTCTGCAAAGGTTATTGAATCAAATTTGAACAATCTAAACACTAACCAATTCGACATGCATTTTGAGGTAGGGGTCATAAGGCTATAATCACCCTGGGTTATGCTGCCTGTGTCATGAGAAGATCTACCTTGGACAACTACAAATTATGAAAATAATTTAACAGCAACACAATTATTTCCTTGTACGATTTAGGTTGATCCATTGTTCCAGAAATTATCAGCAACATTTGACGAGGGTTGTACGAGCGGTTTACTATTAAACCACCTCATCCGAAGAGATGATTACTGCGAGACACTTTTCGACTCCAAGACTGTACCTCCAACCACCATCTCTGATTTCAATCCTGGAAATTCTCAGACGGTTGATCTGCACGATATGAAAGGTAAAATTACCCTAGTGCATGGGGTCACCAGCATTGATAAGTGGGGAAGGATTCATATACTAACATTCATTGACCCTAAAAACTATCAATTTGAAAAATAATGAACAATGTGTGTAGAAGAGACGAATATAAGAATATGTCCCTCCCCACACTCACATTTACAAAACAGACAATGCTACAGGACAGGCCATAGACATAGTGATAGCTTATATATGCTTCCTTCGTGTAGATTTGAACATAAGGCTAACATCCCCAACCATCCAGATTTGTCCCCAGTATGCGGAATTTTCCTTCACAAACTGGGACGTCAATGCTGAGGTTTGTGAAGATAATTTTCATAATCTCAAGTTTGCCTTGATAATTGTACAATAATCGATTTAAAAGATTTTATGAAGACTTAATTATTCGCGTTTTCATTCCTCGTGATTTAGACTGCCAAAGAAAATGAAATATCCTCCAACGAAACTGATGAAAATGCATTTGATATGAATGCACCGGGTCCAGGTATAACGTGGGATATAATACGTCCTGCATTGATGCTTGTTGAAGTAATGGTGTCTATTATAGTATTAATATATATTATATCTCACTATATATATCACGCAGTTGGGTATAACATTATATGCTCATAACTAGAGCAATTTGCTTTTTAGCGCCTTTCGATTCTGATAATAATCCGAATGGTGACGTATTTGACGACGATGGTGACTGCGGTGGTTTCGATGACAATGGAATTGACGAGGTAAGAATCGGTTTTTTGTTCCCATAATCTTCTCACGTCTCGTCCCAACGTCCAGTCATCTATCTGCGAAATAATTTGAAATCATCGCTGAGAACCTTTGTTCTAATATCTTGCCATTTACCTGACAGGGTCTCGGAGTGGGAAACCCAGATATTTCTAGCAATGTTTTTGGTTTTGCCAACGGTCAAGAAGCACGCTTACTCTTACCTGGGGAATCAAGGTAAAGAGAGAACTTGTACTTGGCTAAACTTATACTTAAACTTCCCATCCAAATGACCTTGTTAAAATATGCTCATCGTCGCTATATTCCATCGTTTTTAAGGCCAAACCAGACAGTTTTGCCTGGTGAAACAGATCTTGGAACGTTCATGTTATCACTTCAGTCATCGGAAAACGCCAATGAATATTCGTACAGTAATTTGGCAATGTGGGCTGGTCCTGCACAGTGGAGGAGTCGAGCTCAGATGGACGCTCTTAAAGGTATGGTTTTATTTGATTATAACGAGACTTGCTTTAAGGTAAATCCTCGAATTGCAGAGGGAAAGGACAATAAATGCAAGCGTTTCGAGGTCTGAAAATCTTGGGGGTCGTTCTCTAGGTTTGAACAAAGGAAATTCAAAACGAAAAACGACAACGCGAAAGAAAGTTTTCAGGATTGAATTCGATGCAACTCACGATTTCAAGAAACTGTTTTCCAAAGGAAGAGTATGTGAATTATAATGTTCAATAAATGTTTACTGCTGCAAATCTATTGCCGTATACGGTTCTGCTTATGTGCGTGGTTAGTTATGAATCTCTTATCATCGCAAATCCACCCCGACCGAAGGCTTAACGCATATGACGATTCTTTCAATCTAGGCAGGGACAGTGTTGTCCAAGACGTCGATGGATAAACGTGCTTCATTGCAAAAAACTTTGCCGGAAGATCTTCATTACGAGTTCAACAACCTTATGAAATTGTTCCTCAAGACTAAACTAATGGTACGAAGAAGAATGACAGTTTAGAATGATTGAATCTGTTGTCAATAGTTGTAATAGTCCGGACAAAGCATGTTGTTTCGGACAAAGCATGTTCCTGATTGGCCAACCGTTGTAACATCGGCCAATCAAAAGCACGCTTTGCCTGCATGCAAGCGACGTCATAATGCAGATATACCTTTATAAAGATCATTACCATGATACCATCTTTTAATACAGATTCGTCGACAGTATGGTCCGCAGACCACCGCTCTCCCAGACGATGGAAATGGTAGGTTGGACGTTGCATGGGGTATGGAAATTTTCAGTGCATAAATCTTTTACAGTGATGTTTCTATTTAGCCAGCAATTGGTACAATTATGAAAACGAAAATGATTGTGCAAACTTCTGCCCTGCTGGAACACAGGTATAAGGAATAATAAATTATCCATTGAAAATGCTTAGAGGCAGCTTACTCGTGTGATTTTTGCCGCTATTTCTAGTACGACTTTCTTTAGACGGATGCAAACGAGTGAACAGTTTTGAATTCCCCATGTTTAAGTGTCTTTATTTTAACATCCGTAACTTAGCCACTCGATCACATCCATCGAAAGCAGATAATCGTATCCAAAATCGTCAAATGTACAATGGCAAGTGAAACTAGATTAAGCTTGCGAGTTTTGATTTAGGATGACGACGATGATGTATTCGGGTCCGAAGAGGTTGGAGGTTTCAATGAATTATCGCAGGAAATGAGTCAGACGATCGGTTCGTTTAACAATGAGACCGTGTTTCAGGGTGACAATCTCGTTGCTCAACCAAACAAGGTAAGAAAAAAGCCTTGTTTCCATAGCAGTGATGAATTTAGGTTTTACAAGAGGGTGGTGGGTGAGTGACATATCTATCATGGTTTAGCAACATGCCCTTACAGCTTATGAATCAGCAGCAAGCAAATCCTTTTGTTATTTTTCACATGTAAAAGGTGCAGAAGATCGACATTGCATATTCAAAAACAGCTAAGAAAATTGATGTAAAGAAAGTGAAGAGAGCAATGTGGGACATTATTTCATCCACTTCTTCCAATGCAGACAAGGTATGATTTAATATGCAAGATGTATTGACACCTTCATTCTGGTGTCGTGTTTCATACTTATTAGTTGAAACTGGTTGGCTTGCTCTAGCTTCGAGGTGCAGAATGAGTGTGTAATGCTTTGCTTTCCCTTAGGAAAATATGCCAGAGAATACTGTTGCTGAGGATTTGGCAAAAAAGAGCGTAACAAAGCCATGTAACTTTACTGACTTGTTCCACACAATGCCCAATAAAATATCCAAGCAAATGGCAAAGAATCTGTCCATTCCTATCGCTTTTGTGTGTTTACTTCATTTGGCAAATGAAAAGGTATGTAGGAAATTAGCCCTACCAGAGCTAAAATTGAAGTGGAGGAGAGGAGGAGAGAGAGGCCCGGGGAAAAGTGGGAGGAGTGAAGGGAGTGCCTCTATCTCCACTTTGAAAGTGTCTGGTTCTTGCAATTCATTTCACAATTGATTTTTTAGAATTTAAAACTTGAAGGCCATGCATCAATGGATGACTTTGTTATCACTCAAGGTGTCTAACAGCAACTGAATTTGGTGGAATTGTAACAATTTTGTTCATTCTTTCCTTGTTTAATTTACTAAATGTAATACCTATATAGCATACATTATATAGTATATTACAAAAATCAGTATTTTTTAAAAAGTTCACAATTTAAATGCACTAGATTCTATTGAATGCCAACATACATGTAATTCAAAAGTATAACAAGTTCACCCATGTTGCCATTTCTTAATATGACAAATTTGAACCAGGTCATACTTCAATGCAATCTAAAATTTGGGGAAACTATGTCAATTGATGGTTTGTGAATGTGATTATGGTGGTGATTGGTTATTTGTGTGTCTAGGGTGGTTCATTTTTTGCTTACCTTCATTTTTATTACCATTGACTTTTTATTATTTGATATGTTTCATTCTTCAAAGTAGGTCCTATGATTGGATTTAGTTGGCACATGTATCCAATAAGCCAGCTACACTCTGGCTAAGGAAGATAATACCACGAAAGATTTGTGATGTAATGGCCTACGGTACCCATTTTCAATCATAATAATTTTTAAAACAATAATTTTTTAAAACAAAAGATTTTCACTCAAAAATCTAAAATATCCGGGTTTCAACAAAGGATACAATAGCCAACAACAGATAGCGGTTAATACGATCATTGTACGAACAGTACTGAAAAAAAAATCCAAAATATATATCTTGTAGTATACTCTACAGTGACAGTGGTGAAGGAATCTGACAGATTGACACTACTACAAAATGTTATAGAGGGGAACTCGTGGAATTCTAAAGCATAAGAAAGGAATTGGATAAACCTTTTATTTGGACCTCTGATAAACCATGGTATTACTCCTCCTACACCAAGCCAAAATAACGAAACGACAACGATTGGAATAGCAGCTTCTGCCTTCGCTTTCACCATTTTGTTTTTCTTTTGAGGTCATTGTAAAAAACATCACTCATGTGTAGAAGATGAACTTCGGATAAGGTCGGTATTTTTTCGGACGAATATTATTGTGCTGTAATGAGAAATCTTTCACTTTTTTTAAACACAAGTTGATAATTTAGTCCAAAAAGCATATTTTTTTCCTAATTCCAAATCTCCCTTGCTTTTAGAAACGTATTTATTAGTTTCCCAAAACGGCCATCAAGCTAGCAACTTGTAATGGATAGGATTTTAAAATTCTTTTTCGAAAATCGAACTTCCACTCAGATATGGCGGGGAGTTCAACAGTTTATTAAAGTCTTAAAGTTTGACCCACAAATAAAACTTTCTCGAGAGGATGAGTGAATTGATAGTTAACCTTGCGGGGTATTCTATAGTCGTGTCAATAATCCCAGTGGTTCTCATTTTTTTTCAAGAAGAAATATAAGAGAAATGAAAACGAAAATGCAAATTTATAATTAACGTTTGGTAAAGTGGAAACAATCTAAGATGGCGGATGGCTGCTTAATAATTTTCTGTGGTATTCCAGCGTCTGGAAAGTCGACTTTGGCGAAAGAACTGATTCAAAAAGACTGGAAAATACAGGGGAAATGCGTACATTTTATATACATAAACTATGACGATTTTATTGCCGAAAACCTGCCTATAGGTGACACAACACTTAACATAAATTGGAAGGCCAAGCGTAGGGAAATAATAAAAGGCATTGAAGAGCTGTTGCTGGCAAAGACTAGCGTAGAAATTTAGATGAAAAACCATTCATGTTAAAGCATTCATTAGTAGCTGGTGTCCATGTGGGGGTAATCTCATAACTAGGTATGAATGGTTTCAGTTAATCCTGTACGACAGACAGACAAATTGACAGACAGTAATATAATTTACATTTTCATATGCTTTTAACATTTATAAAAACTTCTACTCACATTATGTTGGGCTGAATTGCAATTTATAGTTGAATTGTTTTTGTATGTTTGAGTGTACCCTAGAGTACCTATTTTTATGTCATTTTTCCAAAACAAACCAGAAACACCTGCCAGTGCTTTCTATATCCTAAGGTTTTGATTTTGTAGGTCCAACCATATTTTACATGTGTTGGTGATAGATGACAATATGTATTACAGAAGTATGCGTTATGAGTATTACCAATTGGCGAGAAAGGGTAAGTACCAGAGCCACCTTAACTAAACAAAAAACCTGGCATAGGGGCAAGGGTATACGCTGTTCAGAAAGATACCAAGAAACCCACCATGACTAATAGTTAGGTGATTGTGTGGTTGGTTACTCGTTCACCTTCAACTAATCTGATCATTTTCTTTTAGCATCTCTAAGTTTTGCACAAGTTTACCTGCATTGTCCAGTTGAGATGGCAATAGCTCGGAATGCACAAAGATCAGCTTCAGTTGAATGAGAATACCATAACCAAGATGTACCATCGCATGGAGAACCCGGATCCTGAGAAATTCTCTTGGGAGACATTTAGCATCACAGTTGATCATAGCATGAACTCTGACGAGAAATGGTAAGCATATGGGTGCATGTAGCAAGCACTACCTTGTTACAGAATACTACCATCCTTTTTTATGTATCAACTTGTTTCATTCGTGAAATTATGGTAAGGTTTGTGAATATGTGGTTTTACAGGAAAACTATCCTTGGGTTGCTTGAAAATGCCATCGTAGCTCCAGCACCTCCTTTGAAAGTCTCAGATGACAATCAGAAGGTAGGTCCAGTCTTTTATGATTTTTTTTCTGGTATCTTTGTCTTGGGTTACTTATTAACTGCCTGCCTAATGTTTCACTTAATGATTTAATATACTTAATTTAATCGAATAACTTATAATGATGTCTATTTATACGTAGGCTAAAGACCGTGCAATCTCAGAAAAAAGTATTATACATCAACTGGATCAGGTTCTGCGAAAACACATCTCTCACAAGTTGGAAGAAATTAAAGGTATTCTTCATTTTATGCTTGACCTCATTAACCCTAAAATACATATATGCACCTATCTGATTTCTCTTCCAAAACATTTCAGTTAAAAACCATTCAAAGGACATGTTGACGCGCGAGGCAGCGACCTTGAATCAGCGTCGAAAGTCTATTATGGAACTGGTTAAGAAAGACACGAGGATAGTTACGAATCAGGTCAATATCTTGCGTGATCTGGATGTTGATTCTGAAAAGGATGATAGCTCAAGTGAATCAACATCTAACAAAACAAGTGAGTTTGAAAAAACTACGGACAAAAGTTGCAGTGCTATCACGGTGACTGGTGGTCGTGGACACTCAGATGAGCGCATTTTGGACGAATCTTTCCTGTTGGATAATTTTTGGGATGTCATTTCTCGGGAAGAATTTGGTGATATCGCGAGGAAAATATTTGAACAGACTTGAGTTTCCCTTGCGAAGCATATTGATGATTTTTGAGATTGCAGGGATGGAGGCATTCTATATACGGTGAGTTTTGTGAAATGAAAATGTTAATTCTATTTACCACAACTGGCACAAGGAATGTCACTGTGTTGGTCATACTAGGATTAAGAGTTGACAAGTTATTCCCGTGAAATCTATTTTACTGCAAGTCTGCATCGATCATCGCTGTCCGTGTGATTCCTTTCCGCGCTTGAGAGATCTTGATCACTTAGTGTTGTTTTGCAAAAGTTTTACTGAATCATGTTTGTGTTAGGTTACCAGCAGTCTCATCAAATCCGGCATTGTTTTAGATTGTGGCGTTTACGTAGAAAATTCATTGTTAAGAAACTCTTTAATGGCTGCTGGGTAACCTGGTAAAGTGTTGGGTAACGTGTCTATAATCGTCGGAATCTGGCGTAAACGCCTTCTGGGCAATGTGACCAACTATTTCATACTCAACCTTCAGTGTATTTTTGACTTCCTAAACGCATCGCTGAAAATGACAACGACAGTTGCCGGTCTTTTTGATCGTGATTGGTATCCTAGCAACACGATTTGCTACTTTACGCCCCCCCCCCCCCTTCGGGGTGCTGTTTGGTTCCCTTTCTTTGCTATCCTCACCTTGCACAAGTTTGCGTCAGGAAAAGTTGAACCACTTGTCTTCAAGATCTTCCTCTGCTGGATGTAGACGAACTTCGCCCTAAACCCTATTCTAGGTCTCTCGGTCTTGTTCAACAGCGAGATACATACGTGCAATATTTTTAATTTTCAGTAAATTCTTGTAGTATATTTATATACTTGATTGAACACGTTACGTTGAAGAGAACTCATGTTACAAAGTTCCTAATCGTATTTGATTTCAAAACGTATTTGGGACATTGTACAAAGATCTGTTTTGCTAATATATCCGTCAACTGAAGTTAAAATGCAAGACTTCTCGCTATTATGTGGATATTTAACGCGGTATAAACCTCGTTGTGAGGTGTAGTGTATTAAACTTACAATAGACTTAACAATAACCAAATAGTTTATCTTTGTCGAAGTTTTCGCTAGTCGCACACCAAAATCGTCCTGTCTTGTCATCCAGCACGCACGTGTCACGTGATTTTCCGTCGTAAATGAACGGAAATCGACAGCAAGCGAAGTTGCCATTGCCGTGATTTGAACGAACGCCGCTCTCGCATGATTCTGTAAGGCAAATAATAATTGACAATGCTCCATTGTTTGAGCATACGACAGAGGGAAAATGTGATCTTGAAAAAGGCCTGAAAGCTTGTTTTCACTTGAGAAAATTATCTTCAGGATCAGAAACGATAGAGGAGTTTCCTTTGTATAATAAAGCGATTAGTTGCGGCCGAATATGAACAATCGCAAGCAACAATATTTCCGATCTTTCAATTTCCTGAAGATCATCATATTTCTAGTGAAAACATTACACAAGCATTTACCAGGCCTTTGAAGGTGTCAACATTCTGTAATGGATGACCATACTTACCCACAACGCATTCTCCTACTTGTATTCGGCTTCTGCGATCAATTACGTCGCAGAGGACGGCGTTATTAGAATAATCTGACTCGGGTACTTTTAACCCCGGATTGGCAACAAGACGCAGTTTGTAGGATCGTCCTCTCACCGTCAGATCTGTGACATCAATCCACTGACAATCCAACGTGTAGTCGTAGTTATCATGGCAATTGATCGATATCCCCTGATCACCCCCGTTGCGGCAGAAGTAGAATTGGTCTACTCCTTCGTCGCATTTTGTGTCTTCCAAGCAATAGCTTGCCTTGTGGCCCTCGGCGATTTTCTGATGTGTGTGCGGATCTAGAAAGTAAGTGATTGTATCGAGGTCATTGTATTAATTGGGGGACGCTGGAATTGAAGGAGGTAGGGGGGCGCCCTTTACTAGAAGCAAGAGGGTAAAGGATGTTCTTCCCCTCGCGTCATTGCTGCGTCCCTTTGAAAGAGAATCGGGATTTGCAATATGGCGATTCAATCAAATTCCCCACCTATCAAGTCGTAGAAAGCGAATTCTTCGTCCGAGTGGTAGTGTCGATGACACGTATGATATTCCCAGGCGTTCTTGGGCAGGTAAGGTCGATAATCCGCCGTTCCGACGTTGTGAACTTTCGCGGAGAACCTCATGAGTCGTCTGGCGTGTCCGAACCATGCTCGTCTCAGCGACACGTCGTTAAACATGGCGTCCGCGCTCGACGATAGGCAGTTCTCCTCGTGAGCGCATCGCAAGGCTACGATCGGAAAACGACGGACGCTCATCGTCTTGGCGAGCTCTTTTATATCCCACACCAAGTCAGCAGCGGCTGGTGAAAGAAATAAGTTGAAGATATATTCATGATTTTCGCCGTTGCCTTGTGAAACAGGGTCGTGTCAGTTTCTTGTACCCCTCCCCCCCCCCCCCAATAGTAAAAGCCAATAAACACTTTTCGTCAAAGCATAAGATATACGTAAGAACTGACTTCATATGGAGGAAAGAAATATTTACTTTTTGTGCACTTCACACCAGCTATACGCTTTGTTTTCCTGCACGTGATGTTCTCGTGTCGCAAGCATTCGTCCAACGAGTTTTCATGACCAAGACACGTGATCCCACTGAGAAGTATCTTGCCAGTTCTACCGAAGTGACGGGTGCTGTAGTTCGCACCAGCGTAACCAAGACCCAGCTGTTTACATACAACCATCGAGTTCCTCATCGTCCATTGTTCACCACAGATAACACCCCACCTCCCGTCGATCTTAACGTCCACTCTGCCCATGGAGCGGTGGAAAGAACCGCGTAAACGAATCTTTGAAAGAAAATTCCTGTTTTTCATATGTCCTGGTTTATTAAGAGGGTACCTCTCTTGTAAATCTTTGCACAATGAGTGCAGAAGAAGAGCATATAATGATGAACAAGAAGACGTATTTTGTTAAAACGTAGTCGTTTCTTGATATTACTTTCATTACAAACCTGCATTCGTTTTCGTTTCTGCTCTGGTACGTTGCATCGTACGCCTGCGTCCGAGTAATGTCGGCAAGGATATTTCTTCTTCCTTTCTGTCCAATAACAGCTCTGTAAATACGTTTCTTTTCCATTGCATTCGATCGACTCGTACATTTTCTGTGAAGAGAATTAGTTCTGCATGAATGCGCGCAGACGGTTAAAAATTTCGCTGTGCGCACAATTCCAGCTAGTGGAAAACAGGCCCAACTCACCACATCTTCCATTTCGTGAGGATACACGGTTCCCAAGGCGTAGTTTTTAGCTGTTCCGTATCCTAGCGACCGACAGATGACGTTAGCTGTGTAGATATTCATATCTTTATCACAGAGAGTGCTCCAAGTTATCCTTCTGCGCACCTCAATACGACCTTCCCATTCATATATACCACCACGGAGTCGCGCATGTGCAAACTGTCGTAAATCAAAATACAGAAAGTTCTTCGCTTATACAAGGAGACTCCACCATTTCTACGGTATGTCTCCCAAAAGCTTTACCCCCCTTCTTTGGAAGAAAACCGCAAGATTTACTTACCGGTGGAGCCCTCGTTTCGCACTTCAACCATACTGCTTGACCACTCGAGCAGTTCTGTTTCATCAATCCACTACTCTTGCAAGAAAGCAGCGTTGCCTCGTTCCCATCACATTCCACGTTACCAAGATGAAAATCCAGGTCTTGTCTGAACGAAGAAAAATGGCTTTGTACATTTCAAACTATAATTAAATGCAAATCTCCGGACGTTCTCCCAAGATGAATTGCAGGACACAGGGGGTATTTGCAAACCTTAAGGCCCTGACAAATTGGATAAACTTCGATGCTGCAAATGATTTAGTAAAATTTAGATCTCGGTTCCTTTAGTACTTACGAGTATTTCCTTCGTATCTGATCAATACTTGTCTGAATACTGGTCTCGACAGCATGAGTGAATCCTAGTTCACCACAAGCAACACGCATTTCTTTCAAACCCCATTCATCGCTGCACACCACGCCAGTGTTTCCCTTTTCATACTTTACAACAAGCAAGCCTTCCGTGATTATTCCCTCTGTGGTGTTTTCCGGCCACAAATTGAGCTTAAACTTCTCTATCTACAAAGATAGAGATAAACTTAGCGAGGTGATGCGGTGAGTTTCCTGCCTTTCACCAATTCCTTCAATACAACACACTAAAATGCTGTGGTACTCGCGAAAAGCTTTCACGAACTCATTCAAGCTGATCCAATGTTGGAAAGAATGTAATGTGATTCAGTTGTAAGTCTAAAACCCTGACTAAACTATGAGTTAGAGCAATTATTTAATCGTGAGCAAATGCACCCCTTATTGCATACTTGTCGTGAACCAATCAAATGCGATAACTCTATCAGATTAACCAATCACGAGCGCAACAGATCAGCGAGAGAAGGAGACAGGAACCAATCAAATGTGATAACCCTATCAGATCAACCAATCACGAGCGGAATAGGTCAAACAAAAAATAGGGATAGTTGCAGTGGAAGTAAAACCTATAGCTCGCCAATATTTTGGCTTTAACCGCGAGAAAAAACAATGAAGCGTTACGCAGTGTAAACATTTTCAGATCAAGTTTCTAAGAATCCCAAGAATTACGCTGATAATCATGCGCTGTCCGCTGTCCACCTACATTGATGTGTCGCGTCGTGTTGTACAGAGGAGGCGTCTTTATCAAGATCTCTTTACCGGGATCACACATCACTCCTGCCAGACGCATTCGGTTGCAGCGAACTTGACCCCAACGGCTGTGTCCACAAGAGCCAAGATTAAACTCGTTTCCAGAGCACTGCACTCTGTCCAACCAAATACGAGTCCTTGCTTGAGTGGTTCTCGATCGTGACCGGGACTTCTTCACGTTGTAATAATTTACACGGCCATAGAACTTCCTACACGTGACAAAATCAATGATTCACGTTGTCAAAACCAGAAAGAAAAGGATGCACGATCATTCGTCCCAAGGGGAGAGGAGAGGGGGGGGGAAGTCTGTCCCATTTGACGGTCAAAAATATTACAAAACTACAAAAAGTGAAGAACGGACATTTCTCATCTTCCTTAAGTGGACGCGACATTTTTAGATGTTTGGCAGAATTTTACACAAATCTTATTCCTAAAATACTATCCTCAACACTCGTAATTATGTGCGAAATTGCGATGGGTATAATAGTTTGAATTCACTTTGACCCACTGACTAATATCTGTCAATAGTGAATACCTAAGCAATTGAACTGGAATTTGAGTGCTGGGAAATAGGGTACTTTTAATTTATATAGTATTGTCTTGTGGGAGCAATTGGCGCGCAAAATGACCGAAAATGATACCATCCTTTACTCTCTTACTGCACAAGCGTGTTCACAAGCATCGGAGCACTGCAAGGAATGGCCCTCACACCTCCTGGTATCCCGTGGTTTTGACCTGTTACATCATGTTGCATGTATTACAGCATCTCTCTAAGTATTTACGCGCGCACTCGGTTTACTTTATACAATACATCAATTATTCCATAGAACGTTAAAACAACAAAGTCGAATCATTGATTATTTCTTGTTCTACACTACACAATCACATCGTTCATATTGACTTTATATAACGCAGTCAAGACCTTGGCTCATTGAATACTTGAATAAACATGCGATCATCCACGTCCTCTTAACTCTTGTATATACATCGATTTGTTTTGACGGGTACATAATGTAATATACTGTTATACATAAAATGCGATGTGAAAATGAACATACTCGATCCTTGTATGCTTCTCAAACAGAGAAATACGAATGGTTTGAAGTGTGAGCGCTTGCGCGAAAATCTAATATCGTGTTTAATTGTAAAATCGTAAACCTAACTGGAATGTCTCGCAGTAAGGTTCACATTAGCTTAGCTTTTATTGCTTAGAAATTTATACTAACAATAAAATTAAACTTGCCCTTTCGTAGCCAACACAACGCCTTTATAACCGAGTTGGCGACAAACGACTGCGGCGTTCTTCTTTGACCAACCATTGTCACAAACGTAGCCCCAACTACGAGTGCGCTCATAATAAACCATAACTCTACCAGCGTACGGCTGAGGGCCAGCTTCCAGACGCACTTGTATTCGCTGGCGGCGGCCTTGCGCGCAATATACGCAAAATAAAACGACCAGAAAGGAAAGAATGCTGCGCGCTACCATCGTGAACCTGCGTCGAAGGCTAGATGTGCTCTGATCCAACTGCTTCGAACGAAGTGGCGTCTGTGGCGATTATAGTCCGTGTTTTCATCACCTCGCTTATTATATAAGAATAATACAATTGCTCATTGTCTAGCCTCCTCCGCAGGCATCTCTTATGCATTTATATTAGGCATTTATATTTGGCCTGGGTTAGCTGTGTCGGGGAAGGCGAGGAAAAAAGTGGGAGAGATGCCTGCCATAAATCGACACAAGAATTTGCACTGCGCATACCAGCTCGCGCATGCTAATTTTAGAAAAAAACGACAAAATCATACTGTGTATAGGCGGGAGTGGAAAGGAGTGAAAGCATATTGCTACAAATTTGCGTAAAATTTTGTGGTTTATTAAAGAACGAATAAAAGTGTTCTGAAATTGTAACATGATAATCCGTGAAGTATGTAGTCTGTAGAATATAATTTGATTCTTTTGATATCGATTTTATCCATATAAAAATATTATTTCGCATGTCAAGTTTTGTCAACATCACAACATGGCTGTGCATAATAGGCGAAATCAAGCAAATGTTATCGGGAAAATGTCGAATTTGCCTGTGTTTGAACCATTAAACACGCAGGGTTTTAACGCACACTGTGAAGACGAAGGAATATAAGTTTTAATTCAAGCGAATAGTTCTCGGGAAGCTGCAATAAATGTGGGATTGATGTTCGTCGAATCACTCGAATGTATTGCTAGATCATAGATGTATGCCTTCTTCTCCTGTGTCAATACATTGCATGCAACACCCAAATCTTGTTTGTGTATACTCTAAATTATGGGGATAAAGTTTAGGTGCTATGTCTTCATTGTCTTGATTTAATGACAAAGACATACTGTCAAAAATATTTGCATAATAAAGTCCTACCAGGTTCAGGGTTAGATATTTGTAATTAGTCAAACATTGACAACATGCTTTCATTAGGTCTATCATCTATAACAATACATTCAATATGGAAATCACATGGGAAAGATTATAGGTACTTTATATAGTGCATAAACATAGTTACATAAACCAAAGATTATATTAATTTTTAACCTGGATATAGCTTTGTGCAGCATATTATTGAGGATGTTGTAAGATGTGGAATATTATCACTTTCTACATTATAACTATCTATTTAAAAATGCTACTAATTACTAAAGTTAACTAGGATATGATTGAAGTGAAAACCAGGCCTTATGCTTAATAAAACACTCCTGCTAGTTCATTAATAAAATGGCAAATAAAAATTTCTTATGTATATATATATAATTTATAGTGTAAGCACTTCTTGCAATTTATAATTATCTTTGTTTTGCCACAATGGCTAACATATGGAACTGGCATATCTACAAATGTATTACAAAGCAAATCAGAGTAATATCTGGCCGATCCAATTCTATAAACATATTAAATTCAGCTCGGTCAGAGTAACACCCTCATAACAGTAGAATCTAATGGAAGGGAACCAAAAATAAATATGTGTAACTTATAAGAAATTTAAAAGATTGCACAGCATAGAAGTTAGATCGAATTTGGTCAACTTTTCCCACATATGACAATTCCTAACAATGAAGGGTTCAGTTTTAAAACAGTTGCTTTTGATAGTCTCTTGCATTCTGGTATTGACTGGTAACCCCTTCTCTAAGACTGATATAAAGATATCACTAGCAAGTTGCTTTGCTTGGACAAAGCCTACTTCCTTTTTAATTATTTCTTTAACTTTGGTTTTGAAAGCATGATGTGTAGAAGTAGGATTGTCATTGACTATAAAGCAACAATATTTAAGTAAGTTGGCCCTTCATGTACAGAAAAATTAATTTATGGGACCAGCTCAGATGAGCATTTGAGTGCTGTATTAAATCCACACAGAAAATATCACACAAGGCAAGCACTGAGGGTAAATGCCATATACCACGCAGATTAGCATTCAGAAGGGTGAAACAGTAAAACGGTAATCGTGTTACGATGTCAGTTTGATTTAATGAATGTAAATATTCAATAGTGCATGACACAAACATCAATACACGCTGTAGCCTGTATATTCAATAGTTGATTCAATATCTTTGCTGCCGATCGACAAAGAATGTTTCTTGTATACTGGATTAAAAGACATTTTCAAAGCTTCGCTCCTTTCGAACCTCCTTTCACTCCTTCGCATTGAAGGACAATCGTGAATATATAATTAGAGTGCAAAACCTACTTAGGGGACCCGGGGTACAGCGACAAGTCCACGAGGTACAGCGACACGTCCATTTTGTGCGATTTATGGCAGGCATCTCACGCAAATTTTTTTTCACTCCCCGACACAGCTAACCCAGGCCAAATATAAATGCCTAATATAAATGCATAAGAGATGCCTGCGGAGGAGGCTACTCATTGTCCTTGTCGAGAGGAAAGTTCTAGACACCCGTCGCGTCAGTATAAAATTGGTATGCTACGGAAATGTTTTGTTGGGTGTGGATGCTATGCGCGCTATGCCTTTCCTGGCGTCGATTTCCCGAAGTATAACTGTGAATTGTTCGTATGAATACGCTCGAAAATCTCACCATTTTATCTTCGTCGTCAGAAGCGGAATTCAAGAGTAAAGTCGAGTATCACAGGTTAAGCGCAGGAGAGATGATACATGCAGGAAATTGCGGGAAGTCCATTTAAGGTAGTCTAGAACGAGGATTAGATGAAAGCTTGCAAAAATTTCTAGTGGACTTCTAGCCTACTATAATTGGAATAAAAATACACCAATACTCGTATTATTTTTTTAATAATTCACATGAGAAAAACATTCCTGGCTTTTTTTTACATACAACAAATTAGTCGTGTTTGTAATGCAATGTATTTCAACGTGAGTTTCTCCTGTCAGGCCATAATAATGATGATTTTTAGACGTAACCTTCCTTACTCTTCTTGCAACTCGTAATGCCTGACTGGCGTCGATGGATGTTATATATGTACTGGAACGTACTCGCAGAAACGAAGCCTGTACTGCGTTTAAATTCCCACTGGAAACATGTCTCGAAAAAACGCAAAATATCATGTCTTATTTAGCTCTTGTGAGAAAGTACTTTGTAAAAAAGAAATTTCAGAATGGTGTTGCGAGGATGTGACTTCTCTCTGTTAGTGTAGTTAGACTGAAGAAAAGTCATATCATATGATATCATATCAGAGCCACGGCGCCTTTTTCCAAGAGAGGCGCGATGACGCTGTATCGAACCAGATGCTGTGCTCCTACTTCCAAATCTGCTGGCTGATCACTAAAAACGAATCAGAATTTGATTGATATGAAATCTGCGAAAAATCACAAATACAGTATAACTCGTGGTGTGGATAGAAATACAATTTATGTTTCCGGAGCTTACTCGGGGTCGAGCTCCACCTGATCTTGAGGTTGGAGAACCTTCATGAATAAATAACTGTCCAGGTTTGGCTGAGGAACTGAAGTGATAAAATGAAAGAAGTTGAGAGAACTGTAAAATGCTTTGTATGGTCTAAAATCCTGGTGGTTTGACTGGATAGTTTTTTAATAATAATATGCTGCCAATTTTGAGATTTTGGTTCTGACACAATGATGTTTACCTGATTTCTTCTTATCTAAACTGCTCAGATTTGGTGGCATGTGGTCAAGTGCCAGTGATTTCAAAAGATCTTCAACATTTTTACAATACCTAAACCATGCATATGATATATACAATATTGAGATGCTTTTGAAGTTAGGGGATTGGTAAAGAACATAAATAATGATTTTTGCATACTCTTTGGCATAAACATGTTCTTCTGCAGACAGATGCGAAATGTAATCCGTTTTGTCAAGTGATGGTTCCATAATATGAAATGCATACTTCTCAATCTAAAAATTACATAGGATTTTGAACCTCATATATGGAATTTTTTGTTCATTGTCATGCATAGGAACTCTACGAACCTTTTTCAGTCGGATTTTTAAATAGCTGCTAATGACATATCTTATTCTTTGAATCTAAAGAACAGCAAACATTGGTACATTCAGCACATATGTACCAGAAATTTCAGTTGAAGTAATTCTAATTCTATGTAAATTACATCATTCACCTCTAGCCGATGAAGTGATCCAGCTAAGTCTCCTTTTTCAGCCTCTTTTAGGTTTTCCTCCTAAAAAAGTTGAAAGATTTCTATCAGCAATAGTTGCAGTCAGATGGCATTCATGAAGACTTTCTATGTTAAAAATGAACAAATGATTCACCATTTCTTTAATCTGGTCAAGCATACACTCAACAAGTTCCACTTTGCTCTCCAAAAGCTCTGGAGCGAACTTTTCATTCAACCAAGCCTAAAAAATTATAGTCTGTTGTTGAACATTTGTACCAATTGAAAGCATCTCAATAAGACTCCTGATGTAGGCTTGCCAAGGACATAATGCTGCAGCCTGGTAATTTGGATTTTAAAAGCAATGATATATGCACCATTGTGTGCTGATGATAACTGGTCAAGAGGTTGTTGGTTAGCTTGGTTAGTCCATAAAAATTTGAATAAAAATGTGTAGTAAGGCTGATTTTATTTTATTTAAAAGCAAAAATACTAAAGCATTGATGAATTAGCCTAGCAGAGCAAGAATTTTTAATTGGCTGATTAGATTGAAAAACTTCATAGAGGAGGTAGTGTAGTGTAACGTTGGTATTCAATGAGGCATTTTAAAACTTGTGTTTGTTCATCTATCAAAGCAAACGACGGTATAAAATCGGAAATTTACTCAAAAAGGGAAAAATGGTTTTTGAATCCTCTCTCGTTAAACAAATCACACTAAACCTGTTCCAACCGCTCCAATACTTCAGCAGCAGTGACTTCTTCTTCGTCATCTTCGTTTACCTCGGATTCATTTAAAATCTCCGAGAAGGATTCCCGCTCCTCGCTTTCCGCCATCTTTGATTTTTTTCCCGCGCTTAAAAATTAACGAATGACGTAATTTTCAGGGGGGGGAGAACCGTCGAAAAAAGATCAATAAAAAAAAACAAGAACACAGCACAGGGTTTAAAACTTTTTAAAATTGTACAATTCTAAATCAGAAAAGAAAAATATAAACACATCCTTTCCACACGATGACTGTTGAAGACAAGGCTAGTGGTTTTAAAGTAATATGTGACGATATATTGAAATCAGAAGGAGATGATAGACTGTATCGTGGATTGGTGCTGAAAAATGAAATGAAGATACTCGTAGTTAGTGATCCAAAGACGGAAAAGGCTGCTGCCTCGATGGATGTTCATATAGGTAAGAATATGACCATCTTGAATTGTCTATCGCTTGCTATAAATACAAAGATTGTGTGTGCAATTGATTGAAGTATATGTATTGTAGTTGTCTGGTTAATGATTGATGATTACGTGTCATCATGGTATATATTTATAAACATGCTCGTATCCTAAACATTGCATTGTATAATGTTTACAATGGTGTATAAATAAATGTTATGGCGAGTGTCAGTACTGCCATGGAAGGACTGCATGTTGCAATGTACCAATTAGGAAAAAGTGATCAAATTGTTACAATAATTGTGTACATCTAATGTAATTGGTCCAATACATGTTTCCTTTGTGCATGCACTAAATACATTTTGCTATTCAACAAAGGAGGACCCCTGGAGAGTTTTAGCACATGCAATAAAAAACCTAGAATGCTGTTGTCAGCTCCTCTCTTTCAGATTAGCCTAGCTCCACCCTGTAATAATTTTATGCTTAATTTTAGGGAGTTTGTCAGATCCAGATGACATTCCTGGCTTGGCACATTTCTGTGAGCATATGGCATTCCTTGGAACAAAAAAGGTTGCGTGCAGAACTATTATCTAATAGCTTTTCCTCTCTATAGATCAGTGACAAGTAGACATATAATTATCTCAATGTAAAAAAGATCAATTTCTATTAACCTTTATTACAAATTTTATCTTTTTAGTTCCCAGAAGAGAATAAGTTCACCCAGGTTTACCAAATAATTTCATTTCCTTTATTTAAAAGCTTTCATCCTATTTCTCATGTAACATGAATTTCTCCTTAACTTTCCATCATAGTTCCTTAGTGAGAACAGCGGCTCATCCAATGCATTCACCTCCAATGAACATACAAATTTCTATTTTGATGTGAAGCAGGATTGTCTGGAAGGAGCTCTAGAAATGTAAGTTCAACTTTGGTTCTTTGAAGTACCTTGAATCTTAGTTCCACTTGGTAGGAGTTGTTGTTGAGAACCTGTCTTCCCTCAACATCTCTTTCACAGATTTGCAGAGTTTTTCATAAGTCCTTTATTTGATGAAAATGCAAAAGATAGGGAAGTCAATGCAGTCAATTCAGGTAAAACAGAGCATACAGTATTTCAGAAGTTTGGTTGAAAATTAGACCAAAAAAAAGACTATATATTATCGTTATGTGGTTAATTTTCTTGAAGTTCAGAGTCCTCCTGTATGCAAAAGTATAGTTATAACAGTTTGCCTGTTTTGCAATTTTGTATAACTCACAAACGCTGCAGCTTCATTAACTGTAGTTAATTATCATGTAGAAAATGACAAAAACCTGAAACATGATTCTTGGCGCCTGGAGCAATTAAATAGATCAACTGTGGATCCATCCCATCCGTTTAAAAAGTTTGGTACTGGTAAGGGCTCTCTGTTGATTGTTCTGGCTATTCAAGGAAAGACTGTGTGCCAATTGTTTTGGATGGTGTCCAACTTCTCAAATATCTTTATTAGGAAATAAAACAACTCTAGAAACAAGACCTCGGGAACTTGGAATTGATGTTCAAAAAGCACTGTTAGAATTTCACGAAAAATATTATTCAGCAAATATGATGTCATTGACTGTCATTGGTCAAGGTGAGCTGGTCATTTATTTTGGTTAAGGTAGACAGGTGAAATATGAAGCTCTCTGAAGAAAGATTGTGGTACTGTATGTAGTTAATTTCGCGATATTTACATTTCAGAATCACTGAATGAATTAATGGACTTGGTTTTTCGTCTATTTAATCCCGTTATAAACTGTAACGTAAATATTCCGATATTTGAATATCATCCTTATAAAAAGGATCAATTGCAGGTACTGTACGATTTTGTGTTTATAAAAACACTTGTGTTCACATGAAATACCAAATACTAATCGTTTGACTTGCCTTAACCAGGTTCGTTTCGAGGTAGTTCCTGTAATGGATACAAGAAAACTAAGGCTTGTGTTTCCATTTCCGGACATAACGTCTCGTTACAGAGCAAAGGTAAAGACTCCATTCCAATCCTGTGTTATCTTGTGATTTTTACGTCCTTTGCGTTTTTGTGTGTGTAGAAAAACCCCGCCGTAATTCCTTCCTAAAATTACTGTAGTATATCCCAACTTTTCTTGATATTTTTCATCTCCGCAGCCAGATCAATATCTATCTCATCTTATCGGCCACGAGGCTGATGGTAGTCTGTTGTCTTTCATAAAGGAACAAGGTAATTTAATCTCAAGTGATGTTAAGTAGGTTAATTTGAAGATTTTAACAGGATTTAAAATGTTTTCTTCTCGCACGGTAGGATGGGGGAACACACTCGGTGCTGGAACTATGGAAGGGGCCAAAGGATTCATGTTCTTCATTTGTAATATCGAACTCACTGAAAGTGGACTGGGTATAGTAAAATTGATAAATATATAACGAAGATTAAATCAGACATATTTTGGGTAATGACAATTCGGTGTTTCTATAGAGTATACAGGGGCCGGTTGTATCAAGCCCGTTTAGCTTAAACGGTGGTTAAGTTCAAAATAGAAAGCAAGTCTATCGTTTTATTCAAGAAGCAAACTAAATGTTTATAACCTTAATACAAAGATACTGTTTACTACTACATATTTAGTGCATAATATTCAGGTTGATTCATTCAAGAGAGTTGTAAGAGTGTTATTTAATTTTCACTTAACCACCGTTTAAGCTGAACGGGCTTGATACAACCGGCCCCAGTAGTTTATCTGTTATTTCTTCCCGTTTAGATCACGTTGATGATATCATTGCTAGTTTTTTTCAATACGTAAAAATGCTTCGTGAAGTTGGACCTAAAGATTGGATTTTTCAGGAAGTTCAGGTATTGGTTGCAGGCTTTGATCAATGGTATGGTAATGATAAAAGCCGCTATATTACAGTTGAAATTGTATGTCCGTTACAGTAACTCCATTTTATATCCCTTCAGGCCTTAGCTACGATGCATTTTCGTTTTAAAGACAAGGAAAAACCAGTACAGCTTGTAACAAGGGTTTCGAAATATTTACATGTAAGTATAGATCAGTGTCTTTCTCAATGATCTTCATGTTAATGACTGGAGTGCTGATGATAGTCTTTTGTTGTCATATATAAACCTTGTAAGAATCATGTATACATGATCTATTTAAACGGCAGCAATTTGATATGAAAGATGTCTTGTCGGGAGCCTATCTACTTTCTGAGATCGATAAAGAAACGGTTACAGAACTTTTGGCGTTACTTGTGCCTGAAAAAATACGGTAGGTGCTTGCTGGCTTGGCCAATGGTAAAACTCGGAAAGGTTTTGGGGAATTTGTCGAATGATGAACATGGTTTCTGGTTATGATGTAGTGTTTTCGTTATGGCGAAGAAATTTGAGAAGACTGCTGACGAGATCGAGGAATGGTATGGCACAAAATATAGCGTCAAGAAAATACCAAATGATGCCATTGAGGTAGCTAACTGTGGTATTTGTCTCGATCCCCGTTATTGATAGTGGGGTGTACTAAAACACTGATTGTGATCTTCTTCTTTATTTGGGAACCAATCTTTACTGCGTGTTGGAATTTTTTACAATGTTAACTTTTTGCCTTGAAGAAATGGTGTAATGTGGAGTTGAATGAATCATTCAGATTACCAAAACCCAACGAGTTTATTGCTACAAATTTTGATATAAAACCGAGAAACGTTGAGGTGAGAATGCTCGATTCGCCTGTGGGTGAATAGTTGGTTTATTGCTGTATTTTGAAGCAAATAAGGAATATCAAATGATTGACATTCGTCTCCTAATAGTTTATCTTACCGTGTTTGTTTAGGGAAAGGATGTGCCTGAAATTATCAAGGTCGGTTTAATTTCTTGCATCCGTTTGCCTCTTATCCGTGATCTTATTATTCCTAAATTTTATCATCTTGCTTGTTTTAATTCGCAGAACTGTCCTTTCATGAAAGTATGGTTTAAACAAGACGACACCTTCTTTGTTCCAAAATCTTGCGCTTACTTTCAAATAACGAGGTATATGATTGAATCCATTCAAAAATATTATGTCATTCTTGGCGGGAAAACTTGCTAAGTTTGTTTAAGTCGCTGTTTCCAAAGTATAGCGGTATTATACCGCATAAAAGTGTCTGCATAATATATCTGTGAACCAAGATATTATGAATTGATTTTTGTCTGCCCATTCTCATCCGTTTTTACTACGCTAAGGCAATTCAGTAGCAATAATTTCGACGATTCTTTCAGCCCTTTAGCATACCGTGATCCAATGCACTGTAATATGAACAGACTCTTTGTCATGTTGCTAAAAGACTCGCTCACGGAGTACGCATATGATGCTGAGTTAGCTGGTATGGAGTATCGCCTTGACGTCAGCATATATGGGATAAATGTAAGTCGATTATAACAGATATGAAAAGTCCCAGAATGGGCATTCCTTGAGAGCAGTTGCAGTCACCGAAAATGGTGAATCAGGAAGAGCTACAAGGAGCATAAATTTTACCAAAACAACTCTGCAAGCGATTTAAACGTAGTGTTTGTCTGTGACATGGAATCTCTACATGGCTATTTGAGGCCGCATGGCTACATTTCGAACCGTTGCTTCAATATAATGCATGAAAAAATCATAGTTTTTTTGGAGCGTATAATTGAAATCGTTGCACTGCGATTTTTAGTTATCCGTGTCTGGTTATAATGACAAACAAGATACGTTCATGCTGAAAATCCTTCAGAGGATGACCAGCTTTGAAGTGGATTCGCAAAGATTTGAAATACTTAAAGAAAAGGTTAGTGGTGATACTTAAGGAATAAGAAAGGCCTATCCTGACAGTTTCTATAAAAGAAAAAACTCGTATCCTATAGCCACGTCTCTTTACCAAATGCAATCAATCATGCTAAAAGTGTCTAATGTCTGACTAAGTGTCTAATACTTCATTCCTGTTGTAGTCGGAACGCAGTTTAAGGAATTTCCGGGCACAGCAACCCCACCACCACGCTGTTTATTACACTTCATATATACTGGAAGAACTAGCTTGGTCCAATGATGAAATGCTTGATGCAATAGCTGGTGAGTTTGACTCAATTTCTTATCTTCATTCACCCTTCCGTTGACTAAAACACGTCCCGTGTTTCCACAGATATCAACGAGGAAGTATTCAAGAAATTTATAGTGGAATTACTGAAACGTGTTCACATCGAGGTTTTACTTCATGGGAATTTAACAAAAGAGGTTTGCATACAATGAATACACTTGTTTGAGTCTCATTTTAACTGGACAACTACATTGAGTGCTGGTATATCCCACAGCACAGAGTAAACTCAGCCTGTGTCACTGGAATGAGATCTTCGCCGACACAGCTGTGGAAGTTAAATTAACGAACCATTTTTCTTCAATTTTAGGAGGCTTTGGATATCGCGAGTAAAGTGGAAAATGTTTTTAAACAAAATTCCTCCAGCAGGCCGTTGCTGCCCTCGCAGCTCACAAAACACCGGGAGGTGCAGTTACCCGATGGTAAGCTAGGGATCATTTTACCCACGGAACTATTATCCTATTACACACATAGCCTGCTGTCGCAGATTATGCTAATCACGGCAAGCCTCTGAGTATAAGCTTGTCCATTTCTTACGGTGACGTAATGGTGTTTAGGATCAAATCTGCTCTACGAAGTGGAAAATGAAGTGCATAAAAGCTGCTGTTTAGAAATATATTATCAGGTATAAAAGCCTTTGTTTTTTTTTGTTGGCATTCCCATTCTTACGTGGGTTTTTTTCGTGTTTTTTTCAGTGTGAACTCCAGGCTTTAGAAGGCAATATGCTGCTCGAATTATTCAGCAAGATTATATCAGAGTCTTGTTTTGATATATTGAGAACTAAGGAGCAACTAGGTACACATGAGGTTTTATTGTGAAGATAGCTATCAACGTTTGTTTGCGTCTTGTTATCAACGTTTTCAATTAAATTCCCTCAGGTTATATCGTCGTTAGTGGCGTTCGTAGAGCCAATGGTGTGCAAGGTTTAAGATTCATAATCCAGTCAGACAAGGCCCCAACGTATTTGGATAAAAGAGTGGAGAATTTCCTGATCATAATGCAGGTATACTGTACGTCTTGCTTCGAACTTGGAACCTCAGTCCTGGGCTTACTAAATTCGTTTTTCTTTAGGAAAAGTTAGCGACGATGGAAGATGAGGAATTTGAAAAATATAAGGAATCTTTGGCAGTTCAACGTTTAGAGAAACCCAAAAAACTTTCCGCAGAGTGCGGTAGATACTGGGCAGAGATTACGTCGCAACAGTATAACTTTGAAAGAGGTATGTTACGCTGGGAACACCTGTAGCTGATCTAGTTCAGAGTTACCTAGTGTGTATTAAGCATTTCAAGGAACATGCCTGTTTTTGCAGATGCTCAAATCGTATTTAATGCTTTCTATAGACTCAACTGAGGTCGCCTACCTGCGCACGATAACTAAACAGCAAATACTGGAGTTTTACGAGGTAGAGCATGCGTACAATCGTATACATAACTATTGTGTTATCATGTCGTAACTTGTGTATTTTGTCGTAACCTGTGTATTCAGTTACGAAATGCATCTTATTTCTTGTGTAGAAATTGATCGCACACTCAGCCCAAAGGAGGCACAAATTATCTGTCCACGTTTTACCACAGAATGGCGGTAAGGACCAGCAAAAGTATTTTGAGAAAACGCGAATGATTACCCTCTCATAGCGCATCCTCTGATCATCACATTATAGCTAAAATGTCCTTATTTGCTAATGTACACTTCGTATTTGTATTGAAATATCCAAAATATCCTAGAAATGTCTGCAGTTGAAGCAACTCAGGCGGATGTCTTGGAGAGCACACCAGAGCAGAATGAAAAAGATGCTTCGACCACTGACAATCTTATAACGAATCTTTTGGTATGTAATGGTTGATAACCTTACCTTCTTACTACACTGCCTGGTCAGTTTAAACAATCAAAGTCACAAGCATCAAAATTTATTTTAATCTTTTGCCTTAGCCAATGACAAAGATTCTTGATGTTGCAAGCTTCAAAAGCGGTTTACCTTTGTTTCCTCGACTCAGGGCTATGACTTTGATGCAGGAACCAAGTAAATCAAAGTTATAACAATGCAATCCACTATGCTGACAACTATGTACAGATATTTATTTTCCAATGAAAACGTTTTCTGTGATCTATAGATGTACATACAGTATATATTGATTCCTTCACAAAACTAGATAGTAAATACAATTTTGGGTAAATGATTGAGAATTAAACCAAATCTCAAATAGAGGGCAACTCTGCAGATGTGCAGAACAAGTGCAAAACTGTTGAATGTATTTTTATAACAATTGATTTTCCTATTTCTTAATCATTAATTCTCATGATGTTTTTATGAAGAATGATTCCAAAACTTTCTGTTTTTTACTGTCATTCTTTGTCACTCTTTTTCTTTTAACACCAGTCGTTTTAAGCTGTCCATTATTTTTGTACAAGTTATAGACCTTTTTCATAGCAGTTGAAACGGCCGTTTCTAGAAACTCCAACTGTGTCACCCACTTTGTGCTTCGACCATCAGCTGATTGACCTGTTGTCATGTTTTCCTGGGCAGATTCAGGTATGACTATCTTGTGAACAATGTATGTATGATGGATATGTGAGAATAGATGAACAACTTCACCCAGAAAGAATATCTTCACACTGTCAGGTAAATTGTTAAATTGTTCTCTCATGAATTCCTCAACTTTACTAATTAAAGATTTGTTAGATGACTCTGAATCAACTATGAAATTAGGAAACTCCCATAAACCAGCCAGAAGTCCAGTTGAGGGTCTCTTCACCAGAAACAACAACATATCGTCACCAGCCGCACATTCTAGGACACAAACGACAACCTTTTCCTGACGTGCCTCTTTCAACTTGGCTTTCCTGGGGTAGTTGCAAACTCCTAGTTTGGAATCATAACGTGAATCATTTGGCAAGCACAGCTGACAATCATTGGCCACCACATCTTCAATATCTCTCAAAGAATCACTGGGACAATCTTCTACCTGTTTTTCACTTCCGAAGAAACTCTTTAAACTATTTTCAGTTCTAGGTATAATTATTATGGCCTGATCATAAGCAAGACATATGTCTTTTACTGGACAACATTTGCATTGAGGTGATTTCGGTGTACAAATTGTTGCACCAAGTTCCATCATTGCTTGATTGAAATCGCCAGGATGATCCTGGGGTATAAGTTCATCAACTAGTTTCCAAAACGTCTCTACCACAACTGTGCTTGAGGAGTCAGCGCCAATTATCCGAAGACGGGAAAGGACTCTTATCACATTGCCATCAACCAGACCGACAGGTTCGTTAAATGCAATTGATGCAATGGCTGCTGATGTGTATTTACCAACACCTGGGAGATCCTTCAATAAAACACCGGCGTTGTCTGGCATTTCACCATTCATCTCCTTCACAACCTAATAAGAAGGATGGTGAATTTTGGATTGTAAAGGGGGAGACCAGTACATCATTCATGGCAAACTTTTGAATGAGTCTGGAACTTTCACGTACCTTTTTACATCCTTCGTGAAGGCGCCTTGCCCTGGAATAGTAACCCAATCCTGCCCACATCTCATTGACCTCCTCTAAACTTGCCTTGGCCAAATCTTCCAAACTTGGCCACCGTTTCATCCACTTATTATAATACTCGATAACGGTCGCGACTTGTGTTTGCTGTAACATAACTTCAGAGACCCACACCGCATAGCCACGACGGTTCCTGTCCTTCTCCTGTGCGCCCAATCTTCGCCAGGGAAGATCGCGTTTGTTCACGTCGTACCAATCTAACAATTGCTGTCTTAAATTTTCGATCTCTTGCGGCGTAAATGCGTGTCTTTCACACAAGTTATGAGCCTTGGAGGAGTTGTTTTGCGACGTGGAAGCATTGCGTGAATTACTGCCACGAGATCGCTTGGAATTTGCTTTCATTTCGTCTATTTTATGGCTTTAAACGTTTGTTCTACAAAACTAAAGCATCGATTTTTTTGCAAACTTGCAAATATTGCGCAACTTCGAAATTGCACGTGTTCAGCCTGTTTGCAGGCTAAAGAGATCAAAATGACGATCAAGATTTTTAAAATTTGACCTAGCCTCCTCCGCAGGCATCTCTTATGCATTTATATTAGGCATTTATATTTGGCCTGGGTTAGCTGTGTCGGGGAGTGAGAAAAAAATTTGCGTGAGATGCCTGCCATAAATCGCACAAAATGGACGTGTCGCTGTACCTCGTGGACTTGTCGCTGTACCCCGGGTCCCCTAAGTAGGTTTTGCACTCTAATTATATATTCACGATTGTCCTTCAATGCGAAGGAGTGAAAGGAGGTTCGAAAGGAGCGAAGCTTTGAAAATGTCTTTTAATCCAGTATACAAGAAACATTCTTTGTCGATCGGCAGCAAAGATATTGAATCAACTATTGAATATACAGGCTACAGCGTGTATTGATGTTTGTGTCATGCACTATTGAATATTTACATTCATTAAATCAAACTGACATCGTAACACGATTACCGTTTTACTGTTTCACCCTTCTGAATGCTAATCTGCGTGGTATATGGCATTTACCCTCAGTGCTTGCCCTTGTGTGATATTTTCTGTGTGGATTAATACAGCACTCAAATGCTCATCTGAGCTGGTCCCATAAATTAATTTTTCTGTACATGAAGGGCCAACTTACTTAAATATTGTTGCTTTATAGTCAATGACAATCCTACTTCTACACATCATGCTTTCAAAACCAAAGTTAAAGAAATAATTAAAAAGGAAGTAGGCTTTGTCCAAGCAAAGCAACTTGCTAGTGATATCTTTATATCAGTCTTAGAGAAGGGGTTACCAGTCAATACCAGAATGCAAGAGACTATCAAAAGCAACTGTTTTAAAACTGAACCCTTCATTGTTAGGAATTGTCATATGTGGGAAAAGTTGACCAAATTCGATCTAACTTCTATGCTGTGCAATCTTTTAAATTTCTTATAAGTTACACATATTTATTTTTGGTTCCCTTCCATTAGATTCTACTGTTATGAGGGTGTTACTCTGACCGAGCTGAATTTGAATATGTTTATAGAATTGGATCTGGCCAGATATTACTCTGATTTGCTTTTTGTAATACATTTGTAGATATGCCAGTTCCATATGTTAGCCATTGTGGCAAAACAAAGATAATTATAAATTGCAAGAAGTGCTTACACTATAAATTATATATATATACATAAGAAATTTTTATTTGCCATTTTATTAATGAACTAGCAGGAGTGTTTTATTAAGCATAAGGCCTGGTTTTCACTTCAATCATATCCTAGTTAACTTTAGTAATTAGTAGCATTTTTAAATAGATAGTTATAATGTAGAAAGTGATAATATTCCACATCTTACAACATCCTCAATAATATGCTGCACAAAGCTATATCCAGGTTAAAAATTAATATAATCTTTGGTTTATGTAACTATGTTTATGCACTATATAAAGTACCTATAATCTTTCCCATGTGATTTCCATATTGAATGTATTGTTATAGATGATAGACCTAATGAAAGCATGTTGTCAATGTTTGACTAATTACAAATATCTAACCCTGAACCTGGTAGGACTTTATTATGCAAATATTTTTGACAGTATGTCTTTGTCATTAAATCAAGACAATGAAGACATAGCACCTAAACTTTATCCCCATAATTTAGAGTATACACAAACAAGATTTGGGTGTTGCATGCAATGTATTGACACAGGAGAAGAAGGCATACATCTATGATCTAGCAATACATTCGAGTGATTCGACGAACATCAATCCCACATTTATTGCAGCTTCCCGAGAACTATTCGCTTGAATTAAAACTTATATTCCTTCGTCTTCACAGTGTGCGTTAAAACCCTGCGTGTTTAATGGTTCAAACACAGGCAAATTCGACATTTTCCCGATAACATTTGCTTGATTTCGCCTATTATGCACAGCCATGTTGTGATGTTGACAAAACTTGACATGCGAAATAATATTTTTATATGGATAAAATCGATATCAAAAGAATCAAATTATATTCTACAGACTACATACTTCACGGATTATCATGTTACAATTTCAGAACACTTTTATTCGTTCTTTAATAAACCACAAAATTTTACGCAAATTTGTAGCAATATGCTTTCACTCCTTTCCACTCCCGCCTATACACAGTATGATTTTGTCGTTTTTTTCTAAAATTAGCATGCGCGAGCTGGTATGCGCAGTGCAAATTCTTGTGTCGATTTATGGCAGGCATCTCTCCCACTTTTTCCTCGCCTTCCCGACACAGCTAACCCAGGCCAAATATAAATGCCTAATATAATGCATAAGAGATGCCTGCGGAGGAGGCTAAATTTGACCTAATCTAGGTAAAATTGTTCGTGTTTTTCGTACGTTTTGATAATCTATCAATAGAATTTGCAATGGATGAAGCAACCGAGGCTTCTAAATGTAAGGAGGTCCATGAAGGAAAGGCGAAAATAACGTTTACTAATCCTAACGAGGTGTTTATAACCCTGTCCAAGTATTCAACAGGGACTTGAGCGTTGCTTGCATACAGGTTTACACCGAGGAACTTTTCCCGTTAACTGTCAAGTTCAAGAAGAAAAAACGCAAGGAGTGTATTGAGAAGGATGTAGCTGGTGAACAGGCTAGTACTGGTACGCATCAGCAAATATTTACTATCAGGAAACTGAAACTGCTGATTTGACACTGATTGATAGTGGTGATCATTCCTAAACGAGCCATCATTTTATTGTGCCAGCTTAATTCATCCAATTTTTCATTTCAGGAAGCAATACAGACCCTGGTATAGTCCTGTTTGAAGGGCTAGCAGCATCTGGATTGCGTTCAATCAGATACGCTTTAGAAGTTCCTGGAGTTGAAGAGATTGTTGCAAGTGATATAAGTTCCGAAGCCTTTCAGCTGATGTCAAAAAATGTAATAGACAATCAAGTGTCTCACATTGTCAAACCTTTGCAAATGGATGCTAGGTGCAGTTTCATTTAATCTATAGATTATACACTAAAATTGACAAGTAAAGTAGTCTGGTGAAAGATGGACTCTTGATACCCCAGGGCAGGTTACATTTAAAAACATTACTGGCTTATCTCTTGCTGATCTTTCAGTTGGCAATGCACTCAGAGTGCTAAGTCTTTTTCCAGAAGATTAACCCCATTGTGAAAGTGTGTTTCTAGTTTATGAGTTAAAAAATCCTTCTCATCCACCAGTTTGGTGATGTACCAGAAGAGACATCCAGTTCAATGCAGGTTTGATGTGATTGATCTTGACCCCTATGGTTCACCTGCAGAGTTTCTGGATGGTGCCGTTCAATCTATCAGCGATGGTGGTATGTTGGCTGTAACCTGTACCGACATGGCAGTGCTCTGTGGTAACCACAGCGAGGCATGCTATGCAAAATATGGTAGCATGTCATTGAAAGGGAAATTTTGCCATGAAATGGTATGGAGATATATGTATAGATCATTTGGGTTATATATAGTAATGCTTTAGATGTGGAATTGTGCCTTGGAAGTTCCTAAGGCAGAACATGAACCCCTATTGGTGTCTTTGCAGGCTTCTTGTGCATAAGATTAACAAATTTTACTTCTTTTCTAGGCATTGAGGATTCTTCTATCTTGTATCGACTCTCACGCGAACCACTACAAGCGTTATATTGTTCCCTTAGTTTCTGTTAGCGCAGATTTCTATATCCGCGTCTTTTTGCAAGTGTTCACAAGCGCTGCTGAGGTGAAGAGATCTGCAAGCAAGAAATCCTTAGTCTACCATTGTTTGGGCTGCGGAAGCTGTTTCTTTCAACCAGGTACGTTTTCCTATTTGTTACAATCGGTTGCTCTAATCGTAACGGAATTGAATGAAATTGCAGTATTTAAAGATAAATTGTTGGTAAACAGGATACCATGTATGTAAAATCTCTTTGATAGTAAAAAATGCGAGACTTAATCAAAAACCTTCCGCTTTTAAACGTACATTTCTGTGACGAGTAGAACGGAATCAAAAGAGAGAAAAATGAAGTCCAAGATAATCACAAAGGTCCAGAAAAAGTTTCAACTCAGTGATGCTGTTTGGCTAATCTGTACCCTCAATCTTTACCTCTAGTTGGGAAGCGTATAGAACAGGGAAATTCGAAGAAGTATCCCCCTGGTACGGGCCTCCGGAGGCAGACCTGCCCGGAGTGTGGACGAAAGTTTCATCTTGGAGGCCCGATATGGTCCGAACCTATTCACAACTTAGATTTCGTGAATAAGGTCTTGAATAAAGTGAAGAAGAGCCATGAGAACTATAAAACATCAGAAAGAATAATCGGTTAGTATGTTGCTAATTGTTTGGTTCCCTCATTTTTGCTTTTAAACCTGCACCTTTGGTCTGATGCAAATGTCAGTAATTTTTTCATTTTCTACCCCCAGGTATGCTCACCCTCATTTCAGAAGAGCTTCCTCATTCACCCTTATATCATACCCTCGATCAACTCAGTTCTGTCGTTCATTGTACCACACCATCCATGATTCAATTGCGGTCAGCTATAATGAGATGCGGCTATGAAGTCTCGGGATCGCACGCCGCGAAGTCGGCTGTGAAGACGAACGCACCTAATAATGGTAAGAGGCAGAATTAAATGATTTAACTCATCCATTACAAATCAGATAAATCAGGTAATAGTGGTTCTCTTTGGAAACATTTGGAGAAAGGCCTGAATTGGTTATTTCAAAATCATTTTACCTTTTAGTCATCTGGGATATAATGAGAGAATGGGTAAAGAGACATCCCTTAAAGAAGGAACATGAAAATTCTCCGGGTCATGCAATATTGAGTAAACCACCGCAGACAGAAGTGAGCTTTGAGTTTCAACCCGGCGCCAATCCCACTTCAAGACAACTCAAAATGACGCGATTTCCTGAAAATCCTGAGCCAGAATGGGGACCAAAGGCAAGGTATGTTTGGCATGGTATGTTAATGATTATGGTATGGTATGGTATGGTATGGTATGGTATGGTATGGTATGGTATGGTATGGTATGGTATGGTATGGTACAAAATGGTAGTATCTTCCTCTAAAATCTTGCCTTTTTATTTCTTTTTTAAGAGCTCGCAAATGTGTCGATGATTCCGACGAGCTTGCGGATAAACGCAAGAGAAATCAAGGCAAGCGAAAAACACCGTCCTACAACGAAGAAAGATTAAAGAATTTTGAATGCAAAAGGTTCAAAAAAGGTTTGTGTTCGTTGGGTGATGCATGTAAATATTCCCATCCTTCAGAGGAAGTCAGCTTAGAGACAGAAGAGAACAAAAATTATGATGAAATATCATGACAGTCTAGTAGATGAAAGTACATGTTCGTGTCGGAGTGAAAACGTTGCGTGAAATGTCACTTTGCGTCTAAAAAATCGCATTCAAACATGGCAGATCATGTGTCCTCAAAGTCCCGTAGACAAATTGTATTAACCTTGCTAAGAAATAGGTTTCTGAAGACGGTTATTTCTTTCTGAGGCAGTGAAAACGCTACATCAGTTCCTTAACAATAAGATATTTATTGAACAATTTTAAACAATTCGTATATAATTATAGTAAATAATCAGAGTTCATATAAACAAATAGAATGTATATTGAACAGAAAACTAATTTACATCGAGACAAACAATCCAGTACAGTATTTATATACTGAAAGTCATTTGTTTTTGCAACGCATAATTTAAAACTTGTCAAAGTTTGAAGTATTGATTTCAGCGTGCTGATTTTCAAAGCCGGTTCATTATTCTCTTAGCATGTCCACGAGTAAAAAACAAGATTAAAAAGCTTTGAATAATTCAAAGCCACAATAGACAAGTTCATGTGAATTTTCGTTGAAAAAACAGTTCACAGTTTAAAGACAACGTTTTAGCAAATACGATTCTCCTTAGCAAGATCAATGCAAGATCAACTGATGTGTAAAATGAAAGAAGTGTTTAGATAACAAGGGAGTTTTTATCTAGAAAATTCGCAAAGTTTTGCTAAGTACTGTAAAGTTGTCTTTAAACTGCTATTGACTATATTGTTACATGAAGTACTTCTGTATAATTCTACATACCAATTTGTATCTTTCTATTAATTTGCTGTTCACTGTTCAGTAAGAATAGAGACCGTTTTTAGTTTTTACAGCGATTTGTTATTATAAGTCCAGCTGTTTTCATAGTACAAAATGATCAATGGCATGTCAATTTATACAGAAATAAGTTATTGAAAATTTGCAAATATGTTTAAAAAATAATTTATATTTTCCGGTGAGGTCATTTTTAAGTTTAATATACATCAAAACAACAAAATCAAACTATAATTTACCGATATATTTATATTCATATAGAAATTATCTGTGCAAAAAGCTCTACTAAATTTATTTATAACAGATTGTGAAATTTGCAAAGCACCACTAACGATATATTCACTACCGCAATAATGGGTGAATTATAAAATCTCTAGAAAAGTTTACAATATATTTGGCATAAAATATGGCTAAAATACGAATCTTATTGGGTAAATTAATCGAAAAAGGATAAATTCATATTAAAATGCACTATAGGTATATATATATACTTTCTTAATATTATGATCGAAAATATTTAGGTTTCTATTGTCGATTCCCATTTAAAACAGGCTTTCATAAATTAATTTCTCTCAATGTCAAACAGTGCTTTGCAGTTCAATTGAAAACTTGAGTGAACTAGAATTCTTCGAAGAGAAAAACTTTTATTTTTATTCCTCTCAATATATATACCGGATAAGTTTTGTCGTAAAATCGCATTTTCCTTTTCGAAATAAAGTATTCACGTCACAAAGAAATATCTCAATACGGAATTGTGTTTCTCTTTACTCTACAAATGACATTGATTTGCTTTCAACCTTTCGTCGTTCCCTGTGCAAGAATTTTTTTTATCAGTGGCCATTCGGTCCACGACTTTTTTAATCGTTTTTAAGATAACTATAATATATATATATATCTTTACCAAAAAAATCCACGGTTCTCATCAGAGATGGAAAATGGAAACTTAAAACTTTTATCAAAGTTTCATAGAATCTCGGAGCATTGAATTCTTAGAATTTTTATACATTTCTTGAAAACCTAATCTTGAAACTTGAATTCGAAAAAAATTCGATGTATTCATCGATTGGCAATACAGGATACGAACCGTTTCGTCCTAATCTAAAATATATATTACTTTCCGGTTGTAAATTCTGGAAACGTTTTTAGTACAAAGATTCAGCTTAAGAATATAATTTTTAAAATAAAAAATAAAGTATAATAGTAAAAATGGTCGGGATCCTTTTGAATCTGAAGAAATTCCCCTTTCGTCACGAGTTCAGTATTTGCAATCGTTTGTAAGCGATGCACTATTATTGATTAAATCGAAGCAGATTAATCGTGTATTGAGATCATCGTCTAGCGGTTAATTTACGGACTGAAATATATCTGGACTGTTGAGTTATGTCACAGAGCATACAGAGGTTTGACTGCTGTTAATTTTGCGTACCCCTGGCTTAGCCAGTGCGCTCAAGAGAGGTTTCTCCCCCCGGGAAATCATGCATATGGCGGCGGCTTGAACACATGTATGGAATATAAACAGCCGAGACAGAACTATCTGGAGAAATCGTATTTTTGACAAAAACGTTGCTCAATTTTTTTCTCAAAACCAGATTTTGTTAGTTTTTATCCTTTAGAAGAGTATAGAAGAGTATAGAAGTGGGAGCGATCTGTTTATTTATATAGCGATGGCTATTTATAATGTTCGGGGGGATAGGGCCTCTCTTTAGCGCACTGGCTAACAACATGGCCGCCAGGAACGCATAATTAATGCAAAGTCAAACCTCTGTATGCTCTGTGGTTATGTGGAGTAAAATGGCATCGCTTTTACAAAGGCAAGTACAAAACTGAACTGCGCTATTCATAATATTTACACCCCTCCTTTTGTTAAAAACCTGTTTCGCGCCAGAATTTCTTCGTTAGTGCCCAGTGCTTCGTTCACCATCGGAACGGCAAACTGCGTGGACGATCGGCACCCTCTTTGACCAGCGGTTTGTGAAACTCGCGCCCAGCTCTCGAGTGAATGATCGACCAGCATTGCTCGCAATAATATTGCAAGCACGTGACGTTGGCACAGAAGAATGGCGCGAATTTACCGCCACAGCGCACCCCATGACATTCATCACACATTTGATCGTCCAAGACATATGGCTTCACTTCAACCTGAGCGTGCGAGCAAAGAAACAAATGAGTGATAACTGAATAAAAAGTGCTCTTGAATGAGCAGAGACCCAAACAGTCACTTTCGGAGTAAAGGGTGGGGTTATATGGGAGCTGCCTGCTCTGCGCTCCCTCATGGGAATTCTGAAGATTGTAGTTTTTCAACAGGAATCGTAATTTCTCACCCGCTTATCAATGTCTCCGTGTTGAAGCTGAACAAATCGTGCGCTAATAGCGGCAATGTAACTTTGTTGGTTAGAAAAAGCCACGCGTCCAGCACCTGAAATGTTTTGAAAAAAACGTAAGCCCAAGCGACAACGCATTTCCAGAAATACTTCTCCCTGTGATGACAGGATTTTGTAAATGTTTTGGATGGAATAATTTTAAATTGCCCGCGCAGGTCTCCCCTTCCTCCTACGTTTTTACCGCATTCCCCGGTCAACCATCGGCCAGTTTTTTTCCATCCACTGAACATACCTTTTGGGTACTTCAGTTCGGGGTCAACATCAATGCCAGCGTAGCAACGCCACCGTAGAACGATCCATGATAAGGGCGAGTTCCACGGCTCTGAGGGGACGTGGGGACGCCTCCGACAAATATTGTCTTTCGTGGGTCGAGCACTTGAGAGGCATCCATGACGAAGTCGGCATCTGATAAACACCATGGACGAATTGTACCTTAGGACAGGAACGAGATGAATTTATTGAAAATATTCATTGTAACATTGTAAAACATCGGAGACCTCACCCTTTAAGGTGAGTTCGTTGTTATATTCTATATTTTTACAGGTTAACATGTCAATTACTCAATCCCTCTCTAAAGCTTAAAATTTTGCAGGCTTCAGCAGTCTAAATAGACGAGATCAACGGGACCCATCCTCAATGCCAAGCGGGCATTGTGATCCCTTTCACTTAAACACGTTATATTTTATATTCTGGTTTTTGCAGTACAGCTAGTCACTACCGTTCTGTCTCCCTGACAAGTCTAGTAGTCAAAGTTAAGGTAAATTTGGATCCTTACCGGTTTGTCTTTGATCGTTGGGCTTGAGACGCACAGATAAAGCTTTTGATCCTGTTCAATGCAAGCCTCAATGAGACGTTGCACTGAGATCTCTTCAAGGAACAACAGGAACGCATAACCTGAGGTAAACAATTCAATGTTTTTGTCAAAAACTGTTTCCTGTTCGCTGCATAACGAATTTGGAAAAATGTGCGGTGTTTTATGATAAAATGAAGTCCAAAAAGTTGTTATCAATGGTGTTTATATCGGTGCTACTAACTCACCTTTTGGAGGGAAGTAAGATTTGCTTTCAGCTTTGTGTGGCCAATCAACTGTCAGGTTCCCAAACTTACAAAAACTCGCGTGGATTTCAACTATAGAATGGTAAAATCACTCTCAATCTTCTCGCAACGATCGCAAAAAGAGCAGAACGTGCAGGTGAGGAATTCTAAATTACTCTTCTCTTAGACTTTTCTTACTCAGGCAAGCAACACTTGTTTTAAAAGATGGTAAGAATCTTTGTTGAATCTATGTCTATGATTTTTGTAGAGGCTTTAGGCTTTCATTGAACCTACCTTCATCTATGTCAGGAGGAAGACCACCGACAAACACCTTTCTGGAATATCGTTCCAGTGAATCGTCGGATTTTGGCGAGGTGTTCAAGGAAGATCCCAAAGATGGGACTGTCTGATCTGAGGAGAAAAAAACGAGGTAAGTAACTTAGGGCATGTTCACCCACTTGTGCTGAGTGCTATAGCTTATCGTTTGAATTGATCGAACCACACTTATAACTTGAATTGATTGAGTTGAATGAAGGCTTAAAAAACGGTCGTTGATCTACAGACACTAGTTACTGGATTTGCTTCGTGCATTTCTTTCGTATTCAGTATCGTTGTATCCCATTTGCTTCAACAATGGCCACTCTTTTGCACAAAAAACTTACCTTGATTATATGACTTCTTCTGCAGCTGAGCTCGGAATGCTACAAGGAGAATCAAAAGAAACAGATGGTGATAATTTGAAACCCGTTCAGCAAAAATGTAAGTTGAACTCTGTTGAATTAATTATTCGTTATCCCGGAGTGATTGGCGCAGTCAATCTGTCATCAACCGTTTGCTCGTGTCCACCACCGAACTGCTAAAAAATTTCCGGTCCTTATAATCATGACTAATTGAAAAGCCCAAGTAATTTCGAACTGGTGATAAAAGCTCGCCTGCTTTAATTTAAATTTTAGTTGAAAAAGATCTTTTAATAGATTAGAACATTATCGGAAAACACATGGCGCACTGCATGTCTGCAAATGAAACGTTTTTCATGATCTCATCTGCGTGAGTTTTGAGCTCCATGGCGATATATCGAGGATACTGATGTCAGTAGCGATATTCCCCCTGCATTCAAGCCTAGTTCTTGAATGTTCCTCAGTTAAAAATATTGCCTCAGATTTATAAACAAAACCCTAACGCGTTTACCCGCAGTCTAACGCACGGTTGAGTATGGTTTTGAAACAAAATTTAAAATAAAAACAAATGAAAAATATCTTATGGCGAAGGTCAGCTTGCATGGGAACGTTGTTTTATAAATAAGCACTATAGCACTGAAAATGTGTTTTCCTTTTTGAAATTTTCTCACTGTTTTTCAGTTGAAAAACATGATTTGTTTGAATTGCAAAGCCAAAAGCGGAAGTAATTTTAGTCGATAGTTAAATGAATCTCTGTTTTTAATTTCATGTTTCCTCAATCGAAGGAAACGTTTACATTTACATCCGGTTGGATGAATATAAACGATTATACGTGTGATAGCTGAGTATTGACTGTTAGCTGAACACTTTCTTATACATACATACTAAGATCTATCGTCTCACTTGAAGCGATTTGAAAAGCAGGTGAAATCCGAGGGAGTATAAGCTAGTTGCATTAGTTGAAAACATCGTTTATTTTTCTCTCCATTTTAATTGTTTGCGTTTGTGTGGGCGAAAGAGGCTTCTAGAACAAGCCAAAAATGATTTCAAATGCGATATTTAATGAACGAGAATTTGCCAGGCGGTTTGAAAATTTGTTTCCCAAAGTTGTTATTCTCGCTGATTACACTTCTTACAAATTATGATAAGAATTTAAAGCTGAAACGTGTAGGAAAAAAGGATCACATGAACTGTCCTGTCTCGAGTCGTTCTGTCAAGTGCATATGCAAATATACCAATAAACCCTAGGCCTATAGGCAAGCTCTGTACATATCAAAACTTAATGAAAGACGTTGGCTTAATCATTTTTCATACAAGCTGTTCTTTGGCACAATCGACAGAGGATGTCAGTATAAGGATATTATATCGCAAGCATACTTCAACGTCAATTTAGGGTTTGATATTCTCCGCTCATTAATAATATAATTATGTACATATACATCTGATTTGCATTCATATGAAAACAAAAAGTCAAAATTAATTTCCCCAAGTTGTCAAGTAGACATGAAAAAATTGCTCTTCGGTTGAAAACGCAGACAAATCGGCTTGCCTAAATCAAACCACGGACAACATGAATATGACGTCTTTCACTCTCTTGCCGATCTGCAAACCTGTGTTAAAATCCACATTAATGGCTACTTTGCATCCCTTTTAACAGAGTAAATATCATATTTGGATCGATTTTAAGATTAGAAACTTCGAAAATACAACAATAATACGAGCTTTTAGTCTTTTTTCATCCGTTTTTTCTTTTCTCAAGTCATTTGATTTTTTAACTTGCATGTATATATTAAAATCTTTCTCAACGCTTCAATTGAGAACATAAGAGCCGGATAGGAAAGTCGAACTGAAAAAGTCGATCTGTGGTGTTGTAATACCGTCCATTTATTTAGAAACACTCTACAGTCAAATTCTATTTTGTATTGATCAATCTGTATTTTATTGTCGTTCATATAATAGCCGCGCGCTTTTTTTTATCGGGAATACTGGAACTGACCATATTTCATATACGTTTGCGCCAGTTTTGAAATTGTATTTAAGTTTACCTGTTAAATTGTCTGAGCAATCAGGGGGTGATTTTATCATGTCCAAGAGGCTGCTTTCTAAGTTTGAAAGCTTCGAATGTTGCTTGGTTTTATCCTAAAGGAATATATAAATGAAAATATGAAATTACTACATTCATTGTCTCCGCGCGTTTTTATGTTACTGGCTATATGAGGGGGCGCGCGTTTTTTGTGATTGCACAAAGAGATAACTGCAGATGAAGGCATTATTTATTTTGCAACAGCTGTTCCTACGCTGGGATATTTCCCAACGACACAACCACGCTGATATTATTCCTCGTCGTGAAATTTATAATTACATCTGTTAGGTTTTAGACATGAAGGTAAATGCTTTTGAGGATCGTTCCGTTCACCAAAACGTTGCATATATGCTGCGTTGAAGCAACAGGATATCCTGCCAAAAAGTATAGGATAAGCTAGGCCTTTATATACTCACGATCTAATATTAATAGAGTGAAATTTGAAATTTCTTTGTGAGTTTAAAAAAAACTGCTGTTAGACTGAATAACAAAATTACGAAGAATTACAAACAAAAACATTGGTGGGAACTTCTATTGGCTAGTGGTTGAGCAAAAATCTTTAAATACACATGTAATTTTCATATCAATAAGACAGCATTTGTAATCTAAAGATGGTATTCTATATAATGTGAAATTTAGTTGGCTTTTAGAATTTTTATTCTAGTTCTGTCTGAGCATGTTACATATATATATATATACATATATATATATATATTGCAGTGCACTCGCTATACAGGAAGTAACTTTGCTTTGAACGATTCTCTACCCGGCTTAACTTTAACGCAGCTCATAAAGATATAGCTACACTCGCGTTTTGAACAATAAAAAATATGACATGAAGCCAAAATCTATTGATAAATCATTGAAATATTGTCCTTGTCGTGTGGGGGAAATCGTGATAGATTGTGGACTTATACACGACAGTTGCGATGGAAGTTTTATAATAATATTCTGTCGCATGTCCTATTTTGAAATTCTCCTTTGTTTCACAGAGGTTTTTTTTCATTCATATATTTATGTCGTATGAAGCTTCATTTAATTTTTCCTGCTATTATATAAATACAATTAAAACATCGTCTAAAAACCCCATGTAAGGCCCAAAATCAAATGCTGTTTCTTGAGTCTACCGTCTAATCTGAAGTACTTCATATATGAGATTCTCACAAAACCGGTCTGGCGTTCAAATGTTGCGACGGCTACAAACATCACCTAACACAGCCAAAAAAATGTCAATTGCAGTATCAACAATAATATGTGTTATTTCCCTGGAATTCCTATTTATTCCTTGGTAAAACTCACCAGAAAATAAAATCCTCAGTCCCGTATTGTAATGGAATACACAACAAAAAACAATTATTTTCTGATATCATAGTGACATATAAAAAAGTGATTCTTACCATGTACAAGGAATTAGACAATTCCGTTAGATTTCCAGAGATTCCAAGGATGCCAGAATCGCCAACGACCGTTCCGTCAATCGGTCGTTCGGATAGACTCATGCCTTGAAGTCCTTGTGTCAAATTTGCTGTGCACACAGGTTTTGAATACAACCCGTTTAAATTCGATCTTTGTCCACGAGGATGTTTGCTCGAAGGTGGAAATGATGGACGACCGTTACTCAAGGCAACACCATTTCTCTGTCCAATCACACTAACGTGATTCGTCATGCCATAATGCGGACTTGAATGAAACTGCCAAGTATTCGGGTTGGCCGGGAAATGGTGCCAACCGGACACAGGTTGGCTGTTCGTCGCGTTCCATCCCGTTGAAGGTTTAGCGGAGTTGCCTATCGGCATATACGAGAAGCCAGGAAGGTTTCGCTTTCCTTGAGGTCCGGTCGAGGCGGGATAGTTCGTAGCCGGGATTCTGCTCGGCTTCGGAGAGTGAAAACGATTTGGCGTAAAGGAATTGTTGCCCGCGAACGAAATCGCCATTGTTTGAGATTGAATGTCCTCCCGGCTTTGCGGTGTCCACAAGCTTCCTGGAGTAAGATCGTGAAACATCGAGTTAGTTGTTGTGCTTGGCGCGGTGCTTAGAAAATTTCGCTTAAAGTCGCTCGCGACGCCACCGTTGTTGTTGTTTGCGATTTGTGAATGAGAGAACGAGCTTCGAAACGTATTTTCGTTGAGAAAATCGTCGTCGTTCAAGCAATTCGGTTCAGAAGCCGTTGTCTTTTCGTGAATACTGTCGTCTTTCAACGGACTTAAAAACAAACTGGTGCTGTTGTCAGAATTCTGAAAGTCAACTGGTGTTAAGTCCCTGCCTGTTGTATGGCTCAATTCAGCCATACCGCGAATAGGAAACGTTTGGATGTTTTAGACCAAGGGAAAAAACAGACGTGTTCTAGATGGCAGGTGGTTGTATTATGTCCCTCTCGAAAGCAGCCGTCGTTGTAAGCAATCCCCCCCGCACATGTCCAGTCTAACCCCAATTGATCGCGCAGCAACGAGTAACCAATGAAATTCAAGAGAATTAATTGCGTCCTTCTTAGTTCGCTTTAAATATCAAACCGCGCTAATGTTCATCCTACTCGAGACCAGACGCTCTCGCGTTCGTCAGAATAATCAACTTTTTAGAAGCGATTACAAAATCATTAAAAAGTCGGATGTGAATGCAAGCCAATCCGACGGTTTGCCGCGGAATGTATTGCATACTACTACCCAAATTTATTTTTAAAGGGCGTTTTCGAAAAATATATATATTAGAACTCAACTCCTAACGTATGTGATTTGATAAAATACACCGTTAGCTGCCCTTTCGAAGAGAAAGGAGCCAATGGGATGACTCGTTTCAGCAAATCCGGCAAATCGCATACGTCAGTAGGGGACCAACCGAATCGGCCAGTGTTCGATGTACATGAATTTTCGATGGTCTAGTCAAAAATACTAGACTTAGATTGGCCGAAGTAAACTTGAACTACTAAATAATCAACCTTTAATATATATACATATACATATATATCATGACAGCTACTATTTGGCACTCGTTTTGATCTATACGGGGATCAATGGCAACGAAGTCCAACCACATTCTACCGATGTTGATATATGGACGAGGAATTTTATAGGACAAACTTGTAATACTCAGAGGTTTTAGTTGTGTTTTACGATTCTGACTTCGGACTAGATTTCGTTACTATATTTGAAGAGAGTTTAAACTGTCGAGCATGCATCAAGGGATTCGGAAGATCTATTCCCGACCACTCCCCCTGACAGTATTTTAATCACGCGTCGTTTTGAATAGTAAACAAACAATGTTATTTTAAAATCTTGCAGGTTAGATAAAGCTGTAGTAGTTTATAAGACAGCAAGCGTACTTGTATCTCATGCATGGCGTTTGTACAACAATGTTACAAATTAACAACCGCTATGAATTCGAATCGACTCGAAATAGACCAAGACTGTATTAACGGTCTCACACGTGTCTTTCAATGACCGTTGAGCCTTTTAAACTTGGATAAGCATCATTCGATATTCAAATTCCCTCGTATAAATTACTTGAACTAGGATTACGAGAAATATATCGTTGGGAATAGTTATCTCTAGTCTTACCTTTAGTCATATCGTGGTGAACCAACGTGCTTTGTATGTAAGATGATGTGTCGAGTGTATTGGGTGTCAGTGAATACAAAGTTATTGTGCGTTGTGTTTTTAATTCAATGCATCGTTGAGCGTTTGAATGTGTGAACACATGGTTACCTTAACAATAGCGATCGTTTCGAGACAATGCCATAGACGATATGAGCTATTATTAGCAGCGCGTGCTGGCACAAAGAGCAAGCGTTATGAATGAAACTAATGTTGAGACATCATTGGCTAACTTTTGCACGAACAAAATGTGAAAAAAGTCGTAAAATTGCAACAAATGAGTACATTGTCATATCGCGGTGGTTTAGAGCAATTAGCATTGCTAGAACTATTGAAACTTGGATACTTTTTTAACGTTTCTTTGATGTCTATTGAGCATTAACATTGGAGTTGCTACACTGCTCTTTCTTAATGATGATAGTATCGAATATCAGAGGCAATTGTGGTCTAAGCTTTGTTCAGGTTTTCATCTAATCTTTCAATGCGACTAGTTTTGTGGAAGAATCCTTGGTTTATAAGTCTGCAAGCTGACCAACTGGATAAGAATGCCTCTTTCCAGATTCCTTCACATAAGTGCAAGACACAATTAAGCACGATACGCGAGATCCCTTAAATCCCAAAAGAAACACACTATATTGAGGATGCAGTATGCTGTTTGTTTAGTATGGTTGAATTTCACGCATCAAACATTGTCAGATCAGCCTTGTCGCCTTTTACAACTCTGTTTATAGGTTCAGTAGTTTCAAAGGTTACTCTGCGTTAAGATTACAAACAATGATCACTGATTTCGGTTGAATTTCACATAACCGTACATTTCTGATTCAATGTTTGTAAATCGAGTTTGATTTTGACTTTAGAGCCCATAATCAACTGTATTGAAACACGATTTCCCATTCGACAGCGTGGGAACTTGTGTAAGCGTTATCATCACTCGATTCTTCCGCCTCGTGTCCTTGAACGCTGCGCGTGATTATCGGCCACGCGAGGCCACGTGCTGGCTGCATTCGAATGAGTTTCATCATGTGCGTAATGTCTTGGACGTATTATTGTGGCTTATAAGTTAATATTCCCATGCGGATATTTGCATAATCGTTTGTAATTTCGCTAATATGCCGGGGTATTTTTACAGGAATTTTGTAAATCGTTCGTGAAGTTTCATCAGAGCGTGCCAATGCAATTATTTAATACTGGTTCATGTATGTTCCTTCAAAAAATTTGCTAGTTTATACTGCAGAGAGTTGAGTTTATGAATAGAAGGTGTGTTTTGAGCGAGGTACTTAATATTAATACATCGCTGAACGTGTACACGTCAGATACACGTGTTTCAACGAATATGCCTGAAGAAAGAAAACCCGTGTCTTAATCCGTTCTCAGACCCCTGTTCCTATACTTGCACCGCACTCGGTGCTGATTGCTTACGCCATCTGCCGAAACTCGAAGTTATTAGGTTTTGAACTACGAAATTGATCTGCAAACTCGGTCTTAAAAACAAACCCAACAAACAGCACTAAAAAATAACGAATCTCGTATTTGTAGTCGCATCCGTAGTCACTACTAAGTCTCCTATAATGTTCCATGATAAATGTTTTACTCGTTAGGGGCTACTGTGCATGGAATATCCGTAGTTCCGTACAGCCAGCTCTATGGCTATGCTGTGCATAAGTAAAATGTAACCACTAGTATATATCAAGCTAACCCGTGTTTTTTCCATGTACCTACAGGGCAGTACTGACAACGGACTGTCGCATGGGGTGTGAGAATCCCTGAAATTTCCTATTCAGAGTCGGTGGGGAAAAACATCTCAAAAGGCAGACAGATCGGTAAGATATTTCCGATTAATATTTGACCGTTTGTTCTGAAGCAAAGTCAAACAATTTAGCGCAAAGCAGAACGTGCTTTTCCGAATTCATGAAGCACTCTGTCAAATATGTTTGATAGTCAACAAACCCAATTATTAGAAATACATCGAACTAAAGTTTCTAAAGTTTGTTTCGAAAGTTTTTATTAAGTTCCAGCACCTCGCAGCAAGGCTATGAATTTTCACCGATACTACGGTTTCTATGTAAACATTTCACAAAAACTAACCTATGAAGACCCATTTCAATTTTCCCTGAAAGGATGCCTTGTCTAGATGCATTACAAGCATTTGCAAGGCTCATTAACCCACGGTATAACTGGCCCAGCTTGCTGGCAGATGGTCCGCTCCAGCAAAAGAATGTGGGCGGAACAAATACACTACATGATGTGGGCGAAACAAATAGACACCGAAAAACATCACCTCGGTCTTCGACAATTCTAGGGAAGAATTTTCAATACCCGTAGAGGGCACGCCACGGTTGAAAACTGAGCCGCTCTGGCTATAACTTTGCCACCTTGTGTAATAATTTGCATTCGGTATCGTTGGCTGCGAATTGTTCAAACCAAGAACTAGAGGCTTCGTTTCATCAGCTCTGAATTTTTCGGTTGCACCCATTTGGCTATAGAATGCGCTACACCGAGATTTTGGTTACATGGTTAGGCCGGAGTAAGGCTTGAGTCCAGTTTGAAGATTTTGAGAATTTGTGGTACTCCAATTCTGTCGAGAATCTCTGATCCATGCAGGGCAAAGATCACTCATATATAAGGTGTGATATTTGAGAGAAACCTGCTGAAATGTCAGCGATATCACGCCTGACCATGCTAAGGACTCGTGCAAGCTCTGGGAGACTTGATTACATGTAATTGATAGACTTGAAATGCTCAAAAATCACTTTGCAACGCATGTACTTAGATATAATAAGAAGCACACCGCTCACCTGACGCGCGTTTGTGGACTTTACAAGTCATTTTGCTTTTCCTTCGTAGTCGTTTCAAACTCAGAGAGGCCAAATGGCCAATGTCATTTCATCCCAAACTTTGGGCAGAACCTCAAAGATGTTTGCATGCAGCTCTGGGACTGTCCAAATTCATCCGCCTGCTTGACTCCGTTGTAACTTTATAGTGTTTGTGCATGATTGTGGTTGGTATTGTCAAAGCTGTGAGTGTTTTTTCCTCATATCTCAAAATTATGCATACGAAATAAGAGGTAAAGGCCTATTATTAGAACGGGAACTGTCACTTTTGACAACGATCGTTTACCAACACTTTAAGCCCCCTTAACAGGACAATTGAAGTTTTAAGTTCTGTCAAATCGTTGTCGCACTTCACTTACATAATTCAAATTTTACACAACTTTTAGATACTCGCCGTCCAATCGTGTAAGAATGTCAAGGCGAAACTTCAAAGCGTTAAAACGTCGATGCTAATGGGGTTACCGGTTTGATTTTTGAACGCGGAAATCAGACTTTGCACTGCTACAATGCATGGGCTCGAATGTCAATCTTTGAACTGACGTCTTTAAGGGTCGCTACCGGTTGAAATATTTTAATATAATTCATGTCCAACAGTTTGTTTTATATATGAAAGAAGGCCGCTAGTTAGCGACTCGATTGCACTCGGAAAACGATGAGAGATCATCATGGCCATCACCTGCATAGCCTCTTCGTAGAGGTCGCTTCACTCGCTTGGTACTTTTCGGATCCCAGGGACCCTCAGAAATCAGGTTAGGCCCTTAAAAGATAGACCTTATAGATTATATACTACAAATTTACCATAAGCTGCGAAATAAACTCATTGTGGAAAAACGCGGTCAACGTAGATTACGATCCTCAACAAAAGACAACAATCAAAGAAAGGAGACAAGCTGTAGCTACACTGCATGGCTGACTGACTGACTGACTGACTCACAGTCGTTCAAGCATTAAATGTATATCGCAAACGGCAAAGTGAATTAAGTGAAACACACGCTACTTTTCTAAGAACAACAGGATCGCCCCATTGCGTTCTTACATCACTGCTGAATTTCACAACCATTGAATGGTGAACATTTCTATGATCGGACGATATGGGCGTACATTTTAAGATAGCGTATAGATAAAAAACACAAAGTTTGGCGTTTGTTGCGAACACCAATCTTTGACGGTCTATATTGTAATATCGCAGATCAACTAAAACAAGAAACAGGAATTTCCCTTCGTGCCCATTCGCCATTATGAAAAATGATATCATTGTGATATCAATATGATACCAGGAATTGGTAATTAGCCACTTCTGGGAACTTTGCTGCAATGTTCCGGGAAACAGTGACACTTTCACTTTCATTTCGAAGCAAGCTTGCCTGAAACATTAACATTTTCTAGAGCCTATGTCGTAATGTCGACGTTCTCAGAGCAGAGTCAGTTTAATTCCAAGCGCACGATTGTTGTGCTAAATGTTCCTTCATGTATCGTTGAAGAAGATTTGATTATTCACTTTCAGAAAGCAAAATATGGAGGCGGTGATGTCGATGATGTTGTGAAAGTTGGAAGCGACGCGTTTGTCACATTTGACTCAGTTGAAGGTATGAATCAGTTTCCTAACCTAAGTCTTTCTCGTCGGACTGAAGTGAGATATTGATGAACGCAGACACCTGTTCCGCATTACTAATAGAATTTTTGTAAAAATATTATGCCGGTCAACAGATACTGTATTTGTATCTGTATCTGTATCTGAATCTGTATGTTAAATAACTTCAAGCACCTGTTTACTGCACAAGGGCTATGCATAGGTTGACGCAACTAGAAATCTCGTTTACTAAAAAGCACCTTTGTTGTCCCAAAAATCGCATTGGAAATTGTACATGTAAAAGAGCTGTTATATCCGCCAGGAAATTAACTTATTTATAGATGCAATCATGAACTTTCTGTTACGTACATTTACATCCTCTCTTATTTTGCATTACTGATTGTCATGAACTAACTCGAATGTAATGAACTAACTCTTAGCTATTACCATTTTTGAGATGCTAATCAATATATTTTTTCTAGCAAGACCTTAACAAAACAAGGCTTCAGCATACACAGAGCTTATAATTGTACCATATTTGGTATTTGTTTAATATATCTTAGCGATCACTTCAGCTTTCATTTGGTATCTTCTTTGCAAGATAGTTTTCCTCATTCAAGGCCTTTCACTCGACCATGGTCGAATACGTCATTTCCCGCTGGACTCGACCATGGTCGTATTTGCCATTTTCCGGCGAATTCGACCATGGTTGTATTTGCCATTTTCCGGCGAATTCGACCATGGTCGTATATTTGCCATTTTCCGGCGAATGTATGACCATGGTCGTATATTTGCCATTTTCCGGCGAATATATGACCATGGTCGTATATTTGCCATTTTCCGGCGAATATATGACCATGGTCGTATATTTGCCATTTTCCGGCGGATATATGACCATGGTGGTATATTTGCCATTTTCCGGCGAATATATGACCATGGTCGTTTATTTGCCATTTTCCGGCGAATATATGACCATGGTCGTATATTTGCCATTTTCCGGCGAACTCGACCATGGTCGTATTTGCCATTTTCCGGCGAACTCGACCAGGGGCGCGGATGCAGAGTTTTAAAAGAGGCACATTCATTTTACCTTAGCAACCACACGAAGAGGAAACTGAAATTTAGACGTACCCCGCTGCCCCCGTGGTTCTGGCGCTCCTGGCCTTTTCGGTGATGAATTCTTCTGTGTTTTAGATGCAAGAAGGGTCCTTAGCCATCCTATGCAAACCATTGAAAATAGGAAGGTTGAAATTCAGAATTATGAAGTATGGTTTACAGAGAAGAAGGTCGCTAATCTCTTTCTATTTATAAACGTATTTCGTTTTGGTAGTTTCTGAAAATCGTTAAAAACTTTACTTGATATTCTAAAAAAGAGTGAAGGGCGTCCTTCCCCCTGGAAAACGCATTTACTCTAAACTATCAAATTTTTTACAGGCCCTTTTGTTAGACCATGTATTTCAACTTGTATTTTTTAAGCAGAAACAAGAAGAAACTGCAGAAGAGAGAGAAGACGGAAGACGTAATGAAGATGAAAATGGAGTGAAAACAATCTTCGTCAGTGGTATTAAGAAAGAGACAACCAAGGACTCGATTTGTTTGTTCTTTGAAAATAAAAGGAGAACAAACGGAGGGGATCTGTGTGAGGGTAAAGAGGGATACAAGAGGATCTCTCCTACCGTTGCCCGTTTAACATTCGTTTCCCCCGAAGGTACGTTTATCCTCTCCTAACTTAACCAATCCAACTTCATCCCTTATCTTCGACACTTTTCATCCTTTTTTACTCACCCATAAACATGCATGCCCGAACAAGGATGATATGAAAAGTAGATTACTGACTATATAGTTGAAATTAGCTACCAACAATAAAACCTTTCGATCTTTACGCTTCTAGATGTGCAAAATATTCTCAGGAAAGCAAATAAAGAAACACTTCAACTGGACGGCAATGTTGTAAACGTCAGCACAGACTACGAACCGACGTATTACAGGAGTGTTCTACTCGCCAAAAACCTTAATCCAAAAACAGGGGAGGAAACGTTGAAGAATTTTGTGGAAGCGACGAAAAATACCGATGTCTGGAAAGTAGTTCTAGGCAAAGATAACAAGGCTATTGTAATTCTAAAAAGTGACATAGGTATTTGTACACATACATATCATTAAAGAATCAGCACATACCTTTCTAGAATATGCCTCACGATGCTAATCATGTATTTTCTATTCAGACGAAGAGCCACAATCAGAGAGTTTTACCAGCGAAATTTCGAGCGACAATTTGGAACTGGAAGAATCTGTTATTTCGCTAGAATTCGCTCCCCTGACAAGAAGCATTCGAGTCACTAATATTCCTCAAGATACGAGTCGGGATGCAATCAAATACAAGTTTAAAAACCCTAAAATTGGAGGTGGCAGGGTGACAGACGTTAAAATGGATGAAAAAAATGGCGTCGCAATAGTTGGCTTTGAGGAGTCTTCGGGTATTTTTTATTGATTGTAAAATCGTTCAAATTTGTCGTTAGTAATCCTGTGTAATGGTGTAAGTGAGTTATGAACTCATTCTACTTTCTCTTTTGTAGTTGTTTCCGAGCTCGTTAAGAGGGAACACAGATTAAATGAAGTTTGTTTAGCCGTCATTCCCTATTACGATGATTTTGAAGAGCGGCCCAAAGTACCTTTAACGTTCGACTTCTCCAGTAACTATCGCGTCAAGCCTTCCGTCATGGACTATATTAAAAACAACAAAGAAATTGAAAAAAAGAAGTTTGATCTTAAGTCGACGGAATATGATGAAGAAAAGTCAATATTTCATTTCACGAAAGAATTCGACGATCATGATCTTGCGAAAAAATTTGAAGCCCTATTGCACGAATTCCTTGACACGTTTGACAAGGACGAAATCAGAATTCCCAAACCTCATTGGAAAAAAGTCAAAGAGACGATTGAAGGCAAACGTGAAGAATTCGACGATGCCGCAGTCGATTTGATCTTTGACAATGATAATTATTCTCTTTCTTTTGTTGGTAAGAAACGGAGCATCGGCGAAAAGAAGCACCTGGTTGAGATGATGATAGATCAATTGACGGCCGAGGCAAACATCGAAACAAGAGATCTGGAGTTGCCTTTGGAGGGCAAAAATAAATTAAGATTCATGAATTTTATTGGTTATTTTGAGAAACTGATGGGGGAATTTCCGGAAATAAAAATTCATGGAATCGATGGCTCTTCTGGTAAATTGTCGCTCGTTGGACGACCAGAGAAAGCACGGGAATTAGAACTACGAATCTTGCAAGATATAATGAAGATCTCCGAGATCGAAGTGCCGTTGAGCCACCGGCAAGTTGCCTTCTTGAAGTTGACTGATTGTCAGCTTGTGAACGAAGAACTCAACCGAGATGACGTCATGTTAATGGTGATAAATACCGAAGGGCGTGATGCAAAAGACTCACAAGCGAAGTTATTTTCCTTGAGAAAATATGACACTGGAAAGGTAGGGCGTAATTTCATATATTTTAATGAAATGTAGAGCAGTCGGAACCGGCTACACTTGGGTCCCATTACTAATCCCATTTCTTTTCCTGACCAATGAAATTAATCAGAGAAAGTGCCCTGTTTAAAAGTGCATTTTTTTACCAAATTCATTATCAAAGCCAACTAGAGCTTTCTCTCGCAATAACCACATTTAATCAGCTTCCAACAGGCCGTATAATTTTGGTAATCTTCTCAATGGAAGCAGAAAATTAAAGGTACTCAGCTACTACAATTGCATGATGTCTTTCTTTTGATGTCTCTCTTTGGTTCTACTTTATTTCAGGCGAAGTTGCTGAAAGAGAAGGTAAAAACGAAAACATCAGAGACGTGTGTAGAAGTGGACGAAAAAACGGCAGAGATTCTAACAAAGTCGGGGAAACTACAACGATTCACGGAAGAAATGTCGAGAAAACAAGTGCTAATCGACTCTACTGATCCTTGTAATATTTGGATAGTTTGTGAAAGATCCAGGATTTCTAACGTCGAACGAGAACTGGGAAGTTTGACCGATGAGAAAAAAATCTCAAGTGAAATATTCAAACTCAGGGATCCGATGAAATATCGTTTCCTTAAGGAGCATTGCTTTGATAATCAAATTAAAAAACACGAGAAACGTTTGGAAAAAGAAGGCGTTTCTGTTAACAAAACTCGCTTTAATACAATTGAAGTGATAGGAACACCACTTGGGAGAAAACAAATGATGGAACTTCTCAGTTATCTGGCTAAAAGTATTGAATCCAGAGTATGTACATCACGTGTCCTTACAATATATTTCTTGCTTTTTACTGGACTACTAGTGCACAAAAATGCAATGTTTGGAGGTGATTATGTGGTTATATTCAGCAAGATTTTCTCGGCCTAATGTGAGCTCTCTGTTCTTTTTTTAAAAAGGTTTATCACCTGACTGAACCGGGAATGAAAAAGCAAATGAGTGTAGAGGCAACAAAGGCAATTATTTCCGGGATTGAAAAAGATCATAGATGTGTTATTAAACGAGGAAATGATGAAAGCGCTGTACTGGGACATGGGATGATCGCAAAGTCTAGTGGTGTGGCAGAAATGAACTTGCCCTACGCTTCCATGTGTTTCGTAAACGATAAGCAAGTGAAAATGTCCTCTGGACAAACGATATCCATAGTTGTAGGAGATTTAGCACAACAAAAGGTATTTTTGAGTTCCTGAGGAACTACAATGGTTTAGTGAACATGCTCGAATACGTTGTTTTCTGGCCGACTCGACCATGCTCGAATATGCCGTTTTCGGCGAACTCGACCATGGTAGAATACGCCATTTTTCGGCGGACTCAACCATGGTCGAAAACGCCGTTTTCTGGCGGACTCGACCATGGTCAAATTAGTCGTTTTCCGGCGAACTCGCCCATGGTCAAATTAGTCGTTTTCCGGCGAACTCGACCCTGGTCAAATTAGTCGTTTTCCGGCGAACTCGACCCTGGTCAAATTAGTTGTTTTCCGGCGAACTCGACCATGGTCGCGAGTTAGTCGTTTTCCGGCGAACTCGACCATGGTCGAATTAGTCGTTTTCCGGCGAACTCGACCATGGTCGAATTAGTCGTTTTCCAGCGAACTCGACCATGGTCGAATTAGTCGTTTTCCAGCGAACTCGACCATGGTCGAGTTAGTCGTTTTCCGGCGAACTCGACCATGGTCGAGTTAGTCGTTTTCCGGCGAACTCGACCATGGTCGAGTTAGTCGTTTTCCAGCGAACTCGACCATGGTCGAGTTAGTCGTTTTCCAGCGAACTCGACCATGGTCGAGTTAGTCGTTTTCCGGCGAACTCGACCATGGTCGAGTTAGTCGTTTTCCGGCGAACTCGACCATGGTCGAGTTAGTCGTTTTCCGGCGAACTCGACCATGGTCGAATTAGTCGTTTTCCGGCGAACTCGACCATGGTCGAGTTAGTCGTTTTCCGGCGAACTCGACCATGGTCCAATTAGTCGTTTTCCAGCGAACTCGACCATGGTCGAATTAGTCGTTTTCCGGCGAACTCGACCCTGGTCAAATTAGTCGTTTTCCGGCGAACTCGACCCTGGTCAAATTAGTTGTTTTCCAGCGAACTCGACCATGGTCGCGAGTTAGTCGTTTTCCGGCGAACTCGACCATGGTCGAATTAGTCGTTTTCCGGCGAACTCGACCATGGTCGAATTAGTCGTTTTCCAGCGAACTCGACCATGGTCGAGTTAGTCGTTTTCCGGCGAACTCGACCATGGTCGAGTTAGTCGTTTTCCGGCGAACTCGACCATGGTCGAGTTAGTCGTTTTCCAGCGAACTCGACCAGGTCGAGTTAGTCGTTTTCCAGCGAACTCGACCATGGTCGAATTAGTCGTTTTCCAGCGAACTCGACCATGGTCGAGTTAGTCGTTTTCCAGCGAACTCGACCATGGTCGAGTTAGTCGTTTTCCAGCGAACTCGACCATGGTCGAGTTAGTCGTTTTCCGGCGAACTCGACCATGGTCGAGTTAGTCGTTTTCCGGCGAACTCGACCATGGTCGAATTAGTCGTTTTCCGGCGAACTCGACCATGGTCGAGTTAGTCGTTTTCCGGCGAACTCGACCATGGTCGAGTTAGTCGTTTTCCGGCGAACTCGACCATGGTCCAATTAGTCGTTTTCCGGCGAACTCGACCATGGTCGAATTAGTCGTTTTCCGGCGAACTCGACCATGGTAGAATTAGTCGTTTTCCGGCGAACTCGACCATGGTCGAATTAGTCGTTTTCCAGCGAACTCGACCATGGTCGAATTAGTCGTTTTCCAGCGAACTCGACCATGGTCGAGTTAGTCGTTTTCCAGCGAACTCGACCATGGTCGAGTTAGTCGTTTTCCAGCGAACTCGACCATGGTCGAGTTAGTCGTTTTCCGGCGAACTCGACCATGGTCGAGTTAGTCGTTTTCCGGCGAACTCGACCATGGTCGAATTAGTCGTTTTCCGGCGAACTCGACCATGGTCGAGTTAGTCGTTTCCGGCGAACTCGACCATGGTCGAGTTAGTCGTTTTCCGGCGAACTCGACCATGGTCCAATTAGTCGTTTTCCGGCGAACTCGACCATGGTCGAATTAGTCGTTTTCCGGCGAACTCGACCATGGTAGAATTAGTCGTTTTCCGGCGAACTCGACCATGGTCGAATTAGTCGTTTTCCAGCGAACTCGACCATGGTCGAATTAGTCGTTTTCCAGCGAACTCGACCATGGTCGAGTTAGTCGTTTTCCGGCGAACTCGACCATGGTCGAGTTAGTCGTTTTCCGGCGAACTCGACCATGGTCGAGTTAGTCGTTTTCCGGCGAACTCGACCATGGTCGAGTTAGTCGTTTTCCAGCGAACTCGACCATGGTCGAGTTAGTCGTTTTCCGGCGAACTCGACCATGGTCCAATTAGTCGTTTTCCGGAGAACTCGACCATGGTCGAATTAGTTGTTTTCCGGCGAACTCGACCATGGTCGAATTAGTCGTTTTCCGGCGAACTCGACCATGGTCGAGTTAGTCGTTTTCCGGCGAACTCGACCATGGTCGAATTAGTCGTTTTCCAGCGAACTCGACCATGGTCGAATTAGTCGTTTTCCGGCGAACTCGACCATGGTCGAATTAGTCGTTTTCCGGCGAACTCGACCATGGTCGAATTAGTCGTTTTTCGGTGAAGTCGACCATGGTCGAATTAGTCGTTTTCCGGCGAACTCGACCATGGTCGAATTAGTCGTTTTCCGGCGAACTCGACAATCGAATTAGTGATGAGAAATTTGACTTATCCACCGTTTAAGCTAAACGGACTTGATACAGCCGACCCCGGTCTTCGTGTAATTTATCTATTTCTTATTTCTTCAAGGTCGATGTAATTGTAAATTCAAGCGATGAAAAAGTCAATTTGAAGGCGACCCCTTGTGGTAAGGCGTTGCTGAATGTGGCTGGCGATGAACTATTGACTGAGTGTCAGAAAATTGGACTTCTTGAGTTAGGGGATTTGGCGTTAACTGGACCAGCAAAACTCAACTGTAAATTCGTGTTTCATGTTCGCGCATCTCCCTACGAATGCGGCAGAGGTGTTTTGGTAATGATTCAGATTCGCTTTGGGCCACTTTCAAGTACAATTTATTATATTCAATTCAAATTTTTTTTTATAGGTTCTTCAAAACATCATTAAAAAATGTCTGGCGGAAATGGGGGGGAAGAATTTGACATCCATAGCGTTCCCAGCCATCGGCTCGGGGAATTTAGGTTTCCCGCGTCGAGTAGTCACAGAGATTCTTTTTAAAGAAATGACTGACTTCTTCACAATGTTTCCAAAATCGCCGATCAACGACATTCGTTTTGTGGCGTACAGTAAAGACCAAGGAACGATTGGCGAATTTCTAGGTTTGTACTTCCAAGCAATTTATAGCACACATTAACTCAAGACTTCATAAACTCAGCCTATAGTCACTATTAAGAAGTACTGTACGATTATTCTTTAATAGGTGCTGTCCAAGAAATCAAGAGTATGACTATATCCTCTGCAGGAAAGAACGTGCCAATTTCAACGGTTTCAACGCCCGCGGCCGTGAATGATAATCCTGCAACAACCGCACCCTCTGGGGCAAACAATGTCACTACAAATGAGAAACCAGACGGAACGTTAGAACTTTGTTTTGGAACTAAGAATCTCACAGTTCAAATTGTCTGCGCTGACATCAGCAAAGAAACGACTGACCTCATTATGCACGTGATCAATCAAGGTTTGTCCTTCCAGGGTGGAGTGGGAAAAGCGCTGATAATTGCGGGGGGCGATAGCATCGTTGAAGAAACTCGGGCGCTCGGAAAGCCAGCTCCTTTTTCAACGCTGTACACAAAAGCGGGAAGCCTAGCTGTCAACCAAATCGCTCACGTGATCGCACCAGCCTCTATTTCATACACGGAGCTGAAGAAATGCCTGGATAATTTTTTCGCCGATGTGTCAGCGAAAAATATTGCCAAGATTTCGCTATCTGCCATCGGCGCGGGTGCGATGGGCTTCTCAGAGACGCAATCGGCTGCTTTGATATTTGATAACTTGTTGAAGATTGCCAACACAACTAGCGGGAGCTTGAATCTAGTACGCATAGTTATTCTTGAGAAAATAAAGTGTATAAGATTCAAAGATGCAGCCAAGGCTTTTTTTGCCTCTGGTGGTGCGGTCAGTGGTTCCACCCTGCAAAAAGCCTGGATTCCAACAACAGGAGGCCAGGACACATCAGTCACAATCTATTCTGATGATCGTAGAACATGTGACAGAGCCTGGGGTGAATTGAGAAAAAATATGAAGGAAAATATCAAGGAAATTAATGTTCCAGATGACAACATAAAAAAGTTTACTGACGGACATATTGGTCGGTTGGTTCAACTGGAGCGGCGTTTTGATGTCAAGATCAAAGTGGATCAGACCAACGGATCTATTACCATCATTGGACATCATGCAGATATTTCAACTATCCAGGAAGAGATACGCAGGATGATAATAGAGATCTTAAAAAAGGATATCTCTGGTAAATACTTGCCATTAATTCCTTTCCGTAGTATGAATTTTAAAAAATGCACGGTGTTGAGACTAGCCGTGTTTATGCGCCGCGTGACGGCCTTTGGTTTCACCGATGGAACAGAAAATGTCTAAAAACGAAATTTTATCCAATCGACTTCTAAAAAGACCAGAACTGCTGCAACCTTTGACAGCTCATCATACACATTTGACAACTGTGAGGGCCATTTTAAGGCTTAATGTACACAAAAGGTTATTTAAAATTCAATTCAGACGACTCGTTTTTACCATGTGCAAGTTTCAAATCTTTTGTGCAATTCGTATTTTGTTGAACATTTATAAATCTTTTTGCTCGCCAAATTTGAAGTTTAAGAATTATGAATTTCGGCTAAGTCATACCAATTTGCATGCGGTGTCCCAATAAAGCTTCTAGCTACAGCTCTATGGCTTCTGTATACCTTATCAGGAAACTCTTTTTTTAGTTTCACAACCTTCAACAAAACTTCCGTCACATTGGGACACCTCGCTGAATGCCAAGGTTAACAGGGTTAAACTTGTGGCCAGCAGTAAAGAATACAAAGACGTTGAAACGGAATTCAGAAAAACTGTTCCGAATCAAATTGTCTCCATCGAAAGAGTGCAGAATAAGGAACAGTATGAACTGTATGATTTGAAACGCAGAGCGATGATGGCAAAATATGGCAGCAATTTCGCAGGAAAGGAAAAGATGTTGTTTCATGGAACTCCGCCACAAAATGTTGATAAAATCAACTATGGTGGATTGAACAGGAGTTTTGCAGTTTCTGGTGGTAAGATTTACTTTGTTGCGACGCAGAAATTTATATTGATATATATACGATATTCTATAGTACACAAGGTAGTGGCTTGGGGAAAGTTCAACATATGGGGCCGGTTGTATCAAGTCCGTTTAGCTAAAACGGTGGATAAGTTCAAAATAGAAAGCAAGCCTGCCGTTTTATTCAACAAGCGAACAAAATATTTTTGACCTTAATACAAAACTACTGCATGTTTACAACTACATAGTACACTCAGTGCATAGTATTCAAGTTGACTCATTCAAGAGAGTTGTAAAAGTGTTATTTAATTTTGATTTATCCACCGTTTAAGCTAAACGGACTTGATACAACCGGCCCATACTGCCATAGTCTTTACTATTCTGAGGAAAGAAAAGGTCAGAGATATTACTTAGCTACATGGCATTTGAATATGTTCTATTGAGAACATTACTGCCCCGATTTTTTTATACACATTCTATAGCTTCACCAATGATGCGCGTACCGGCCATTTAATACATATTTTTGGTCTTTTATAGCCTCTCATGGTCAAGGTGTATACTTCGCCAGAGACGCCAGTTATTCCGTGAGCACGCGCTACTCACCTCCAGATCCTCAAACAGGACTTCGGTACATGTATTACGTCAACGTTCTGGTAGGAGAGTATGCGGTGGGTAACTCTGGTATGAAAGTGGCGCCTACAAAGAGTACGGCGAATCCCAACGAAAAATTCGACTCCGTAGTAGACAATCTTACAAACCCAGTAATGTATATTCTGTTTCAAGATTACGACTATTATCCAGAGTACTTGATCACTTTTAAATAGCCGGTTGACATTCAATGAAGTAATCTATAATTGAAAGAATCGATTATGCATAAAGCAGCCGACTATCGAGGTATCTCTTCCCGATTATTGTTTACTTGATCCACAACTTAATCTATACATTGAATAAGAACATAACTAATATCAAAGAGAAAAATCGTGACCGTGACGAACATGCACCCAAATTGGCAAATTCATCAGTTCGTTTTTTAATTTTCTAAAGTTATCAATAAGAATTAAACACTCAAGTTAGTGTAGTCATTGCTGAACAATCGTCTAGCGGCTACCGTACGCGTTTTATCAGCCGGATTGACGCGAGTTCCTCTTAACTGTATTGCGCAGTAATTGTTTGTGGTTAGCGCGGTCGTTCAAGCCCTCGCAGTGTCAAAAATATATGTTGCGAATTCTTATTTAATTTCGAAGTCCTGAAAGAAAGGATTAAAAAAGGGGCTTACCCCTTACCATTTTGGTCAATTTTGACCACTTTTTGAACTGTTCAAAACGAGTCTTAAAATGCTAAAAATGGCTTCTTCAGACTAATATCTTTCATTTTAGAGCACATTTGGTTAGTTTTCAGAACAATGAAAAAGTAGTCAAAATTGGCCAAAATGGTAAGGCTAATTACCCTTACCATTTTGGTCAATTTTGACGACTTTTTCAACTGTTCAAAAACTGTCTTAAAATGCTAAAAATGGCTTGCTAAGACTAATATCTTTCATTTTAGAGCATATTTGGTTGATTTTTGAAAAGTTGAAAAAGTCGTCAAAATTGACCAAAATGGTAAGGCTTACCCCTTACCATTTTGGTCAATTTTGACGACTTTTTGAACTTTTCAAGAACTGTTTTAAAATGCTAAAAATGAATTCCTGAGACTAATATCTTTCATTTTAGAGCATTTTGAGACACTTTTTGAAAAGTTGAAAAAGTCGTCAAAATTGACCAAAATGGTAAGGCTTACCCCTTACCATTTTGGTCAATTTTGACGACTTTTTGAACTTTTCAAGAACTGTTTTAAAATGCTAAAAATGAATTCCTAAGACTAATATCTTTCATTTTAGAGCATTTTGAGACACTTTTTGAAAAGTTGAAAAAGTCGTCAAAATTGACCAAAATGGTAAGGCTTACCCCTTACCATTTTGTTCACTTTTGACGACATTTTGAATTATTCAAAAAGGGTCTTAAAATGCTAAAAATGGCTTTCTAAGACTAATACCTTTCATTTTAGAGCATATTTGGTTGGTTTTTGGAACTTTGAAAAATCGTCAAAATTGACCAAAATGGTAAGGCTTACCCCTTACCATTTTGGTCAATCTTGACGACTTTTTCAACTGTTCAAAAACTGTCTTAAAATGCTAAAAATGAATTCCTAAGACTAATATCTTTCATTTTAGAGCACATTTGGTTAGTTTTTGGAACATTGAGAATTCGGTAATTTTGCGTTCAAGTTTTAAAATGTATTATTTTATGTTAAGTATCAACACACTACGGTGGCTTAGTGGTTAAGGCTACCGCCCTACCAGGTTATGAGCGTAGGTTCGAATCCTGCCAGGGAAAGTGCAATTTTTCCCACCTAAGTTGCTATTTAATTTAAAATTCTGCGAATAGGATTAAGTAAATAAAGAACAAGAGCTTTTGATACATAAATGTTGCTGTGGCCCAGTGGTTAAGGCTACGGCTACTAGGTTTTAAACCTAGGTTCGAATCCGGCGTGGGAAAGGTTCGATTTTTCCCACCAAAATTATTCTTTAATTTAAACTTCATCGAAAAGGATTAGGTCAAATAGAGAACAATAGCTTTCGACAAATGACCCGGTAGTGTAGTGGTTTAGACGTTCGTCTCTCAATCCGAGGACTAACGTTTCAACTCCTGGCAATGCAACAAAATTAGCCTGAAAAATATCGGTGTGATTTGGAATGTTTAAAACAGTTAAAAGACTTCTCGGCCTTTGCAAAAGACCGTAAATTGAAAAAATTTGAAATATAAAAACCAAAAAAAATTATCGCCTTCAAAAGTACCTGGAAATTGAAAAAAAAGCAGCACAAGTAAAAAAGTTTTAAAAACACGTGTCTTCTAAAAAGCCTGAAAATGAAGAAAGTCAGACGGGAAGAAAAATTAACAATTTCCCGCTTTTAAAAAACTCATGTTTACTTACCTTAATTTTTTTTCACGAAAATTTGACAGGATGGTTTTCTCGAGCGTGAAAAAATTTAATTTTTTTCACTTTTTTGAAATTCTCTTAGATTTTTTTTTGACGAATAAGTATTTTGTCTTGGGCTCTGTGTCTGTCTTGGGCTACCTGTGTCTAGCTTGACACAGGTAGCCCAAGACATAATACTTCTTCTTCAAAAAAAAATCTCGGAGAATTATAAAAAATTAAAAAAACCTTTTTGAAGAAGAAGTATTATGTCTTGGGCTACTGTGTCAAGCTAGACACAGGTAGCCCAAGACAGACACAGGTAGCCCAAGACATAATACTTCTTCTTCAAAAAGGTTTTTTCACTTTTTTGAAATTCTCCGAGATTTTTTTTAAGAAGAAGTATTATGTCTTGGGCTACCTGTGTCAAGCCAGACACAGGTCGCCCAAGACAGACACAGGTAGCCCAAGACAAAATACTTATTCGTCAAAAAAAATCTAAGAGAATTTCAAAAAAGTGAAAAAAATTAAATTTTTTCACGCTCGAGAAAATCACCCTGTCAAATTTTCTTGAAAAAAAATTAAGGTAAGTAAACATGAGTTTTTTAAAAGCGGGAAATTGTTAATTTTTTTCCGTCTGACTTATTTCATTTTCAGGGTTTTTAGAAGACATGTGTTTTTAAAATTTTTTACTTGTGCTTTTTTTTCAATTTCCAGGTACTTTTGAAGGCGATAATTTTTTTTGGTTTTTATATTTCAAATTTTTTTCAATTTACGGTCTTTTGCAAAGGCCGAGAAGTCTTTTAACTGTTTTAAACATTCCAAATCACACCGAAATTTTTCAGGCTAATTTTGTTGCATTGCCAGGAGTTGAAACGTTAGTCCTCGGATTGAGAGACGAACGTCTGAACCACTACACTACCGGGTCATTTGTCGAAAGCTATTGTTCTCTATTTGACCTAATTCTTTTCGATTAAGTTTAAATTAAAGAATAATTTTGGTGGGAAAAATCGAACCTTTCCCACGTCGGGTTCGAACCTAGGTTTATAACCTGGTAGCCGTAGCCTTAACCACTGGGCCACAGCAACATTTATATATCAAAAGCTCTTGTTCTTTATTTAGTTAATCCTATTCGCAGAATTTTAAATTAAATAGCAACTTAGGTGGGAAAAATTGCACTTTTCCTGGCAGGATTCGAACCTACGCTCATAACCTGGTAGGGCGGTAGCCTTAACCACTAGGCCACCGTAGTGTGTTGATACTTAACATAAAATAATACATTTTAAAACTTGAACGCAAAATTACCGAATTCTCAATGTTCCAAAAACCAACCAAATATGCTCTAAGATGAAAGGTATTAGTCTTAGGAATTCATTTTTAGCATTTTAAAACAGTTTTTGAACAGTTCAAAAAGTCTTCAAGATTGACCAAAATGGTAAGGGGTAAGCCTTACCATTTTGGTCAATTTTGACGACTTTTTCAACTTTTCAAAAATCAACCAAATATGCTCTAAAAGAGGGTACCTAAATATCGAGGCAGGATTCAAGTCAGGACTCAAGTCAGGACTCGAGTCAGGACTCGAGCCAAGGACTCGAGCCGACAAGCTACGATTTAATGACTCATTTACGTCTTGCTGATGGAAACTTCTATTGCCGTCTTTCCCGCGTGCCTGTTGGCGTAAGCGGGTTCTTCCCAGTTTAATGGTTATTCCCAGTTTAATGGTTCTTCCCGTGTGCGGACAAATTTTAAGCGCTTTTGTTCATTCGTTCCAGAATAAAGTGCCACGAATGAACAAAAGCGCTTAAAATTTGTCCGCACAAGAGAAAAATTTGCTTACGCCAACAGCCACGAGTGATTATTAGCTCGGCTAGTTGCTCTCGTGTGCGGCAGGTTTTAAGTAGACTAGAATTTTTCCGAATTCGTTAAATGTGATTATTTATGATACCATTTTTTGAGTCCACAATTTTTAAATCGCTAAATGAATTCAAAAACAGAACTTTGCAAAACGTCTAGTTAGTCAGCAACATTGTATTGGTCGCATAGCGTTAGAAAGGCTAATTCTTTTACCATTACGGTGCATGCACCATTAAATCGTAAAAATTTGAAAGTTAAAACAATGGATAATAGAAATACAATGTGTTTTTATTCTCCATGCCATGGTCAGAAATGAAAATTAACGATTTGCATCCGATATTTTGGACAGCAATTACCTGTTGGTTACGAGTTATGTTACCCCCAATTTTTATTTCATAAAATGATTTATTATAAAATCAACTATATGTCATCCAAATATGGCGGATTGGTCGCATTGCGTGAGAAAGGTTAATTGACTCGAGTCCTTGACTCGAGTCCTTGACTCGAGTCCTGGCTCGAGTCCTGGCTCGAGTCCTGCCTTGAATCCTGACTCAAGCAATAGTATATCTCGCTCTAAAATGAAAGATATTAGTCTTAGGAATTCATTTTTAGCATTTTAAAACAGTTCTTGAAAAGTTCAAAAAGTCGTCAAAATTGACCAAAATGGTAAGGGTAAGCCTTACCATTTTGGTCAATTTTGACGACTTTTTCAACTTTTCAAAAAGTGTCTCAAAATGCTCTAAAATGAAAGATATTAGTCTTAGGAATTCATTTTTAGCATTTTAAAACAGTTCTTGAAAAGTTCAAAAAGTCGTCAAAATTGACCAAAATGGTAAGGGGTAAGCCTTACCATTTTGGTCAATTTTGACGACTTTTTCAACTTTTCAAAAAGTGTCTCCAAATGCTCTAAAATGAAAGATATTAGTCTTAGGAATTCGTTTTTAGCATTTTAAAACAGTTCTTGACTTTTTCAACTTTTCAAAAAGTGTTTCAAAATGCTCTAAAATGAAAGATATTAGTCTTAGGAATTCATTTTTAGCATTTTAAAACAGTTCTTGAAAAGTTCAAAAAGTCGTCAAAATTGACCAAAATGGTAAGGGGTAAGCCTTACCATTTTGGTCAATTTTGACGACTTTTTCAACTTTTCAAAAAGTGTCTCAAAATGCTCTAAAATGAAAGATATTAGTCTTAGGAATTCATTTTTAGCATTTTAAAACAGTTCTTGAAAAGTTCAAAAAGTCGTCAAAATTGACCGAAATGGTAAGGGGTAAGCCTTACCATTTTGGTCAATTTTGACGACTTTTTCAACTTTTGAAAAAGTGTCTCAAAATGCTCTAAAATGAAAGATATTAGTCTTAGGAATTCGTTTTTAGCATTTTAAAACAGTTCTTGAAAAGTTCAAAAAGTCGTCAAAATTGACCAAAATGGTAAGGGGTAAGCCTTACCATTTTGGTCAATTTTGACGACTTTTTCAACTTTTCAAAAAGTGTCTCCAAATGCTCTAAAATGAAAGATATTAGTCTTAGGAATTCGTTTTTAGCATTTTAAAACAGTTCTTGACTTTTTCAACTTTTCAAAAAGTGTTTCAAAATGCTCTAAAATGAAAGATATTAGTCTTAGGAATTCATTTTTAGCATTTTAAAACAGTTCTTGAAAAGTTCAAAAAGTCGTCAAAATTGACCAAAATGGTAAGGGGTAAGCCTTACCATTTTGGTCAATTTTGACGACTTTTTCAACTTTTCAAAAAGTGTCTCAAAATGCTCTAAAATGAAAGATATTAGTCTTAGGAATTCATTTTTAGCATTTTAAAACAGTTCTTGAAAAGTTCAAAAAGTCGTCAAAATTGACCGAAATGGTAAGGGGTAAGCCTTACCATTTTGGTCAATTTTGACGACTTTTTCAACTTTTGAAAAAGTGTCTCAAAATGCTCTAAAATGAAAGATATTAGTCTTAGGAATTCGTTTTTAGCATTTTAAAACAGTTCTTGAAAAGTTCAAAAAGTCGTCAAAATTGACCAAAATGGTAAGGGGTAAGCCTTACCATTTTGGTCAATTTTGACGACTTTTTCAACTTTTCAAAAAGTGTCTCAAAATGCTCTAAAATGAAAGATATTAGTCTCAGGAATTCATTTTTAGCATTTTAAAACAGTTCTTGAAAAGTTCAAAAAGTCGTCAAAATTGACCAAAATGGTAAGGGGTAAGCCTTACCATTTTGGTCAATTTTGACGACTTTTTCAACTTTTCAAAAATCAACCAAATATGCTCTAAAATGAAAGATATTAGTCTTAGCAAGCCATTTTTAGCATTTTAAGACAGTTTTTGAACAGTTGAAAAAGTCGTCAAAATTGACCAAAATGGTAAGGGTAATTAGCCTTACCATTTTGGCCAATTTTGACCACTTTTTCATTGTTCTGAAAACTAACCAATTGTGCTCTAAAATGAAAGATATTAGTCTGAAGAAGCCATTTTTAGCATTTTAAGACTCGTTTTGAACAGTTCAAAAAGTGGTCAAAATTGACCAAAATGGTAACGGGTAAGCCTTACCATTTTGGTCAATTTTGACGATTTTTCAATGTTCCAAAAACCTACCAAATATGCTCTAAAATGAAAGGTATTTTGGTCAAAATTGACGACTTTTTCAATGTGACGAATTTTTCAGCATAAAATAATACATTTTAATACTTGAACGGAAAATTACCGACTTTTCAATGTTCCAAAAACCAACTAATTATGCTCTAAAATGAAAGGTATTAGTTTTACGAAGCCATTTTTAGCATTTTAAGACAGTTTTTGAACAGTTCAAAAAGTCGTCAAAATTGAACAAAATGGTAAGTGGTAAGCCTTATCATTTTGGCCAATTTTGACCACTTTTTCATTGTTCTGAAAACTAACCAAATGTGCTCTAAAATGAAAGATATTAGTCTTTGGAAGCCATTTTTAGCATTTTTAGACCGTTTTTGAATAGTTCAAAAAGTCGTAAATTTCGACAACTTTTTCATTCTTCTGAAAATTAAGCAAATGTGCTCTAAAATGAAAGACATTTGTCTTAGGAAGCCATTTTTCGCATTTTAAGACAGTTTTTGAACAGTTCAAAAAGTCGTCAAAATTGACCAAAATGGTAAGGGGTAAGCCTTACCATTTTGGCCAATTTTGATCACCTTTTCAATGTTCTGAAAACCAACCAAATGTGCTCTAAATTGAAAGGTATTAGTCTTAGGAAGCCATTTTTAGCATTTTAAGAGAGATTTTGAACAGTTCAAAAAGTCGTCAAATTGACCAAAATGGTCGGGGTAGTAAGCCATTACCATTTTGGTCAATTTTGACGATTTTTTGAACTGTTCAAAAACGGTCTTAAAATGCTAAAAATGGCTTGCTAAGACTAATATCTTTCATTTTAGAGCATATTTAGTTGGTTTTTGGAACATTGAAAAAGTCGTTAATTTTGACCAAAATGCTAAGGCTTACCCTTTACTATTTTATTAAATTTTGACGACTTTTTGAACTGTTCAAAAACTTCTTTCAAATGCTAAAAATGGCTTCCTAAGACTAATATCTTTCATTTTGGAGCATATTTGGTTGATTTTTGGAACATTAAAAAATCGTCAAAATTGACCAGAATGGTAAGGCTTACCCCTTACCATTTTGGTCAATTTTGACGACTTTTTGAAATTTTCAAAAACTCTTTTAAAATGCTAAAAATGGCTTCCTAAGACTAATATCTTTCATTTTAGAGCATTTTGAGACACTTTTTGAAAAGTTGAAAAAGTCGTCAAAATTGACCAAAATGGTAAGGCTTACCCTTACCATTTTGGTCAATTTTGAAGACTTTTTGAACTGTTCAAAAACTGTCTTAAAATGCTAAAAATGGCTTGCTAAGACTAATATCTTTCATTTTAGAGCATATTTGGTTGGTTTTTAGAACATTGAAAAAGTCGTCATTTTGACCAAAATGGTAAGGCTTACCCCTTTGTTCAATTTTGACGACTTTTTGAACTGTTCAAAAACTGTCTTAAAATGCTAAAAATGGCTTCCTAAGACTAATATATAAATACTATATACTAAATACAAACATTAAACAATATAACCATGCTTTGGTTATGATGTCAAATATTTCGATATGGATAACCACGCTGGTTAAGTGGTCTAATTCTTGTCCAATGTACAGAGTGAGGAGAAAAAGGTGCTGCCTTTCAAATTCAAATTAGGCGCATGATATACAAAGCATGTCAAATAAGTGAACATTTATTAATTACAGAAATTGTGCTCCCTTTGGGAGACTTTCTTAATCCTTTCTTTGGAGACTTTGAAATTAAATAAGAATTTGACACTGCAAGGGCTTGAACCACCGCTTATGGACTAAACACTGCTCTAACCAACTAGGCCACCGCTACTGGTGGTGACAGACAATTTTTTTTATTTCATTTAATCCTTTCTTTAGAGACTTAAATAAGAATTCGCAACTTATGTTTTGACATTGGAAGGGCTTGAACGACCACCTATGGACTAACCACAGTCCTAACCAACTCGGCCACCGCTGCTGGTGGTGAAAGACGAGAGGTTCTTATTTCATTTTATCCTTTCTTTGGAGACTTTTAAATGAAATAAGAGTGATGATAATAAGGAAAACTTTGCCACTATAAAGTGATTTGTTTATGAGCCCAGTTACCCGAGATTCAACGAAGCGTGAGATGACTTTGAGGTATTGAATTGAAATAAGTCTTTATGACACCAAACAAGCACATGCTATTGTTCTGGTGATTATACGACTGCCAGGATCATGTTATCTGCTCATTTCAATACCTCAAAATCATTTCACGCTTCGTTGAATCTCGGGTAACCGGGCTCATGTAAACAGCCCCTAAAAGTCGGTGAAAAACAGCTCGTACCGTCGAATGATATTGGAAAAGCAAAACTTTAAGTATCATTATAACATTTTAAGGCTGATTTTGATGCTTTGGAGATAAGCTGATGATATGCTAGAATCTCTATATCTATACCTAAATGAAAATGTTATATCACGCCATAGGCATCGCACGTATTTTACAAGACTCCCCTAAAGACGTGTTTTTATGACCATCGGATGTGCTTTCTAAAAAATTGTTGATATGTTTTACGACGGCAGTTAATTCTTGTTGCAGATCAAAGAGCTTATCGTTATTTTTTTTGCTGCTAAGCTGAAACTGTGCTACCTGATACTTGCTGTTCAAACCGCGTAACTTGTAGTAGTGTTGAAGGCAAGTGCGTAGCCGTCCCTGTAACGTATGTAACTGCAAAAAAAAGGAACAAACTCGTAAACAAAATGTAAAAGGTAGGTTACAGTTATTATGTCCTGCAGCCGTTACAGGCGCTATAAACAAACGGCTTGTTTATATTTTCAATCACTATATATTTCACGAACGGTCAGAATATTTGACACTATTTTGGTTCGTTATACATGTAGTTCGTTATGAGTATAAGGTGGAGTTTATGTTCAGAAAAATACGGGCTAAATTTCAGCAATTTTGGTAAAATGGTAAAAGTATATTGCGCCTTACCTCCCTGTGATCTTTTAAATGAGTTTCTTCGTTAACTATTTTTTCGTAATTTGTAAAAAACAACTCTTTTACTTTCAAAAATTGACAACAAAGACTTTGATATCTTTCGGCTAGATCTTTGTTTTCTGCCAACTTTTCTTCAAGAGCAATCTGAAAAAAAATTCAATGCAACAACATTCTTCATTACCAACAAAAAAATGACCTTCACTCTTCAGGGATGCTGATTTTCAGACGAATAGAATCAATGAGTAATATTCTTGAGAGAATTTACCGATGTTTCCTCTAGTATCGTGGTTCGGTTGTTCATGTGAGAAACATGTTTTCCTTGTGTACAAGATAAACGTTCTAATGAAAATAACGAAATAAACTGATTACATTCCATACAAAAACACCTGAAACTATAAATGCTAATTTGTGATCTTATAAATCTGAAGAAAAACAAAATCACCTTCTGCATCATAGATGGCTTGTTTTAAATTATCCATGACAGCAATGCTTGCTTCAAGACGAAGTTTAACTTCCTTGCTGTCTTCCCTTTAAAAAATAACCATAAAAGTTTTGTTTTGATGTCAAACTCGAGTAGATCCAATGAACAATATCCGATGATATTTCAACTTACTCTAACTCGTCAATTTCTGCTTCAGTCGAGTGAATGAGTCGACGCATCATAACGGTCGAAGATGCCATATCTTTCATTTTCTTTGTCATCATATCGGATCTCCATTGAATGTGGTCCATATTCTGCTGTAGTTCCAGCGTTTTTTGCTATACGAAGATAGTAAAAAATAGAATATCAATCATGAAAAAATAGAATATCATCATTTAACACAAACAATTTATTAAAACATTATGAAACAGTAATATTATATGAAACATTGTTACCGGCCAAACAGGCAAATTTAAAGCGATTGAAAAAAAACACTATCCGAAAGATATAGCGCTATCCAGCTTTCGAACAACTGGCCCCAGTACCACACAAGTAATTGGAAGCTTCAAGCAAAAGTTCTATCACCTTTCCCTGTTCTTCCTTGGGTCTTAATTCTGCAATCTTTGCTCTGTATTTTGATTCCACATCAACTCGTTGCTGATTCAACTTGCCGAGAACATCATTGATCTGTGAAATAGTCTGAGAGACGAAACGTTGGATAGTTTTAGCAACAGGAAGAATCGTTTGCAGTCTCTTTAAAAGACTGAATTACTAAAGGCATTAAAACAGAGACGTTTAGCTATATAATTAGAACCGCGTAAGGAAAAATCTCGTTTACAATAGCAATTTTAAATAGAGTAGAATTAATCGACCCCAAGTTATTATTATCGACTTCTCGCTGGTAGATATGAGAGTAACTTCATTTGTCATTACTTACATCTTTTCTCTGAGCGTGTTCTTTTTCTAATTTTTCAACTTGTTCCCGAATGCGTATCAAAACTTTATCAGCGTCCTGTGCTTGTCGAGACATCTAAAACAATAACAAAAATCCTAGCAAATGCTTTCTCTAAATTGGATGCTATGTATATCCTATCAAGGGATTGGATACTGTAGCACATGCAACAGAACAGTAATCTGAGAATATATGACTGAGCCACATATGAAGGATATCAATACCTTTTCTTTCTTTTTCTTTGAGTCCAGACGCGATCTTAGTAAATCCGATGTGTCTGTTGCAATTCGTGCCTAGAAGTCGAACACGAGGTCACAGTAACTTACGGTTAACATATGCTAGCTCAACATGTGGTTAACATTATTACGTTGTTCTAATCGAGAAATGGATTTCTAATTGACAGCTAGTTCTTCCAGTAGCCCTTTTCCCGCGTTTGGAAAGAATATAGCTACATAGTTGTTTACCTGAAGTATCGTCCTGTTGTTCGACTCTTCCTTTAGCTGATTCCTCAACGATTGTTCTGAACTCTTCAAAGACTCTTCCTCAGTAAAGAAATCTTCTTCTACTCTTGCTTTTGATATTTTTAGTGAATGATTTAAAGTTTTCAGTTTCTTTGCTTCTTCGTTCATCATCTGAAACATATAAAAAAAGATTGTCTGAGATATAGTAACAAGTTTTACTGGCATAACTTGCAGATCACAAAAATCTCTCTACAACCATCTCGCTCCATGTTTTTACCTCGTTTATTTAAAAATTGTTAATGTCCTAACCTCAATGTGCTGTTTTATCTTCTCTGCTTCCTGACCACCTCTGATTAACGCTTTCTTTTCTGAAGTTCTCTGCTTTTTCCTGAGAAATAAAAGAACATTTACTGTACTTCCACCTTTCGCAAAGTGTCCGCCATTAAAAAGAAATAAATCAGAAGAACAAACTTACAGTTTTTCAGTGTTCTTCACAGTATTGTCCATGTCGTCCCTCATTCCTTTGTTTCTTCGCGATAATTCTCTCACTTGAATCTCGTATTGTTTTATTTCTATCCTTAGTTTTGTAATCGAAGACTGGTATTCACTCTCCTAGTATTATGTATAACACAATATATAATAATGGATTAATGCCGTCTTAAAACAAGCCAAACAAAAATTGCATTAAAGCATCCCAAATCCCACTACGCGCAATTTAGGGTTTGGTAGGAAATTAGGAATGAAATTTGGACCATCTATTTAAGTAGTCCAAATTTCATCAATTCTCAATTTTATCCGTACCAAAACTGAAATTTGACTAACTCATTTTGTATGGCAATTTAAAATTTCATCCTTACCATTTTTTCACTACCGTACCAAAAATTGTGCGTAAATAAAGAATAACTGTATTACTATATATATTTGATCAAAACATCAAGTTTGCTTGGTCTGATAAAAATAAAACATTACCATGATAAGATTATCCTTCTTCAACTGTTCATTTTCCTCTGTCAATCTAGAGTGCTCTGAAGTCTGATACACAATCTTTTCTCTTAATTTTCCAACCTGGGGAAAAACAAAATGTCTGAAGAAAAACATACTTTTCATACAGGATAATCCGGCTTCATTAAATTAAGATTTAAAACTCTGTTTTCATTATTTGTATGTACCTTGTCGTGTTGTCCTGCCTCTTGACCTTTAACTCTTTCTTCACGTTTTTCTAAAGGAGTAAATGCACCTGGGTAAACCTAATTTGCAATTTACCTTGTCGTGGATTTGGACATGAAATCATTACCTAATCATCAGGGGCCAGTTTTATGAAAGCGGGATAGTGCTATTCATGCAGCCGATAGTGATTCCTCAACCCTTCTAAAAATGCTCGAAAGGTGATAAAATTTTATCTTTGGGACCAACAATTATTAAAGAGGGTCCTTGATTTAGGAATATTAAGAATTAATTAAAGTTATAGCAAAGAACAAGTGATTTTAAAGTGATTGAAAAAAACACGTACTATCTGGTGGATAGCCGCACTATCCGGCTTTCATACAACTGGCCCAAGTACAGTCTTTAAATAAATCATCAGCTCACCTAGGTTCACACATTGTTCAGCATTTTCTTTCAATGTATTCTTCATATCACTGATAGTATGAACATTTGATGTGTAGTTCATTCTCAGCTGGGCCAGCTCATCACTATTTCGAATGAAAAATTCACACAAATCTCAGTACTTAGAATTATAGCAGTCAATGCAGCAACACATACTTCAACAAGACTAGGCCAGGCTAGCTGGTGCCTGAAACACCAGCTAGTGTATTACCTGACTTCATTAAGTAGATTTCGATATATATCCACATCTTGCTTGATTAATATCCTTTCCTGAGCAGCCAGCTTTTTCGCTTGTTTCGTCTTCATTTGAGTTGCTTCAAGACGCTTCAATGTTTGTCGTAATTCCTCATCAGTTTCATCTTGTTTTGACTGGATACTTGCCATTGCAATATCCTCAATTTCTAACTTCTCTCGAACTAATGGACTACGACGGAAATCCATAAATTGCAGATTCTATAGTTTCAATACTTATACTTGAATGTAAACTTCAATCATGAACATACTTACCAACTCTCTTTGGAAGACTCCAACTCACCAATGATTTTTAAATGATGCAATTCTGCAAAAAAAACTTACTTTCAATCAAAGATTGAAACTTCCTTGACTAACATATTTCAAATTAATCAAATTCCTTATTATTCGATCCACATTATTCAAATTCCACATTATTCCACATTATACGGCCCGTACATTATTCCACCTTATTCCACATTATTCATCCTTATTCCACATTATATATTCTACACCAACCTTATTCATTTGACACATAGGACAGATTGTGACTAGTATACAATCCCTAAATTAACTAGTACATATCTGACTAATCCTTTTTAATAAAGGAATCAATGCTTGCACTCACCTGCCTGATCAACTTTTCTTCTTAACCTAGCCTCTAATCGTCCTTGATAGGCGCAGTGCCACTTTAATTCATTGATGTCAATTGCACAAGATTCATGCTCTGTAAAAAATGAATTAGATGATGTATAATGCACTGTATAAAACTTCATGAAGAACCACAAGGAGAGCAGAATAGGTGTTTAATAACTATAATGAAATATACCTCTTTGAACAGCAACAGGAAGTTCTAGCAATCGTTTGAAAGCAAACTCATCAATCTGAGTTCCTAAATGGCTTACACGTTGTCTTTCATTCACTAGCATTTGCTGCGTGCTCAGTCTATCATCTTCCATTCTCTTCAATAATTTCATTACTTCATCAACAACGTCATAACCAATGTGGTGCGCAGGCAGCGCAGCTGAGCTGACCTTGTCTGCAGAAACTAGTGTTAGTTCACTCTGTAATGTTGGTGATGTTTCAATGGGCCTGTCCTAGAAAAATTAAGAAAAACTGATGAGGAAACAGTTTTTCAGGGACTTGGTTACAGGTGGTTTTTGCATGTAGCCAGCTCACATTACCTGTGACAGAGAATGATTTGAAGATTGAAATTCTTGGTCATTATCATAAGGAACAATCTCGGACAATGGGGAATATCGAATAGATGAAAACTCAATACTTGAGGGAGCAGATGTATCCGCACATGACATGAGGCAATGATCACCGTTTGGGGGATTTTCTGAAATTGAGTAAAACACCACTTAAATATATTTTTCATGAGTGGAATGTATCTACTTAGGGAATGATTATAGAACATCAGGCAAATAGGGGTAATGTTAGGGAACTGAAATGAGTTATATTGTACCTGTAGTACCTTCAGTTGGATGGTGGCAGTCAACTAGATTTGATGTCCATTCCTCTTGTATAGGAGTAAGATTTGCAATATGATCTTTTAACTGTTGTAGATGTGTTGTGGCTTTCCTCACGCATGGGGAAACACATGTTGTGAATTCGCAGCTATCTCGTCTGGAAAATTTTGAGGAGACTGTTGACCATCCCTTGATCAGCGTTGAAAGTCTACCTAAGAATTTAGGAAATAAAAAGGCAGTGAGTAGCGACTATAGTCGATTACAATGCAGGTATACATTTTACCTTTTGATACTGTTTCATCTTTCACATTTCCTGCGCGAGTGTCTTCTTTATCAAGGACAACAACTAAAGGCAACTCGGCACAATCAGAATTTTCGTTTGAAACATCTTTATTAAACAAACTTGAATCACAAGAAGCCATTGTATTTTGCAAACATTCTTCTCTCCCGGGAAGCGGAACTACTGCGTCAAATTTTGCAGGTGTTGGCATGGTGAGATTGTACTTTTTAACAAATATATTAACCGTAAATCACTTTACAAACAAAACAAAAACATACAAAACTTCAGCGCCATGTTTAAAGCTCACGGTTGCTTTGGCAACAGTGACGCAATACTGCATGACAAACGCCGGAAAAATTTCTCGCGTTCAAATTATCATTTATCAGGCGAATTTAGACGGGTCAGAAAGTATATGCATAGAAAATGAGTAATAAGGCAAACGCTTGGAAATCACAAGATTTAAACACTTAAGGCTAAATGTTTTGAAACAATCCTTGTTGGTTTTGAACGTCAAAATAGTCATTATAAACTGTCCTGCCTTTGTTTTTGATTTCCAAACAAAAATCGGCTTCTGCCACGAGTAATGATTGATCTCGAACGTGCCATAATGTGATTCTGTTTTTTTATCTTCCTAAAACTTCTCAATTATGAATTCCTGTGATAACAGGCAATTGTTATAACGTAAACAATGTAATTAAATTGTATAAATATAGTCAGTTTGTTTTATATATATATACCTTGGCTTTGCTGCTCAATTGTCTCATTCAATCATTACTTTATAATATTTACCTATTTACAAGAACTAACTATTTAAGTGCTGTTTTTGGGAGACGTTCCTCTTTCCATCATCGATTGAACATTTTTTAAAAGTTTATACGCGCAATATGCAAATCAGTAGCTGGTCAATTGTAAAGATTGGTCAATTGTAAATATTCTAGTTCACCACGTTAATCAATGTATTCACGAACAGCAACCAAGCAGAACCACCTTTTAGGTGAAAGAAAGATCACACAGATGATGAAGATGCCACAATAACATCATCAGCGTTGCTATGGAGACTGGTACGGAGCTGACGCCATTCGTAACTAATTGATTATACACTTCGAGGTTACAAAAATTGCCATCACAACAATGTACCTTGCATTCCAACGCTTTTGAACTGTTCAATAATTTCAGACAAGCTACGTGAGCGGAGACACATGTACGATTACTTTCCGCGCATGTCTTATACGTCAACACGGAATTCGAGATGGTCCTGCGAATGCTCAGACAGTGAGAAGCATTCTTACAATTTGTTTTTTTTGCTACGCAAGAAGATTCTCCAGGTTTAATAGCCAACGTTTTGTTTGGTTTACATGTATAACAGTGTAACGCTGAACCTAAAAATGACATGAAAAAGTCGATACTGAATCGACGTTTTGAAACCGGGAGTGCACTGGGGACAGCTTAATTCGAGGCTGAATTCACCAAAAGTTTTTAACCCACAAGACTTTAGGAACTTCAGAGGTCTCAGGCTTAAAGGGACACTTTTTAGACAAGACGAATGTCTTAAAAATCAAAATTGCGTAGAAAATGCACTTATGAAATTGTATTTTCCTTCTCACATTAAAATTATAGTAAGGGCTTAGACCTCTGAAGTTCCTAAAGTCTTGTGGATTAAAGACTTTTTGTGAATTAAGCCTCAAATTAAGTTGTTCAAAGTAAATAAATCAGGCAAACAGGCAAATTCAATGCAACTTTGCAATACAACAGGCAATGCAACTTTGAAAAAACGAGTGCATTTCATTTAAGGATCAGGAAAAGGTATAATACATTCAATAATGTAATACATTTATACCTACCAGTTGTAATCAGCGAGATGCTCAGCAAAATTCTATTTACTAACTGCGTCATTAAGTCACCAACGTTAGAACTGTACTGAGAAAACTCTGAAATTAAATTCAATATGTCAGTATCTTGTAGTCTAAAGCCGATATATAGAGACTTGCTCATGATAACTGATACCAACAGAATATATAGAGACATATAATATGGTGTTTGCGTCCGAAAATCCTAAAACTTTTGATGAAGATAGACGGTACAGGCGTACAGCTCATAGCTATGGCACAGCGTATCTGGGGGGGGGATCCACTCTAGTCCATTTGTGATATAATTCACCTGTTCGACACCGGGAAAAGCGCGGGATTGAAATGGAGAAAATTGTGGCCAGAAAATCTCTTAGTAAAGATCTTCCCACTAAATGTCAGAGGTTATCAAGTCAACACCTCCAAGAGCTACTTGAAAGGGACATGGAGTATGTCCAGTTTTTTATTTTAGTTTTTGAAAATTCGAAGAATAAATTATAATATATCGTCCTTGTCGATAAAAACTCAGACTTCGACCTCTGGAGATGGACTATACTCTATAGGAACGGGCACATGTGAAGCGGGTATATTTTTAACACGTAAATTCGTAGAATTTGCACATGGCGTTATTGGCATATATCCGATAAAGCGCGACGAACAATTTACTGATGTGATTTCATCATAAAAATGCTATCTGAATGCCATCCAGGAAAATATTGAATGTGACGCGTGCCACAGTCTTTGTTATCATAGGAAGAACAGTTTAGAACTGATAGATGATATAGGGTTATTCTTTTGTACGAGGTGGAATCTCTGTGTTCATCCATTTCATAAGGAATATATGATAAAAAAATCTTGGCTAAATTTCCTAGTTTTAGTCAAGTAAGTGAAGTAAGTGATGCTCAGCACTTACAGGTTCAGTATTGAAAATAATCAGCGAGATGATCACCTTCCCGTCCGACGAAACAAAACAACAATTCTATGAAGACGAAGTCGTCTAACTCGTCTTGAATTTTTGTTGATGTATCCACACAAATGGCAAATATACCCTAGCTAGCCTCGAAGCGTTAGTGATAACATCAACGCGTAACGCTCTTGAATTCCTGACAAGATATTTCAACGCCACTATGTCGGCAAAACCTGAAGAGAACACCGTGCGTTCGCCAGTTGATAATTTTCTATTTGTCTTCAGATATGCTCTCGTATGTTGAGCGATATTGTCCGCAAATATCTCAAGAATGTACCGACCGACAAATTAGATGCTTCTAAACAATGTCCCTTTTTTTTCCTGTCTTAAATGAATTGAATCTGCCAAGTTTAGTTAAAGTTCGTCCAAGTCACAAGAGTGTCAATTAAGTAATCCTCGTTTCACTGGAGTTTACCTCAAGAAAGTTTGGTGTTAAAAACACGATGTTTCTACTTTCTATTCTCCATCTTTCGACCACGAGGGAAGCCGCAAACACCGAGCGTGTGAAAACCATCTGCCCACCCCGGGGCAAAACATCGTAGTTATCAAGAAATACGATGAAAAACCTGCTTAATAAAAATTCGGCTGGATCTGCGGGTTGAGAGTTCGAACATATTTTGTGGGCAAATTTTGACATTGATTACGATGTTCCGCGAAGGTCGAAAGGCGGAGAAGAATTTAAAACACGATCATCTCGGCATCTGGTCCCGTAAAAAATTGACGTCAAATCGCATCACGCAAGTAATTGTGGACATGGGCAGTTAATAATTTGATACATTTTTGGCTGAACAGGCCTGGGCCATGCGGCAAATTCAGTTAGTACAAACAGCTTGATACACAGAATTTTGGATTCCAATAGCCTGCCGAAGTCAATATTCATTCAAAACATAGCCCGCGGTATGGCTATATATGGTTTGACAATGAACAATGTCGTTCTCAGGAAAAAAAAGCTGCAATTTCAACTCGTACGCTCCCGAATTACCGCAAACCCGTTACCGCTATTGATTGGTGTAACCAAATAACATCTCAGGGGTCAAAAAGTGGTTTGGTTTGGACGGAAATCAAGCGGAAAACCAATTCCGTTTTTCAAACAGAAATTTCCAATTACATATCCGCAACAATTGATTCCTGAAGCGATCCCATAAAAAATAGCTTATTCATATCGTCATCTGCCTGCAATAAAACACTGTGCACTCAACTGAGCCAGCGACTTTCCACCTTATCACGAGAATGAAATTACAGTCAGTGAAAGCTTTAAAACATATTATTTTGTCTTCTATAGCTGCATCATTATATATACGTCATATCAGTCTGGCTACCGAAATTGCTTTGTTGATTACAGGCAATGCTAACTTGGAAAGGGCAAAACAGTCTTCAATCATACCTTGAATGCCCTTTCAAAGGCGAGCGCGTGAGAAACAAATTGGCAAATGATCGCCTTCTCAGTTACCTATACGGCTTAAAATGATTGGATGCCAAAACAGACATTCTCAAGCTTGTGTGAAACCAATTATTAATTGAAAACATGCAATTTATAGCTACGACGATATAGTATACCCTGTCGTGATTACTTCCAGCTTCGCGGTAACGACAAACCATTCTGATAAACATAACTTTATACGCAACGGATTATTAACAGTCGCCATGGGACTGTTTTCAAGACTCTTCCACGAGAGATTAAGTTTTCCGTGAACATATGGAAACGCTATGCATAATCAGTTAAATTGCCTTCCCCGCGTAAGAAAAGCTTTAATTGAATATCAGCGTTTTATTTAGACTCCAAATGGCCTTCCTATTATTAGACAGCGTTCGAGGCCTATTTTAGCTGCTGCCTGCTGCAAACTGGCGATTAAAATTGTACAAATGGTGAAACGGAACGCCAGAGGTTTGGATTGACATTTTTCGCGGCGAACTCAATCGATCCTACGCTTTGTAACTCGCTATACAACTCGCTATAGCAACTGCAGACCGTGAAAAATATTGCGGTTGAAAATCCGCTCCAAAATAGCTTCAATAACTAATACTAGCACTTATTGGCTTGCGTTGAATAGCAGATTAAATCTCCAACACACTTACATTAAAAGCTTGTATTGAACGATTTTAACGACAATTCAGGGTCCCTCAACGTAGCGCCTCTACTTCTTGACAGCTGTGAGCCGGAAAATAACTTGCGGGGTGCCGTAAACTGCGATATGTTTATTCCTTACAAGTTGACATGACGTGGCATCGCTTATCTCCCTATTCTTAAGATGAATTGATAGCATATCGATAAGATAAACGTATGATTGTGCTGTTTACGCAGTAATGCTCTCCCTCCTACTCATCGATACTAGACGACGGCCTGCACACATGCAGCGACCAAAACTTGGTCATAAACTTGAAACCCGAATTATTGAAATAAAACGTCTTGCATGTGGTGACAAAATCGTCGAGCACTTAACAGTCGGGCAATTGTCGGTCGCTTCGGAAGAAAGCTGACCTTATTTGTTTGTTGGACGAATGATCTCGTGATGAGAATGTTTGCATAATATATATTATGCATGGGTACACGGAAAATCTACATTATATGTGCTGGACCTATAGATGCATCCTATATATGCATGGGTGCGGAAAGGGTACCCTTCCTTAGTTAACCCCATATTCGAATTTGTAAAGCAAGCAAAGATCATTATAATTCCGTTTTGCAATCATTTTATGATGAAAGAAGAAATGTCCATTTTGGATTCAGTACGGTTCATTTCCAAGGGAAGTTCACCGAACGGCTGGCTTGAATCCAATTGCTATATACAGCTGAGCTTTAAGCCAACTGCAGTTATAAATCTTTCAGCTCAAGTGCCGGATTAAAATAGCCAAGTTCATCGAAGTTTAAGACCGAAGAAATTGGGAGTTCAAAAGATTTCTAATGTCCACATGATGATCTGACATACCACTCCATGATTTCATATGTAGCCAACTGCCTGCTTAGGTTATTATACCATGCCCCTCCAACACGTCTATATTATGAGTTGTTGAATAAAAATAAAAATTAATCAGTCTTATCTATCATATACTTGACGTCTTGTATATGTTTAAAAAGAAAAAAAATATCTAAAAAACAGTGATATCTTGAAATCCAAGATTCTCATTATTGCAAAACGGACGCGCGGATAGCCGCCGTTGTGAGTTTCAAGTGCGTTGATCCAAATCTTGAATTTCATGATGCTTTATAATTCATGCATGCTTTGAGCATTTTCTTTAGGCTACGGGTGCTTCCTCTTTAAGCGGCCAAAATGGTCAAACTTGTCATATTTGGTTAAGAATATAGCGGTTTAATATATTTCCCGAGTCGGGAAGATGTATAAATAACGATCTACTTGAATGCAGAGTTCTCCAGTGAAACACTCTACAATACCATGCAGTAATCTTTCTGTAGTGAAATACAACAGGAACAGTTTGGCCGTTTTCACCGTGTAAAGGAAAGTGCCGAGTGTTTCTCGTTAAACCAACTCCTTTAACAACATGACGCATATTAAAAAAATTCGACCAGACCTCAGTAGAGTGAGTAGACACATCAACAAGATACATAGCGTAGATTAAAATGTCTATTTTCTGAATGTAGCTATGTTTGCATGCATGAGATGACAAGGCTGGCAGGTGATAAACGAAGCACGCATAGATCATTGCGGAGTGCAGACCTCTTCAATTTGCAATTTTGGAATTAGTTGTTGAGGATTTATATATGGTATCATATGTACTGAACTTAAGACTTTTGTCTTTAAACACACATATTGGCTTAAATAGTGCATTAAATATTTCATTTTCAATCTCCTATACAGCTCTTAACGCGACAGTCCGTTTTAAAAGAGCATTACAATCCAGATGCATCTGTATGTATAAGTTCAGTTGGCTCCCTCCTACTATATAACCTCATCTTTCTACCCTTAATTTGCCAATGATGGCGTGGCTTTTTCGCCAATCAGTTTGCCGGCATACTTCAATCTCACCTTTTCGTTGGAGCCTTATAAGACTGGCTTTTGATAATAGTTTACTACCCAAGTATCGATTCACTGCAAGCTATGCGTTCCATTAGAAGATTTCATTATATTTCATGTTTGTATAAAGTCAGACAAAGTGCACACACAGGTGGCAAATCGATGTTTAAATTCATTCGAAAAGAACAAATCATGCAGTTGTCTTAGGCTTAGCTTATTTTGTTCACATGCACTGCAGCACGAGAGTTCCAACAACTTTCAATCAGCGAGTGGCTCCGTTTGTATGTTTAAATTTTCTCCTCAAACGAAATAGTAAATTATTTTAACCTTAGCGGGTTCGGTGAGGATTTTCAGGCACGTATTTCTTACGCAATATATGTACGAAATATTTACAATTTCATGACTATTTTAACAATATTGTCTGGAATGAATTTAGTGTTTCGTTGAAGAGACAAAAGTCTCCTATACGTTTGTAACTCGTGCAATAGACTGAAATCGACCGCTTGTACACCTTTCTTCTCCTCACTGCGGCAACTGCACGACTGAAAATCTTGAATCGTAATCAATAATTTAGCGATCTGCGCTGACAAAAAAATCACTTCACCGTGACGTACAAAATATCAATGAAATTTCAACTTCATTTCTTACTGAAATTTTTCTTTTCCTAAACACATATATCTAACTAAAAAATGGAATATCAGTCATGGCTATAGTTGGTTATATGTACTAACACCTGTTCACAAATAATCGTCCTTGGAACATCGAAAAACGGAATAATTTGCGTTTGTTATAAGGAAGGTATGTCGGTCAACTTATAGACCTATTCATCTTACTGCATTTAGGTGAATAAACTGCGTATTTAAATGCAAACTTGTTACGAAATGGTGCGATTTTCAAATATTAGTGACTCGAAAGAATGCATGGTTGGCTGTGTGCTTACCTCTAAACTATATCAGTAGATACATATATTATCTTTCAAATTGTTTAATATAAGCGATGGGACTAGCACAACAGGTAGACAGCAAGATGGAGCAAAGGTTTTCTCCAGATTTATGTATCTCTGGATTTATGAATAGAACTGTTGTTGGTGTACAGCTTGATCGGTATTTTCAGTTCACATCGGTTGTACAAGCGAAAAAAAGCCGATCGTTTTCAATATCATCATATGCAATGAAAGTGGATTCTAACGCCAAACAAAGCAATCCAATGTTGTTTTGTGCTCTTTCAAATTTACAGGTACTAACTGAATATCTTAGGCAATGTTTGTTGTTATTTGACTGCAACAATTAATACTGATACGACAACACGATGAAGCTAGATCAATCCAACTTTTTACATGATATTTATGCAGTCTCTTACAATCACTTTTCAGACCGCTTCACCGGGAACGAGTGACGATTTAGAGTTGTCGCACAGCTCTACCTCCCCCCCCTGCCCTTTTTTCAGACATTGCATTGTGAGAGAGGATATGCATGCGATGTGTGAAGGTATCCGGGAGACCGGGACCTTAGGTCTTTATACGATAGAAATGCGTCGATGAACGAAAGTGAAATAGGGGATGATGAAGGAAACGTGATTCTGGAGAAAAGGTCAAAGAAAAGAGATTAAAATGGAACAAGGAATGGATGGAGACTAAAAGAAATGATTAAGCAGGAAAATAAGCATTGTGCTCGCAGATCGCTTGTACAACCCTCTAAAAGTGGTTGATCTAACAACGACCATCTCATAGTCTTTTGAGACTAAAAAATGATAGAATAAATACCAAGAACAAGATGAGAAATATCTCTGATTTGATCAGAAAACGTTAAAGACAATGATGCATAAACACGGCTGAATCTAATATAGAGTCCAGAGGCAGAGATGATTTCAAACCAAAGTGTAGTTTAGTAAAATCTATTTTCAAACTTCATTTAGAGGTCACAAAGCTCGATATAGCCCACGATGACCGCCGAATCAATAGTAGAAAACGCAGAGCCTTCAAAGGATGAAAAGCAGATGGCAAAGAAGAAGCCGGGATTTCCAAAACGTTACGTCATAACGTTGATGTTGTTTCTAGGATTGGCTACACAATATGCACTTAGAGTTAACATCAACATCGCCATTACTGCAATGTGTAATAACATAACTGTCAAACAAAATGGATTTACCATAACAAAGGTATGTTCCAAATGCAATATTCGTATTGAAAAACATTCTAAAGAATCGAAAAACGATACAATTACTAGCTGAAGAAAAGCACTGTATCCTAACTGTCGTAATTGTTTTCAATTTCAGCCAGCAGAGTTTCACTGGAGTTCAAAACTGCAAGGTACGGTATCGATGTTAAGGAAGAATCTCCTTTTCCAGGTATCAAATTGTTTGTTCTTGTGAAACTGTGAAAGATGTCGCCTTTGCTTGTTACAGGAACCATTCTGGGATCTTTCTTCTATGGGTATATCGTACTGCAAATACCAGGAGGGTATCTGGCATACAGATTTGGCGGAACGAAGGTTTTTGGTTTGTCCTTATTCGCTGGATCCCTGATGACTCTGCTCACGCCATTGGTTGCGCGATTTTCCGTCGTCGCTCTTATTATCCTCCGTGTTCTAGAAGGAGTTTTCCTGGTAATATGACATACCTACCTGCATGACATACCGAGACTTCCATGTTTTCAGTGCACATTTGCAATGAGTGTTATAGAGAATCAAATTTTCAACTTGATATCAAGTCCTCAACTTGGTATTAGCCACAGCAATTGGAGTCGATCAAGTTTTTAGTCGTGAATAAAGTTCAAACCTCATACAGTCTCGTAGCAAACTACCGTGTAAAAATTCGCTAAAAACCCCCAATACCATGTGATGAAATAATTCGTGTTAGTTTTTCTTACTTTCGTTTTTAATTAAGGGCGTTCTTTTTCCTTGCAACCACGATATCTTAAGAAAGTGGGCACCAGCATCTGAGAAGGCAAGGCTATTTGCAATCACTGTCGCAGGTAAGCAAGCTGACGTAGCCAATTATTAACTTTTTACCATCGTAAACTTCAAAACTTTCATTCCGCACGACCAGGTTGTCCGGTTGGTACTATCATCACCATGCCTTTGTCCGGGCTCCTGACAAAATACGGACCCCAAGGTTGGGCTTCAACGTTCTATTGTTTTGGTGAGTATCCCAGTGTTCCGAGTGATCCCCGGTGGAGGGAGGGGACGCAGTTCCTCTACATAAGAATTTAGTGGACATCGTTTGACAACAAGTATTGTTCGTTGCTTGCAGGGGCTGTTGGACTGTGCTGGTCTTTTGTCTGGATGCTGATTGTTCATCCAACTCCCGATGAGCATCCGACCATATCCGACGAGGAGCGAGAATATATTATGAAAGAAACTGGCTCAAACCAAAGCATGGTAAGGCTTAGTAGGCAGACGATAAAAATTAACAGGTAGATTAAAAATAGACGCGTATGTTGGTATCAACGATTCAAATCGCTTCAGTCAAGATTACACAGTACCTCTGTTATTTGCACAAGCGTTTTTTTCTTTACAGAATGAGAAGGTTCCATGGTGTTCCATCATAACCTCTGCTCCAGTCTGGGCGGTTATCATTGCAAATTTCTCCGTCGACTGGGGATTGTACACAATCCTAATTTGCATTCCCAAATACTTTGTCGAGGTTCTGAAGTTTGACATTGCCAAGGTAAGGAATAACAGCCACCTCGGAAGGGTTGCCCGAAACTGTTCTCCCTTCTCCTAAAGTACAAAAAAATTCCACCCTGTCTGTACATTGTACAAAATAGATCTTTGTATGCATAAGCGTGATATTCAATAGCCTCTGTAAACCAGAGATCTTATTTGGTTATTATCAAGCGGTGATAATCTTGATTTGCTTGTAGACTGGTTTCGTCGCCTCTTTGCCTTACGTAGTGAAGGCTTTCGTTGGTCCAACAGGAGGACTTATCGTAGATTTGATGATCAAAAACGGAATGAGCGTCCGAAATGCGAGGAGATTGATCTTCACTATTGGTAGGTTAATCCGTTGGGGGAGTTCAGTCGATCGTTCTTTCGCCGGGGAAAATAACTGATGTGATCGCAGGCTACTACATACAGACCTCCCTAATTCGGCTAGGAGATCTTTAGTAGCTGATCTTGCCCTTAAAAACCCTGAGGTTAAATTTCATTGAGTTGTTTTAAAGTCGTTCATTTGTTCTTAGGTTGTACCGTCGCAGCCGTCTTCGTTCTTGCTGTTGGTTACGCCCCAAATCCCGTCATGGGGATCGCGTTTCTCTGCATTGGTGTGGGCATAACCGGGGTGAACGCAACAGGTTACGCTGTAAATCTGCTGGACATTGCGCCAAGGTTCGCCGGCGTCATTATGGGAATTACGAATGTCTTCGGTTCGTTACCAGGCTTCCTTAGCCCACAAATCGTTGGCATAATTACTGTGAATAAGGTGAGCTGAGTGATTCATGGAGATATTTACTAGCTTTCCGACAATAACTCACCATGGGGAGATTCTTTCAGGAGGAGGGGCTTTACTTTCAACGGGCGATCAAAAGGGATTTCTTGGGATACACAGGAGTAAATAGGAATTAAAGAACGGTAGATCCATTCTCACTTGTAATGTATGGTTACTGATATATTTTAGACCGCGGCTGAATGGCGTACCGTATTCTGGATAACATTCATCGTGTATTTGGCTGGTGTAGTTTTCTTCGGAGCTCTAGTATCAGGGGAGAAACAGGAGTGGGCAATGTCTCCGGAAGAGCTGAAAGCACATAAAGAGAAAGAAAAGGGGAAAGATGACAAAGAGCCGAAAACTGACGAGGACAAGGAAGAAAAAGAGAATAAGGAGGAAACACCAAATGGTGTGGCAGGGAACAAGGAAGGATCGGACGAGGCAGAAGGTGTGAAAGGTGGATCAGAGGACACATCGGGTGATAAAGGGGGAACAAGACGGTGGTGAGAGTAAGGAGGAATCAGATGACACTAAACCCGGTGAAGAGAAAAATGACGATGGTGAAACAAAGGAAGAACAACAGGATGAAAGCACGAAAGGAGGAGAAAATGATGATGGCTCTGACGCAAAAGAATAACTATGACTCGAGGACAAAATATGAAAGAAATTATACCAGCTTACCAGCTCATGAATATAGAAATCATTGTCTTGTGTTAAATTAAATAATTCCATGAAAGGTTTATCTTGTTTTATGATAAAACTCTGACCTAAAGAATAGTATTTTCACATCATCATTTCACTTATCTTATCCTCATTACAAAAATACGAGATTTCAAATTCCTTAAGACAAAGGTGAAAGACTGTCTTTAAAAGCCGTGCGTTAATGTCAGTGACTCAGTGTCTTTGATACCACTACTAAACTGATCATGGCTAGGAGATTGTTAAACCACCCCTTTTTATGTTGTTATAAAGTTCACTTTTATACCAGCAGGATTGTCGGGACCGTATGGGGAACAGCTCAATATTTTGGACCAATATAGCCACAAGTTTTGGTTCACTGTTTATTTTATTATTGTGCGCCCCAGACTACATCAACTCAACTCACATCAAAATCACAATCAACTCACTAATAGTGCCGCCTGTGAGATTATATAATTTACAACTATAGTGCTTCATTGTGCATTGTTCGTTGTGCATTTTATTGTGCGAAGTGTCATCGTTTCCGTTTTGTGATCATGTACACTTCCCGCTTTCTTCTGGTGCCTACGTATTAAATATCCCCTATATTACAAAATCGAAATTTTAATGGTCAGTTTCATATATACTCTGACTGTGACTACATAAAACTTTACATTCCCACAAATTCCTAAAACTATAAAAGTTACTAAAGGAGTTACTAAAGAAACTTGAAAGTAATTGAAATTAGTAAAATTACCCTGTCTGATCACACTTTATTTATTTAATTATTTACATTTGCCACATCATACTAACATTACGATACACAAAAAAGACGAAAAGCAAATACACACTGCAATGATGATGGCTGGGTAGCCACAACAGCGTTAGCCAATTACTGTTGTCACACTGATGCAACTATACTTAACTAAGTCAGTTCTTGGTGGTAAATAATCGTGTTTGGTCAGAATAAAAAGTTTCATCTATGGAAGCAGTCTGAAAATAATATAGCTAACAACCAGACCAGCCAGAAATGCAAACAGCATTGGGAATCTTGACATCTGACGTTTGTGCCGCTCAAACTCCGGGTCGACTAGCAAACGACTTGTTGCTGAGATAATCCAGTCTCCTAATTTATCTGCCGGTATCTGTATGTAAGGGTCGTTTAAATCAAGAAGCATCTTTCTAGCAAACGAGAAGCAGTTATGACCAATGTCTTCACTGCTGGATGATGCCGAACTGCCTGCCAACATAGTGTCGCCCAAAATGTTGTATTTAGGAGGTCTGTTTTGCTTTGCCTCGACATTCCTTAAAAAAACCTCAGCGGAGGTCCTAGAGATTGACCATGAGATATACAACAAACGCTCGTTCTCTCGAACATCCATCAACCGTTTTGGACATTGAAACAACAATTTGTTAGATGAACGGGCAGTTTCCTCTGGCGGAAAGCTCCAGATCCTAACTTTGCCATCTCGTATTCCAGGAAGGAGCAGGTCAGTTTCTTGGGCAGCAACGAAGTCGATGAACCATATTTTCGAAGTAATTTCTGTCTTCGCTTCAAGGACAAGAAACGCGTGTTCGTTGTTACCTCTGTCAGGTAGTCGCACCAAGGAAATTACCCAAAATTGATTGTTGATAATTCGAGTGGGATCTACCTCGCTTCGTTTCGTGGAAGTTATTGTCTCTTTCGTTGGCAAATTGCAGAATTTTTTCTTCAGGTCGAATTTTAACCTTGTAATTTCGGTATTATGTTGCAACTCTGTTTTGCGTCTGGTGATCCTTTGTAACTCTTCTCTGATGTCAATCCCTCTTTCCTCTGCCATATATTGTAATGCCAGCGCGTGCATTGCCACCTTATTTGCGAAGTATTCCTTCGTATCGCCATCGTGAGCTTCCTGTTGATTACACATATCAATATTAAATCCTAAACTTCCAATGATAATTCCACATTGGATCGCAGTTTGCAAATGCTCGTTTCTGTTTTCAAAATGGGTAGTAAGACTAGCTACTAGATGTTGAATAGCTTCATTTCGCTCATTGTATTCTTCAGGCAATTGTTCTGGCATAACAATGTCATATGCTTGAGCTAATTTGCGAAATTCCCGATAAATTGATTCATAGTCCTGTCTTTCTAGGTTCAAACGTTCGCAAATATTGTCTTGATATACAACATTTGAACAAAATATGCCCATATTAGCAAGACGGTAACAACGCTCTATTTCTTCTTGGGTCACCTCTTCTTCCATTTTATATCGCGCACAAATTCACATAACGGTTTAGTGCTGTCTTAGTTTACGAATGAAGTTTGTTTGCTTGATACCACAAATGAAAATTTGGCCTTAAATATTTGCATAATAACGAAATGTGGCGTCAAGTCGTGATTACTGACATGTATGGTGGGAAATATCTGTTAAGGCCCGTTTACACGAGCGATTTTTCATGGCGATTTTACAGCGATTTTGTTGCCAAAATATCGCACCTCTTCGGTTTTGCTCAAATATTAGCGCGATTTTCCTGCAAATTTCTGGAGAAAATGGCGGAAGCAAAAAACACACAAAAAAAACATAAAAAAGAAAACATGGTCTGTCGGCGAAGAAGAACCTCTGATAAGATGCTGGGCAGAGCATAAGCGCCTATTCAACACGAGTTGCACTGATTATAAGCCCCAAGACAAGAAAAGCCTAGCCAGAGAAACGATAATAAGGTCTATTGAAGAGGAATATGGCAGTACCTCGCGCACAAATTCACAAAACGTTTTAGTGCTGTCTTAGTTTACGAATGAAGTTTGTTTTCTTGATACCACTAATGAAAATTTGGCCTTAAATATTTGCATAATTACGAAATGAGCGTCACATCCGTCACGCTGTGATTACTGACATGCTGATGCATGCTTTCATAAAAATTTCTATGATCAACGTTTATTTTATAAGTTGATAATTACAGAGGGCGAAGTATCAAGCCTGCCACAGCATGCGTTACGTTCCGAATGCGTTTGTGTCTAATAGGGTTTCCTTTGGAATACCTCTTGTGCTGTTGTGCATGTAATGTAATGCACGGCCGGTGGGGGACTGTTCTAAAAATACAAGCTTGGAGTATTCTGCCAACATTCCCGCAATTGTAATAGCCCTCTTAAGCATGTATAAGAGCTAGGGCTGAAACAAACTCCTTTAAATAATTTGCTACAGTCGTCAGTCGAATATAAGTGCAATATATAGAAATTTTAATGATTAGTTTCATGGATAAGCGGCGTCATACTGCGTTCACACTACGCACTTTGACAACTTTGAAACAAACAAAAAATATTCCCTTTAATAACGAATGAATGAAATAAAGTAAAGTAGTCTCCAAGCTTGTCGATTTTTTGCTGGGGTTTTTTGGGAAAATCCTCCCACTTTCTTTCTGAATTTGAACATGAAACTACTGATACAACAGTACACATGCAGTCTTCTGTGTCCGTTGGCCGTTGCGCCGTACTGCGCCTTGAACACAGGGAACGAGGTTGCTACCAGTAGAGACATTTATAGGTGATATTGTGCAATCTATATAATGCTTTTTTGTGATATAATGAATCATAAAAGTTGTCATTCTTGACGTATTTAAAGTTGTTTTTGGCCTCTCTTTATTGAAATAACATGTAATATGATAGTCATGTTTCTGTTGATTTGCACGCGTGAAGTTTTACTTTGACCTTTCTTGAAGTAGCTATTTCCACAATATGTTCAGAAAGATTTATGGTTAAAACACAAGAATAGGAAATACACAGAAGCGCTACTCAACGGAAGCTTTTAGGTTTATATCTCTGCGCATACCGCACCGCGCACGCATGTTGCCCGCGATTATTCTGGCCAGTCGACTGCACGATAACAAAGGTTTTTCCTCAAAGCACACTAAAATAGCTTATCCGGGCTCGTCCAGCAGGATTGTCGTCCGTATGGGGAACAGCTCAATATTTTGGACCAATATAAACACAAGTTTTGGTTCACTGTTTATTTTATTATTGTGCCCCCCAGACCAAGTCATCAACTCAACTCACATCAAAATCACAATCAACTCACTAATAGTGCCGCCCGTGAGATTATATAATTTACAACTATAGTGCTTCATTGTGCATTGTTCGTTGTGCATTATATTGTGCGAAGTGTCATCGTTTCCGTTTTGTGATCATGTGCACTCCCGCTTTCTTCTGGTGCCTACGTATTAAATATCCCCTTTATTACAAAATCGAAATTTTAATGGTCAGTTTCATATATACTCTGACTGTGACTACATAAAACTTTACATTCCCACAAATTCCTAAAACTATAAAAGTTACTAAAGGAGTTACTAAAGAAACTTGAAAGTAATTGAAATTAGTAAAATTACCCTGTCTGATCACACTTTATTTATTTAATTATTTACATTTGCCACATCATACTAACATTACGATACACAAAAAAGACGAAAAGCAAATACACACTGCAATGATGATGGCTGGGTAGCCACAACAGCGTTAGCCAATTACTGTTGTCACACTGATGCAACTATACTTAACTAAGTCAGTTCTTGGTGGCAAATAATCGTGTTTGGTCAGAATAAAAAGTTTCATCTATGGAAGCAGTCTGAAAATAATATAGCTAACAACCAGACCAGCCAGAAATGCAAACAGCATTGGGAATCTTGACATCTGACGTTTGTGCCGCTCAAACTCCGGGTCGACTAGCAAACGACTTGTTGCTGAGATAATCCAGTCTCCTAATTTATCTGCCGGTATCTGTATGTAAGGGTCGTTTAAATCAAGAAGCATCTTTCTAGCAAACGAGAAGCAGTTATGACCAATGTCTTCACTGCTGGATGATGCCGAACTGCCTGCCAACATAGTGTCGCCCAAAATGTTGTATTTAGGAGGTCTGTTTTGCTTTGCCTCGACATTCCTTAAAAAAACCTCAGCGGAGGTCCTAGAGATTGACCATGAGATATACAACAAACGCTCGTTCTCTCGAACATCCATCAACCGTTTTGGACATTGAAACAACAATTTGTTAGATGAACGGGCAGTTTCCTCTGGCGGAAAGCTCCAG